AGGTCTACATACATTCTTATTCTTAAATTGGTCACAATAATTGTTGGGAAGAATAGCCGTTGCACCAAATCACTTTCGAAGACCTATTCAAGGGTCAACTTCCGAAGCGTGGGCGGTTCACAATTATAACAACATTTTAACAATAAAAGACAATGAAGAACATAAAACAACAATGAGACAAGGTATTTGTTTACCGGTTCGGATTTAAACAATCCTACATCCAGGGATACCAATTCAGGAGAAGTTCACTAATCAGTGTTGATTAAGAACAAAGACAACCCAACTCCTTCAATTCATCCTCCTAACATGATTTACCTTGGAAATTCCCTCCACAGGTTTATGTTGTCACAAACTCGTGCTGACAACGACCATGGAGTAGAGCTGCTCAGAATTTGGACGTCTGGTCGGAACTCCGATTTCTCCTTCTTCCGACGAGGTCTCCGGCAAGATAAAAGTATTTAGCACTCACTCAATGCATGGAGAAGAGAATGGTTGGAGTTGAGAAGATTTAACTCACTTTCTCTCACTATACTCTACTCTCAAAACCTTCCAACAACCACAACAACCACACTCTCTCGTCACAATTATCTATAAAGCCATTTTGCTTTGCATGTAAGACAAAACCAATTAAAACCCTTTGCACATAAATGGAATGATATGTTCCTGCATAATTCTGATGCAATTTGACTACCCAAAACATCCATTCTTTTGTCTTGTGTGTTCACCAATCGAAAGAGTGTAAGATAAGCAATGTTGTTATTAGCCTGTTGCAGCACCCTGATAAGACAAGTTATCAAGTTACTCCAAATGAAAACGGTAAAAGACAACATAGGGAAACATAAAGACCATATGCCAAAATAAATTGGGTTCCAACAACAACAACAACAACAACAACAACAACAATAATAATAATAATAATAATAATAATAATAATAATAATAATAATAATAATAATAGGATTATATTGAAATAAATCTAAATTTGAGGTCTATAATTATGACATAAATATTTCGCAATCATAATTATTGTTCACTAAAAATAAAGTTACAATCGAACAAACCCAAATTTATGCTATAATTACTTAAATACGTAATTGACTGAAAGTGTGATATCAGCTTCAACTTGAGTTGAAGGTCTTTCATAAATCAAAATATTATTATTATTATTATTATTATTATTATTATACCACCGACCCCTAATAGAGCAGTGGACCCATCCATACATCGTGCAATTTATTTTTTCAGAATACTTTTTTAACTGATTATATTAATTAAAAGTAAAATATGTGAAAACATTTATTTATTAGATTAAATAATGTATTTCCACTTTTCATCAAAGAGAAAAACAATTGGATCGTTTTTTTGTCAAACAGCTGAGTTTACAAACATATTTGTGCCCGCAAAGTCTACGGTCTGATCTTTTCTTCAATTGTTTCATATATATTGTATTTTTATTTTTATTATTATTATAAAAAAATATAACTTTTTTATTAAAAACAAACTTTTAGATGTCATATTTTAAAGGAAATATTTATATTTAGCGGACTTTTTTTGTTTTGATTTGAAACTATAATGTTCTAATTTGAATTTTGATTTAAATAATATTTTGTGAATAAAAGAATTATACATTTTTATTGAGAATGGTGCAAATTGAGTAATGATAATTTTGATTTTAAATAGAAAAGAAATTGTTAAAAAATGGAGTTGACAAATCTCTTTCTAAAATCTTAAAGTTATCTATAACAACATACTGTAAACAAAATAAATGCAGAACTTTAAAACAAACAAAGTATTTGGTAACTCAGTTCGGTTATAAACAACCTATATATGTGAATCCAATCCATGAGTAGTATAACTATAATCAAATTAAAAAAACGAAAACAACCACAAACCCCTTCAATCCATTCATTTACAATGTCTCACCTTAAAAAATAAATTTACAGACTTTTGTTGTCATAAACGTGTACTGACAACAGCTATGGAGTTAATGTTAAACACACGTTCAAAACACACTCGAGAATATTTTCCTTTACATTATCTCTTTTTGGCATATAGATCCATGCACAATAAGTAAAAAATAAGTCAAATCCTCGTAGATCTCATAGATCAAGCAGTGAGACATCCCTTGCTTGAGGGTTAGGTCCCAGGTTCGATCGTTGGTGAGTGCGTGTGTGAAATTCCCATAGGAGATATCTGAATGTGTATTTTCATTTTTACTTCATTGAAATCCTTTTTTATTCATCATTTTTCGTAATGAATTCATTCTTGTATTTATCACTTATAATTTTCGGTTTCATCTACTTCGATTTATTGAAAATTATTTTAAGACCACAATTAGATTTTATATTGGATTAGTCTCATTGAAAAAACTTTAACAAAAATTATCCTCAGACATTGTTCACGTATCACTTACACAATTTCCGATGTGCCACAACAGCATCTATGACGTCTTAAGGATCATTTCTACCAATTTTTTTTACTTGTAAGACTATAATAATTTTTCCAGTACGAATTTAGCTATGATCCTAAAATAATAAAGTTACATACTGAATTAAAAAAAACAAAAAAAAATTAATAATAATTTTTCCAATTGGTTTATGGTCTAGTTCTTCTATAAGATGGGAAGATGTTGAGCATAACATATATATATATATATAGGACAATTTTAGTTGAGCATCGATCACCAACAAATAATCTAAAACTTAAAAACGTATAATAATTAGTTGATGAAATTAAAATAAGCAGAATACTGAAATCTCAACCACCAATATTAACTATAAAGACATCAGACTAATCCTCGGATCATAATTACACCTTTTTTGTCTGTTTTGTATTATTTATTCCCCCATCAATATACGTATAATTACATTCATGAATATTGTATAAAATATCCCAAACAAATAACAAGGAATATATATATATATATATATTTCATTTTTTTTTATTGATTTGAAAAAAAAAATGATTTGAGTTTGATATTAAAATAATATTCCTTAGGATATTTGTAAGAGAAAAAACTATATTTACAAAAACTTGGGAAGTTTTGGTTAAAGAAAAACACTCAAATTTACTATCATGTCCGTGTAGTTTATAATAAAAATATATTTTTTTTGAAATATATATATATATATATATAGACAAATCTTTGGGTTCATCATTCATTTTGACTTCATTTTTCAATTGTATTTACCTATGTATGCATATAGGTAAATAGTCGCTACACAATTTAAATCTGATTAGCTGGTGATTTTTTTTAAAAAAAAAATTGTTCAAAAAGTAGTGGTTTGAAATGAATGTATTCTATGAAAAAAATTATAGAAAACTATGAGGTCAACTAATAGAAAAAATGTAAAAACAATAACCAAGTAAATAAGTTTTTTTTTTTTTTTATTTTAAGTGAATAAGGTGTGTTTTTACTGATTTTATATTATTTATCTTTAAAATCATCATATCAAGTAATTATTTTTACTTTAAGTATATAAATATACAAATAAAACTGAAGTTTTTTTTTTTCCTATACTTTGTGTTTGTTTATATTTGTACGTAATTTAATTTTTAAGTGAAATAATTATTGAATATGATTATATATATGAAAAAAGTTTTTATAAATTTTATTATTTGAATTTTGCGTTTTTATAAAAGAATTTTTTTTTTCTCACATAATATCATATTAAATATTGTTTTAATACCAACTTCAAAGTTATTGTCTCCAAACTCAAACAAAAAAAAAAAAAGACATGCTTTATTATACAAAATCATAAGCAGCTAAATATGTAAATTATATATGATAACATTTCAATAAATGAAAAGAATATTTTATTTTTATTAACTAAAAATGTGGGGAATGAATAATAATGATATAAAAACCCAAATAACAACCAAATAAACCCTAAATGTGAGATAATTATTTAGGATATGTTTCTTTTACTCAAAACCCCAGATTTTTACTATTTGAACTGTGCGTTTCTTGAAAATAATATTTTTTTTCTCTCACAAAACATCTCATCATACATTATTTTAATACCAAATACAAACCAAATTTTTTTCAAACCCGTCTAAAAAAAATGATGTGTAATTAATTATTTCTTTAACAAAGAATTTACATTCTTTATTTGATCATAAATCGTACCAACAGTCAATGAATCTCATTCGCTTTCATATTCTCTTTATTTTTATTTTTATTTTTTCTTCCAAATTTGATATATAACAAATCCATTTTAAAGCATAGATGTACAAATATATATTTCATTTATTATTTGCTAGTAGTATAAAAATATTTTTTATCCCTAAGCAGCATTCATATATAATTAGAAAATTAGATTATTATTTTTTGAAATATCGGTTTGGTTTATAATTATTTAATTCATACTTATTAGTAAAATAGTCACCTTAAAGTAAAAAAATGCTGTGCGACTTTTTGGTGGGACAAAATTATATGGACAAGAATCTAATATTTATAATTAAGGTAGACAAGTAATTTGATTTGTAATATAGATGGATAAAAATAGTGCAGTGGATAATTAATTAATTAAATTGTTAATTAGTTTTGAGGGTATTTGCATGACAAAAGTGTGACAAATCTCAACCGTCGATTTAACAGCCAGATTGCATTTCCACCCACAAATCCACAATTATCTCCGTCTTATCAATCCAACCATTGTTGCGATGTGGTCCCCCGACGCCTCCGACACGTGTCACCATCTCATTCGATGGCTTTCTACGCCCGTGTCGGTTTATTAATCGCCTCATTTTCCTGCGCTCTTATGCCTAATTACGTCATTTTCAATCGCTAATTTTTTATTTAATTTTAATTTTTTAAAATCCAGTCACTGGTTTCGGGGACTTAAGAGTGAGATGAAAAGACCATCTCGCCCCTGGCGTAGACTGATCTGATTGGCTGGCGCAGTGCGCCGAGATGCAGAGTAGTGCTTATGCTATACGTATTCGAGAGGCGCCCGTATACAGTATATAAAGACGATTGCATTCTCAGCTTGTGCTGTGCTGATTTATTTTGTTTTGTTTGGATTTGATTTTTTTGGTGGTGTTTCATTTCCAATACCATGCTCTTCTTCTCTGATAAATTTCCCAAATCTAAAAGCTTGCACGGCGCCATCGCCGCCGTCTCCTCCTAATCGCCGCCGTCGATTATTGACCTGTGAATATATATACATATATATATATATTGATAAATAGATAGATAGACGACGAGAAATTCGGATATGGAGAGCACCGATTCATCGAGCGGGTCGCAGCAGCCGCAGCTGCCGCCGGGGTTCCGCTTCCACCCCACCGACGAGGAACTGGTGGTGCACTACCTGAAGAAGAAGGCGGCGTCGGCGCCGCTGCCTGTCTCCATCATAGCGGAGGTCGATCTCTACAAATTTGATCCGTGGGAGCTTCCAGGTGAGTTGAATTTAATTTTCTAGGGATTTGAGATGAAATGGTTTTAAATAATTTGGGGTTTTGTGGAATGATCAGCGAAGGCGATATTTGGAGAGCAGGAATGGTATTTCTTCAGCCCTAGAGATAGAAAGTATCCGAACGGGGCGAGGCCGAACCGGGCGGCGACGTCGGGTTACTGGAAGGCGACCGGAACTGATAAACCGGTTCTGACCGCCGGTGGGACGCAGAAGGTCGGAGTTAAGAAGGCCCTGGTTTTTTACGGCGGGAAGCCGCCGAAGGGTGTGAAGACCAGCTGGATTATGCACGAGTATCGTCTCGCCGATAATAAGCCCAACTCTAAGCCGCCGGGCTGCGACATCGCCAATCGGAAGGGTTCTTTGAGGGTAACTGATTAATTAATTAATTGATTGATTGATTACAGTTCATTGATTTTTGTGTTTCGATGGAATTTGATTGATGAATTGCAGCTGGATGATTGGGTGTTGTGCCGGATTTACAAGAAGAACAATTTGCAACGGCCGGCGGAGCGCGACGACATCGGCGAAATGATGGGGTCGATTCAGGCGGCGGCGCTGTCGATGCCGATTGGGCATCAGAGCAAGGCGGCGGCGGCGGCAGCGGCAGGGTACTGCGCCTTTCTAGAAAGCGATCACAGTTTGTACGAAGGGATGATGAGCAGCGGCGGCTGTATGAATCCTCACGGCGGCGCGAAGGCGGCGCTGACGCAGCTCCCTTTACTGGCCGCCGCAGACCCTAACAATCTCCTCCCCGGCGGCGGTAAGCGCGCCTTGCCGAGCCTGTACTGGACGGAGGACGGCGACCCGAACTCGCCGCCGACGAAGAGATTTCTGGGAGACAATTGCGACGGGAGCATGGCGACTGCAGACGAGACGCCGCCGAATTCCATAGCCAATATTCTGAGCCAGCTGCCGCAAGCTCCGCCGCTGCAGAAGCAAGCGATGATCGGAAGTCTCGAAGACGGGGTTTTCCGGCAGCAACCGTTTCAGGTTTCCGGCCTCAACTGGTACTCGTAATTAATCAAATTCGTAACTACTCACGCCCAATTAATTTTCATCCTGTCCAAAATTACAATTACAATTACAAATTAAAATCTAAATATATATTCATATATATAATTGCTGCTGGATATTTGGGAATTTGAGATAATTTTGTTCATATGGCTATCCAAGAACATATATAAATATATACATCGTTATGTCAGGTCTGGTCATATCTTGGCCTGCTAATTCGATGGAATCCATTTTAGGTTTGGTGAGGCCGTAGATACATATACATAATATATATATATGTTTGTATGTATGTGTTGCTATTGATATACTATAAATTTGAACTGTTCTTCTTTCAGTATTCTTCGTGTACACAGTATATATACACATGCATGTATATATCTTAGTCATTGCAGAATAAAATCAAATAAAAATGCCATCTTGTTTAATTTGTGGGAAATTAATTAAGATCAATTAGATTATACAAATCAAATTTCCTATATATTTATATTGTGCTTTGCAAAATTACATTTATTTAAGTGCTTAATTTCAATTTCATCCTTATTATTATTGGATTTGTTACATTTGTCCAAATTGAAACCCTAACTGAATCGTGCATGTGTGTTCATCATGTCTATACTTACAAACCATGTATTTAAATATATATATTATTTTAAAAATTAATTTAAAATGAATATATATATATATATATATATATAGATAGATATAGAATTAACATGGAGGCATACATCAGCTTGTAAGTTCACATGTTTTGTGCATGCAAAAATGGTTGCCCCATACTTGAGCTTTATTTTTATATATATGACATGTAACAGAATTTCCTGATGACGGTTACAACATACACTTTAAAAGATGGTATATAAAATAAAATAAAATAAAATGGGATAAATAAATAAATAAAATTGAGCAATATTATTGTATTTAATAAAGCCATAGAATAATTAATGTGAATTGCCATTAAATGGGTAAACACAAACTAAGATGCGTCTCTGTAGAAAGCAAACTGCATGCCATAAATAAAAATAATAATTAATTAATTAATTATACTTAATAGCCAGATATGTATAAATAAAGCATATAGCAATTTTTACAATAAATAAATAAAATATTTGGAATTAATCCGAAAATAATCATAATTCTCAAAGGGATTTGAATAATTGATTAACGTCACTTTCTCTAATCAATCAATAATTCAGATGAAGATGAAGATGGTATTCATTATTTTATTTTATTTTATTTTATTTTTGCATTAGGGACCATCCTCACTTGTCAAAGGAATTATTGATAAACACTTTTAATTAATTACAGCACATATGTTTCTATTTAAGGAAATCGAACAAACCACCCTTAATTGTCTTTTCAATTTCTCTATTCCCTTATTAATTCATATGGAATCTTAGTATAACATATTATAAATATAAATAAATAACAATACAATTTTGATGTCATATTTTTATTAAAAATAAATAAATTGTGAAAAATAAATATTTTAGATTTATAAAGTAAACACACTATATAATTTACAAAGGATATTCTTATAGGCTAGGGAAGTTCTAGATTGAAGTTAGGGTGCTGAATTTTTAAATTTGAGCATCATAATAAATCATGTCAATTTGTGTAGTTAAATAATATAATTAATATAATCTTATGCAATTATTTTAAATGCATAAGTATTGCGTTGAATTTAATCCTAACTGATCATCCCCAAGTTTTAATATTTTTTCCAATGGAATACTCTAAATATTATTTTCATTCAATAATTTATACATGCACACATAGGTAAATAATTTATTAATTCACTTAATTAAGATTGTATTATTCTCATAAATTTAATTAATTGTTGAAAATGCAAATTATTAATATGTGATCCGATATAAACAAGTGTCGATGTGATATTTTAAATTTAAAATTAATTTTGTATAGTATAGAAAATGAAAAATAGACATTGAATATAATGTTCTTGGAGAAAAAAATTTTAACAAATAATAAAATTTTGAAAAATTAGATAAAATAACACACCCTGTTAATATCAATAGAGTTGGGTTCGTCACATCAATGTGACAATTCGCATTAATTAAAAGTTAAATAAATGAAAACAATTTGATAAGGATATATTGTTTAAGAGACAAATGGGTTGGTGGCTGATGCTAATCAGAATTAATTCTATTAAGCATACTTACAAATTAATAGTACTATAATTTTATATGCGGTAATATTATTAGCATAAATTTTCACTGCAACATATATATATATAATTATTATAAAATTCTATATTAAAATAAATAAAAATTACCTTTTTTATATATTGATTTTAGAAAATACAATGAATTATTCAATTTCCTTCTAATAATTAATTCTTCAAAACACGCAAACCATCGTAACTTTTATCTTCTTCTTCGTTTTTTCTGGTTGCAATAAAATAAATAAATAAATAAAATTATTGAATATCTCAAATTTCATCAACAAAAGTGTTTTTTTTACCGATTCCTCATCATTATTATTTATAAAAAATACATACACATTAACACAATATATATATATATAATATAAATTCAATCCAAAATATTAAGTTGTGTTCGTTTGTGGGATTTTATCCGAATTTTATTATTCATCAAATTTATTCCTTCAAAAAAATATCAAACCAAACACCATTTTTTTTTACATTATACAAAAATATATTTAATATTCAAAACATCACATAAACATATATTTATATCATATCATATAATTATTTCAATTCAAAATTTTTAGAATTAAATCCTAAACAAAAAATCCAAAATCCTCAAAATAACACTACTAATAAAATTTCCTATAACTAACATAAAAAAATACATATCAATCTACATATTCAAAGTAAACAAACTCATAGTATCCGACATTTATTTATATTATGAGAGAACGAGAAAGAAAACAAATAAAAAAAACAGAGATTTTACGTGGTTCGGTGACGGTGTATCAACTTACGTGCATGGGCAGGAACCGGAGAGATTTTATTATACTGATTCAGAGAGTTACAATCATGTCATATGACTATGAACCATAGGTATCTATTTATAATCATCCAAAAACACCCTAAACCCTAAACCCTAAGCCTATTTGTTATTAAATAGAATAAGCCCAAAAAGAAACCTGTCAATTGAAACAGTCATTTTGATTTCGGATCGGATAGACCGCTAAATTCAAGTCACGTTTCAATATTTTCATATTAAAATATCAAAACTCAAAACATACTAAAGCAATCTCTCTCCCTCTCTCTATTAAATCAATCGTTTATTCTTTAAAAACAAACCAATCATATACCCCAACATTTCAGGTCACTTGCCACACATGGTTCGCCTAGTGTGACTTGTCTATCGGGCCTAGTTTGCACAGTATTAGATTCAACCGGTGGCTTACCCCGTACGCACTTTCGGATAGTGGCGGCAGATTCTTACATTATAAAAAAAAAAAAACCCAATCATGTACCATTTTTAAATTTAAAACAGTAACATCTAAATATTATTCAACTTATAAATATAAAATAATAATGTAAAAACACAAATAAACATACCTTAAATTGTAAAATAATAAAAATTTGTTTAATAAAAATTGGTTGCTATAAACTAGACTTCCTGAATTTCCATACAAACTTCTTAAATACTAATATTATTAATACTACAACCTTTAAAGTTTTAGTATTTTTTATATTTATTATGACTTTGTTCACCCTCCTAGTACACGATTCTTAATATATATTTTATTTTTTCATAGAAAATCAAATTTTAATATAAAATATTTTTTTATATTATTGATACAATTTTTTCATAACCTCAAATCAAACCATTAAACAAACGCATCCTATACTTTTTTATATAAAAATATTATATTAAAAATATCTAATTGATAGAAAACATAAACATTTCTTATTTGCTATGATATACTCGTCTCTTAACAAATTATCTATTTTTTTTATTTTGGTATGTTTCATAGTAAATAATCAATTTCCTTCTTTTTTTTTTTTTTTTTTTTTTTTAATAACGATACTATCTATCTAATATTACAAATACTTTTATAACTTACAATATATAATACAAATGATATTACTTTTATATCACACAATACTAATAAGGTTATTTTAGCTATTTCTATTAATTCATACTAAATCTCAATATAATACTAATATTTTTAAAACTCCGTAAAAAAAACATATGACTGTGAAATAAAGAAAATTCGATGATGTTGTAGATTGTAGAGTTGATTGTCTTTTTTAAAAAAAAGACACACACACATTAGATGGCTTGAAGGGTGTTTTTGTTTGGGGTTTGAAATTTGAGTTGGAATTAGAATAGTAAAAATTTTGAATTGTAATTAATTTTTAGTATAATATCAAGTGTTTGATTTGATTTTTTTGCGAGAAAAAATAATAATAAATAATAAAATTTGGGAAAAATCCCTTACACGAACACACCGGAAATGTTTTTCGGTCCAATATCTAAATTCATGTTGATGTATATATCTTTGATAACCTTGTCGTAGATTTTGTAGTTGATAGCTCATTGATTAGAATCTTCCAAATGTAAATTTACTATTGAACTAATTGAATCAATAAATTTTGTGTATAACTTGTTTTATGTTTACATTTGACTAACAATAGATTCAGAGAAGTTGGCCATAGTATTCAAGAGCCTTTTGAATTTTTCGAAATATTAAAATATTTTTAACTTTTATTTAAATTATAAATATATCATTAAATATCCAATTAGTTGACACATCAAATTAAATGATAAAATTGTCAAATACTTTTATATACTTTCACTAACTAATAAAATATTATTATTTTTTAACTACTGTCAAATTCTAAAGGACCAACTGGATTGGGATGGGTGAAGTATTTAGTTGGACATTTATTTATTTTTATTTATGCATATGCATGGGCTTGGGCCCTTAGTTTTGAGTTAATTAACATAATGATCTTTAGGGCGCGTTTGTTTTGTGTTTTGATTTGAAAAAATATTTTTCACTATAAAATATGAAAATAATAAATGTGTATAATATATTAATTTTTTTAGAAGAATATGTTTAGAAAATTTTAGGTAAAAAAATAAAGCCTTGAGAAGGTTCACAATTAACCACACAAAATTTTAACAGAAGCTTAATTCATTTCACCTTGTAAAATTGACTCATATATAAAGTGAAATACCTTTAATTAATAAGGTTAATCCATATGCCTACTTAAACTATATGGATTTAGCAAAATTGAATAAGAACAAAATCTAAAGTAATACGTCAATATCTAGAAAGTTACTTAAATAAATATATATATATATATATTAATATTGATATATCTTTTCAAAAATGATTTTTCATAACACTTCTTGCACATATTTTTACTTAATAGTTATAATCACAATTTTCACAATTCTATACAAAAATAATTATTTTATCTCCAAAAGTATATCATTTTAATTCCTATTTATTCATAAAAATGGAAAGAAAATAGATGTGTTCACCTCGTATTTATTTTAATTTTTATATTTGATAAAATAATTATTAGAAATAATATTTATACAAACAACTAGCCGGCAAAGAGGAGTCAGAGTTGGCCAAGTGCGCAACTCTGCTGTAAGAACGTCACTTTGTTATAAATAATATAAATATATATATATATAATATAATATTGGTCAAAACAAATTCTTTGTAAACATGACAATTTGTTGCATGTATGTCACACTAGGCATTTTTAATGTGAAAGTGGAATTCTTATTTATACCAACAACTAGCCAGGACAAAAATAAAATAAAATAAAGTCTAGCACCTAATTAAATTTGATTTTTCATTTTTACATTCAATATTTAAGGAGAAGGGGGAGCGTAGTAGAGCAGGTCAACAATCACTACTGTATGTATTTATTTGGTCAATCATAAATCTGCAATTGGCATTATAATGAATCATACATTATTCATTTATTTAAATATTTACCCAGTCTGGTATTAATATTATGACATTAATTAATTGACCCTGCGGACAGCTGTGATTTGTCCAATAGCCACACAGTCACACTACAGCAACTATGGAACAAAGGGATGATATGATGGTGTAGGATTTGGAGTATAATCGTAACGTCATGGAAGTTCAAATATTTTACGTTATGTTTCACGTTATTTGTTACATATAATTTGTTTAGTGTGATTTAACTATCGAATCTAGTTGACAAAGTAAGCATTTTTGGGTAGCTATAAAAAATACTTCCTCCCTTGTGCAAATGTGTGCTTATTTGACCGGACACATATTTTAACAAAAGTGAGTAATAATTGTTATTTTTTATTTTTATAATAAAAAAAAATACAAAAATGTAATTTTTTTTTTTTACTTAAAAAAACGAAAATATTTTTTTAATGATAACTCTAAAAAAAATATCATAAATTTGAGTAGGGATGGAGTAATAAATAAATAAAGGCAGTCAAGTCAAAATTCTTCTAGAAGCATAATGGACGTGGTCAACTACAGCCGTGTGCCTCAAAGCCCAACCTTTCTGAATTTACAGATATTTCCACCAACTCCAATCATCATCTCCACACACACACACACATATATATATATATATATATATATAATGGAGGACGAACAAGAAGTAATTCATTGATCGGAAAATTAATTTAAATTAAATTAAATTAAATATTATTGTGTCCATGGAGCTGCCGCAAAGCAGAAGCCGGCTTCCTCCCCGGACGAGGACGGCTGAAGCCGCCGCCGGCAAGAATCTGAATCTGAATCTGAGTTTGATGAGTCCGAGGAAGGCTTACAGCCGATCGGCGGCGTCGGAAAGTAAGCTGAGGAGGAGGAGGAGGCACGGGAGCAAAGAGGTTGTGAGGAGGGCTTTGATGCAGCCGCCGAGTCAGAAGCCGAGCTGGAGGTGGAGGAATTTCACGCCCACGCCGACGCGATTCTCCGCCGTCGACGGCGCGGCGGCGGGGGAGCCCCTCTTAATTAATTAATCGGACGGCGGCGGATCCTGCTCGTCTGAAATCTGAATCTATCTTGATTATTCTTGTTTATTTAATTAGCAGAGGCTGAAATTAATTAGATCTGTTTTTTCGATCAATCGGCTGTATATTCTTTTTGTGAATTAATCCAGTGTAAGATTAAGTTTGGTTCTTCCATAAATGAAGTCCATGGAGGTCGTTAGAAATTGTTACGGAGAGCTTCTATGAAGACAATAATTATACATCTTTATGCTCTTGATTTTGTTCTTCATATGCATCAAAAGTCAAAAATCTTTTTTACTTGAAATTTGTGACATATGCCACAAATTAAAGTCAAGCAAAAGAGAATATATAAAGTTTCAGTTTCATCTCCAAAATTCAATCTTTTTAGTTGTACGTGTTGATACGTGGATGTGTATATGGATTTTGAATTGAAATTTAAATAATAAAAATTTTAAATTGAAATAATTGTATAATGTGATATAGATGTTGATATAATATTTTAAATGTAAAATTAATTTTTAATATAATATAAAAAATAAAAAATAAATTTTTGATTTGATATTTTTTTAAAAAAAAAAAAATTAATGATTTAAATACTTTGAAATGTACCCAATAAGTCACCTAATTATAAATTCTTGAAGGTATTTTGATATGTTTGTATATGTCTCATTAATATATCTTCTTTATTATTGGCTAGTTTAGATTATGATTTTAACAATTTTATTTTTTATTCGAATTGATAAGTGTGCACTAAATACCTTTGAACTCTGCCACACCTATTAATAATACTTAGGTTTCCTTTACTTGGCCTGCCGAAGATATTGGGCTTTTTGGCTTTACTAAACTCAGCCCATTTAATTTATTTGTTTAAATTTTACTCTTTCTTTCGTTCAAATTTATGTTATTTTCTTTTTTATCGGTTTTCATCCAAAAATATTTTTATTTTTTTAAAGTAAAAAGTTATTTTATTTTTGTACTTTTTTTACTATAAAGTAAAAAATTGACAATTATTACTCATTTTTATTAAAATCCGTGTCCTATCAAAAGAGCTCACATTTACACAACGGAGGGAGTATAATATACCTATTTATTTATGCTTTTTACTTTTATTTTATTTTTTTATGTCGGACCTATAGTATATGGTGAAATTTTTTATTATTTTTTTTGTAAAATGTGACGTTGAAAAGCTAAGGTTATCCAAAACTCAAAACTCTAATAATTTCACACTTAATTTAATACTGATTTGATAGTAAAGAACTATTTTTCCTTTATAGAACAACACTATATACAAAGTTATGATAAATTCCAACCACACTTCAATAAAATATTATTTAGGCATAAAATTTGTAGAGCTTGTTTGGAGGGGATTTGGTATCCTTGAGAATAATAAATACTATAAACATACAAAATACAGTATATAGGATGATTTTAAACATACAAAATACAGTATATAGGATGATTTTGTTGTTGATTAGAGTTAATTAGTCTCATGATAAGTAGTTGTTGGGAAAGTGGTTTATCGAACAAAAACATTCGAATACTTTAAAAGGTCAACTCCCTAAGCGTGGGTGGTTCACAGTTATAACAACGTTTTAACAACGAAAGATAATTCAGAATATAAAACAATAATGAGACAAAATGTTTGTTGATCAGGTTCAATTATCAACTAACCTACATCCGATGATACCAATCCAGGAGATATTTTACTAATCAATTAAGGACAAAACAACCACAACTCTTTCAACTCAAAAAGCTATCATGGTTAACTTAGGAAAATACCTCTACAGGTTCACGTTGTCACAAACGCGTACTGACAATGACCATACAACAGAGCAACTCAGAGTTTGATTATTCTCTCTGTTTGGAACTCTATTATCTTCGATCTCCGTCGAACTCTCCGGCGGATTTTAGTGTTAAACAACAATTCAGAACATGAAGAAAATGAAGAGAAGAGTGAGAGCACACACAATAATTTCTCTCTCTAAATTTTGGCTCTCAAACCTCACTTACCACCAAACATTTTATCCTTTGGTTGTATATATCATGCAACCTTGGAAAGAACACACTTCACATTAATTTTCCTTTAACATAGAAATGGATGAAGTATTGCACGAGTCTGACCATCTCCAAAATACTATATTTGACTCTTGCAGGCACTTAATGTTTGAACATAATGAATAATGCAAAGCACACAGATTCAGACTGCAGCAGGATTGCAGATACAACCCTCCTGCAATATCAGACTTCTTGAAAAAAAAAATTTACTGTAGGAAAATGAAAAATATATTTGTCCATATGCCAAAAATAAAAAGGATTTTTTCATTCACATAGTTAACAAAAAAATATATATATATATATTCTGACAATTTATTTTTTACAATATATTTTATGAATATATTTCAAATGTTGAGATCATTTATAATACAGGCTATATAAATATTATCAGTTAACATATTGTTTTTATATTGTATTCAATATAATATTTGTGATATTAATTTATATTTTATGTGCAATTGTATATATCACATTAAAAATATGGATTTAGCATATATATATATATATATATGCGTGTGGAAATAAGAATTTGAGGTTTATTATTATTATTATTATTATTATTATTTTGAATGGTAGATTAGTATTTGAAGGGCGGCGCATATATATAACTTAGGAACTAAGATATGCATTAATTGATTGGTTGATGTACTGTCTCTAAGTGTGGGAATCATATATAGAAAAAATTTTAAAAATTAGATAACTCGTTTTAATCAGCTTTTTGGAGGTTGCAAAAGCAAAACAAACACCCGTAGCCATGTCTAACCTCATCAACTAATTAATTAGAGAGAGAAAGGGTGTGTGTGAATAGCTGCAGGTGACAAGTGGCCTTCGTCATGTCTAGTGAAAGCTTCACACCCCAGATTTCTCTCTACCCCAAATTCTTTACCCAACGACATGACACAGACACTAACAATAATAAATAATAAATAATAATAATAGTACGTTAAAATTGGTCATAATTTTTTTATAATTTTAAAATTCAGCCTACATTCTTTTGTGTAATAAGAAGATGATTTTTTACCTATATTCGTATGACGGAAAGTTTAATGCAATATTTTGTAAAATATAAAAGGACGTCATGCAATTTTTTAAAATATAATGAGAATTTACACTGAGTTTCAAAACTATAGAAGATTTTCACGAACATTTTTTTTTATATAAAGAGGCGTTTTATAATTTTTTAAAGTAAAATGCAAATTTACGTTGAGTTTCAAAATTATAAAAAAATTTCATGAACGGCATAATACAATTTTTAAAGTAAATTAACTGGATTTCGAAATTATGAAAAAATTATAGCAATTTTGCCTAATAATAATAATAATAATAATAATAAATGCAATCAGAGAGAACATAGAGTGTTAATTAGTTGGAAAGGAAAATATATACATACATACATACATATATATATATTGTATGAATTAAGAATTGAAGAAGAAGAAAAGCTGCAATTTGGGTTTGCCTTTCCACACAAGCCTTTTTTTTTCTCTCCAAATTAAATTAAATTAAATTAAACCCCTCCTCCTGATCTCCAAATTCCAATATTAGTATAATTTGGATTGATTGATTGATTGGATGGTTTGCTTCTGCTTTCTGGTGGATCAGAAGAGGGTGGTGCGGCGGCGGAAGCCGGTGGCCGGAATGTGCTCCCGGTGCAGACACAGCGCCACCGTCGCCGACATGCAGACTCTCACCAGGTTCTGTTATATTCCTTTCTATTGGACATCCTGGAAAGCCATCGTCTGTTGTTTCTGTGGCTCTATTCTCAAATCTTACACTTAAAAATATTTACAATTAATTAATGCTTGTACACACACACACATACATACCTACATACATGTAATAATATGATGATCATTGATCAAATTATATATCTTTTTATTATAGTTATTCTTTTTATTATTTATTTATTTATTTTTTATTAATTTATAAGTGCTACTATACAACAGCTAGTTAGATATATTCTCATGTTCTGAATAAATTAGATTCATACGTGTCCATTTCTATTACTCTAATCAGCATTTTGTACTAGCTCATTGTTTCCTTCTGCCTAATACTTGGTTTCCACAAGCAATTTTCAACCCAAATTATCCAGTATACTAATTTTATTTCATTTTTTCTCTTTATAAAATATTAAATTAAACATCCAATTTTTAAACTTTATATTATAATAAAAATTAGTTTTAAATTTAAAATATTATATTAATACTTGTTCATATTACAGTTATGTTATTCAAAATTTTATTTTCAAAACTCAAAACCCAACTATTAAACCCACAAACAAACACACCCCAACTTCACATTTACTTATAAATATATTTTAGAACAAAATATTGCATTTAAACCCATTATTATTATTATTATTATTATTATTATTATTATTATTATTATTATTATTATTGTTGTTGTTATCGGATACAAGTCGAAATCAGTTGTCACATAATTTCATGAATTATTAATGATTACGTTGATTAATTGTATCTCCAAAAACGAGAATTCATATATAATTGGATGAATGTTTATGCTATTACATGAATTTATTATATGATTGAATATTTGTATACCAATACGATGATATAATTAAATATAAAATATTAATTAATCACATCAACATGGTACTGATTTGATCGAATCAACGTACATATGAAAATGATTAACATATATTTATGCATACTCAGTATATTTATAATACAATATGTATTATATTATAATTCAGTATAAAATACTACCTTCGTTCGGCTCCAAGGGTCTCATTTACTTTTTGCATGTTGATATTTGAATATTAATTATTATATAACAAACGTAGCACAAATCAACGAAAAATGGCATAAATACTTCTAGTAGTATTTTATAATACTATTGAAATGACATTTGTGCAAAAATATATATAAATATAACGATATTTTTAATGTTAATTACAATAACGTAAAAAAAGTAAACGAGACTCTTAGAGTCGGAGAGAGTATCTTGTAACATGACATATAGAGATATAAATCAATCTTATAGTATAAGTTGATTTGGGCGAACTAGCATCCTATTGATTTGGTCAAATAAGCACAAAATTTGCAATCCATTTAGGGTGTGTTTGTTTTGAGGGTTTGGATTTTGGATTCAGATTTGAATAGTAAAAATTTTGAATTTGAATAGTTGTATTATGTGATATAAATAGATGTTGATGTGATGTTTTGAATGTAAAATTGATTTTTAGTATAATATAAAAAAATAAAAAATAGATATTTGAATCGATATTTTTGAAAAAATAAATTGAATAAATAGTTGAATTTAAATTCAATCCTCCGAACAAACACACCAGTATTGATTTATTACAAAGAGCTCAAGCTATTTTCCTTGTTTCTTGAAATAAATTAAATAAGATTTTTTTTTTTTTTTTTTTTTTTGTAATGAATATAATAAAATGGTGTTATTTTCCTGCGTTAGGTGCAGGACAATTAATTTTTATTCTCGAAGGTTTGACCTGCAAACGTATTTTGACTTTTTTCGTGGTCACGTTCCACGTGGCTTTTATTTCTTTCACTTATTTGTTTTTAGTTTTTTTTATGCGCCAATTATTATTGTACGTTTTACAAATGTCAATAAATTTAAGGGAATTCAGATTTGAGTTTTATTCTTTAATTCTTCCCCGGCCTACTGAAATCTCATTAAATTTATACCTAAAAACCTAAGTTTTTTATTCATTTGTTATGATTTAATACCGTTGAACTTTGAGGAAAATAAAAAATATTTCAATTTTCAAACGAGACCGGTGTGTTTGTTTGGAGGTTTAAATTTTGAGTTGGGATTTGAATATTAAAAATTTTGAATTTGAATAGTTGTACGATGTGATATAAATAGGCGTTGATGTGATGTTTTGAATGTAAAATTGATTTTTAGTATAATTTAAAAATAAAAAATATGTGTTTAATTTGATTTTTTTTTAAGAAAAAATGAAATGAACAGTGTATTTAAAATTTAATTCCCCAAACAAACACAACCAAAATGTATTTTGAACAACTCTAATTTCATATGTTGATGTAAATTATTTTCCAGCTGTTTGAATAATGTCAGGGAGTTATTTATTTAATAATAATAAAAGAATTATGTCATAACTATTATTAAATTTTACTTATTATCTTATAAAATATTTTAACTGTCCTATTAAAATATTTAAAAATATATATTACGTTAAAATATATATTTTCTCACAAAATATGGTATAAAATGTTTTACTTTTTACTATTCATCGAAATTTGTAAAATTTTAACTTTCAAAACTCATATTTAGATAGATTCTACTCCCTCCGTTCCATAACAAAGTATCCAATTTTTTCATTTTAGTCCGTCCCATAAAAAAGTATTCATTTTCTTTTTTAGTAACTGTACTATCTACCTAACATTACAAATACCCTTACAACTTACAATATATTAGACAAATGTTATTACCTTTGTATCACATTTTAGTCATTTCTACTTTATTCCTACTATATTCCAATATAATACTAATATTTCTAAAACAACGTGCAAAAAGCAAATGGATATTTAGTTCCGAGACGGAGGAAATAGTAAAAATATAGGCAACAACATGTACATAGATATAAACGATATATAGTTATATTTTATCATCTCATAAAAAATTAATATACATCGAAAAAAAACACTAATATTAATATAATGGGCCAATCTGATCTGGATTATAAAAAATATATCCAACTCGGCCCACTACATGGTTAGGCTAAAACAGCGGATCCAATCCAAATCCCAATTGAATTGGCCCAATGGACAACTAAAAATACATATTTTTTATGGATAGAAAAATAAATATTTTATTTATTAATTTCTAAAATATTATCTAAATAAATAAATAATCAAAGCTACAAATTTAATTGAAACTGAAAAGAAACCTATCCAATAGTTATGTGAAATTATTCACATTATTTAAATAAAATTCAACCACGTGACACAAAATAGTTAAGAATAATGTAGCGGGTGTTCATAATGGTACGGTACGGCTTTCTTTTTAATCTTTTCTTTTTCAAATGACTTTCTTGAATTATCATTCATAGTCATTGATTTTTCAGCTACCAATCAAACCTTTTCAGAAGACAAATTTTCCAGTTCCTCCCTCACTTTCCCTTCATCATTCACCACACGATTCACGTTTTTTGACTTCTTTCACATCTCCGATCGAAGCTCACTCTTCACTGATCTGTAAGTTGTGATTCCCTTTTCCTTGCTTCTTGCTTATAATTGAGCTTCGTTTCTGCGATCAGACACGGTAAGTCGTCTCTTTGTGAATAACTATCTAATTTATCGTTAAGTAAATAACTGTGATCTGGAAGCTCGATTGGTGCTCGGTAGGTTTTACCAAATGAAGTGTGTTGGTATTTGAATGATTTCCCCCCTTTTTGTTGCACCTTTATTTTCTAGGGTTTGAAGATGTAATTTGCTTAATTTGGTAATTCAGTAGGTTTACGAATTTCCTTCAGTCATCAGCTATGATAGTACTTATTTATTTATTTTGTGTTGACAATGTAAAAAGATGTGAACAAATCATTCTCTGGTGTTTTGATCATTGATTCCTCTGTGTTAAACGCAAGTTCGTATTTAACACAAGTGCCAGGGGGTTTTTAGCGATGATTATCTGCTCTAGATCTTGTTTGTATATAGAATTTTTCAGACAAAGAAGTTTGTTGACGATTAGGATGTGAATCAGATTCAAGGGAAGTTAAAACAGTGAATCTAATTGGGGCTTTAATCTTGGATTTAGTTTAGGTCATTGTTTGATACATTTAACCATTGCAGTTGTAAATCAGAGACTATCCTTCTTTAAAACTATCTGGAGACATGGATCGCGGGCACCTTACACTGATAGGATCGACTGCGTGTGTTATGCTCTGTCTGCACTTTTCGATTCAGCTGGTGACCCAACATTACATGTCATGGAAGAAGCCCAAGGAACAGAAGGCGATAGTAATCATCGTCCTCATGGCTCCCTTATACGCCATTGATTCCTACGTTGGTTTGCTGGACATACGGGGGAGCGAAACATTTTTCACTTTCTTGGATTCTGTAAAAGAATGCTATGAAGCTCTGGTGAGTTCTTATCGTTCTTGTTTTTGTCACTAACTCAGACATCATTAGCTGTCTTCGGACCAATGATGTAATCTTAGAACATTGTTGTCGAATGTTAGGTGATGGCGAAGTTCCTGAGCTTGATGTACACTTACTTGAACATATCGATCAGCAAGAACATCGTGCCGGATGAAATCAAGGGAAGAGAAATTCATCACTCGTTCCCGATGACCCTTTTCCAGGTAAAGACTGCACCGATGGACTGCCTTATGAACAAAAAGAATGTCGTTTAAGGTCTAACAATACATCTAAATGCAGCCTCACAGCGTTCGATTGGACCACAAAAATTTGAAGCTACTCAAGGACTGGACTTACCAATTCGTTGTGATCCGACCTATCTGCTCAGTTTTGATGATCGCATTTCAGCTTTTCGATATGTATCCGGCGTGGCTCAGCTGGACATTCTCGATCATCCTCAACGTCTCGGTTTCGCTGGCATTGTACTCTCTCATCGTCTTCTATCACGTCTTCGCGAAGGAGTTGGCGCCGCATAAACCTCTGGCCAAGTTTCTGTGCGTCAAAGGCATCGTCTTTTTCTGTTTCTGGCAGGTATGTATATAACTCTGGAATTTACAGTCAGCAATAAACCTCATCTCGCATTGATCGAATGAGTTTATGTTACTCGATCTTTTTCAGGGATTCGTGCTCGAAATTCTGGTTGCTGTCGGGATCGTAAAATCGAACCACTTCTGGCTGGATGTTGAGCATCTCCAGGAAGCTCTCCAGAATGTAATGGTGATTGTGGAGATGGTTTTCTTCTCGCTGCTGATGAAATACGCCTACAGTGCTGAACCATACCGCTCCGGATCAATCGCCGGAAAGAGCGACAAGAAGAACGAATGACCGGAGAACCTCGTCGGCCTGCCGGAGCGTGTAGTTTCTGCAAGAAAATAATGACGAGGATGTATCGCATTACCATTATGTTTAGTTGTATTTTCAATTTCATTTTCTCACTAATAATAATATGATATTTTTCGAAAAAATTATTATCGATCGATAGTATCTAAACTTATCAAACTATGCAGGTAAAGAGAGCCTTCGTTATATTTGTAATAGATGCATTTGCATTGTCCAGTTGTGGTAAAGATCTTCAAGAAAAATCTGCAAAAAAATAACTTCATGTAAGAAATTTGCACATTATGAGATGATTCTCGTAGAAACTTGTAGAAAGGGCCAAATTGAAAAAAAATAAAAAATAAAAAATCCCCTTTTTAATTAATTTTATCCATTCTCAAAATCAGTCTCAAACAAACCATGAACCTGTTTGCTCCACGAGCCCACCTCCATAGCTAAACCTCGAGTTCGACTTTACAGAGAGAGCTCTGCCATGCCAATACTGGTACAGATTCACATCAAATTCTCAGACCTCAAGCCTGCCCAAAATTATCATGACGTTTATAAGAAGAAACCTAGTTTATTCAATTTGAAATCCTCACTGCCCTTCAATAATCACTCACGCCCCAACCCTAAAGCAAAGATTCGATGTTGTCGCCACGACAAATTTAAGATTGATTCTCCGCGGCAGAGATTGGGATTCTTGGGAGTAGCGGGCAGGGGCAAGGTTGGGATTTTGGCAAGAAATCGGAGGAGATCCCTCGTCGTGAAATTCAACAACAGCTTTAATGGCGGCGGCGGCGGAGGCAATGGGAAAATCAACAGTGAAACTGCAAGGGTGTTGGGCAATCTCGCTTTGGCAATTTTGCTGACCTACCTTTCGATGACCGGGCAGTTGGGCTGGCTTCTTGACGCCATTGTTTCCCTTTGGGTATTTTGGCTGAACTTCTCATTTCTTGAATCAAGAAACTTCATAGCTCTGATTGAACTTTTGTAGCTTTGGGACAGCAGTTTTTGGGTATTGTTTGATTTGTATGGTTTAGGATACTAACATTATTACAAGATAGAGATGATAGAAGTATATAGACTTTGTTTAGATAGAGGGTTCTGGAGCTTCTTGGAATTTTGGAAGTTTTGAAAAAATAAAATATTAGTGTATGTTTCTTTAGATGAGTTTGAGAAAATTTTTGTTTGAGTTTGGTATGTATTGTGAGAGACAAAAATATATATATATATTTTTTTTAAAAAACATAGACTCTAAATAGTAAAAATTTAGAATTTGGTGTAAAAGAAACATAGCCTAAGTATTTGATGCAATAGTTTCGTATAAGAAAAAATGTATTTGATGCCATAAAATAGTGCCAAGAAAAGGAAAAATCAATAATCCTAGATTAAATTTCGAAGAATCTTACATATGAATGTTGTTTTTGCACTCTGCTGATGCTTTAGTTTCAGCTCTTTGCAGTAATTGTGCCCATTGTGGGTATAGGAGCTTTTGTCTGGTGGGCGGGACGAGATATCGTCCAAGGCAGTGTATGTAGACATGGCCGAGTTTTCGATTTATTAATGTTGTCTTTCCTGCGATTATTTTGATATGTCATATGTATGTGTTATTCTAATGCAGTGTCCGAACTGTGGGAATGAATTTCAAGTGTTCAAGTAAGAAATGCTCGAACTCGAACATCTTTTGTTATTGTTTGAAGCTTTTTGCATGATTTTGTGTTGTGTTTGTCGTAGATCGACGTTGAATGACGATCTGCAGCTGTGCCCGTTCTGTAGCCAGCCGTTCTCAGGTAAATGCCGCGAGCATCAGCCGGGTTATTACAGCGAGAACGATTGGTCTTAATTTTTTCTCGTTGTTTATGCAGTGGAGGGTAATGAATTCGTTAGAGATCCCGTGAAGTTCTCCAACCAGTCCAGTCCCTTTGGACAAGCGTTCGACGAGGTCTCTGCTCGGACAAAGAAACGTACGCTTCTTGTCCTAACTGCAGTTGTGATTGCTAGATTGATTATGGTAATTCGACTGATCCCATGTCGGGGAAATTTTTTTGGCAGGAAAGGAGTCGTCTGTTTCAGTCGTTGATGTCGAAGCAGAGATAAGAGATGCGGATTGATGGTAATATTGCCGCGCTGTTTTTTTCTTTTTTGTTCAGGTTGTCTGGATCAGACAAGAAGTGAAGTGTGTATATATGAAATATAGAAGTAGACGATGCAATAGCATTGTTGGTTTGCTCATTCAAATCGATCGTATGTCGAGAAATTGTATTGTTTAGATTTCATATATAGTTGTGATGTGAGATTCATTCCTCGAATAGGTAGCTAAGGTTGAAGATTTTTGTGTTGTGGATCTGTTTATTTGTGGTTAATTGCAGAAAATCACCGGTGCCTCTTTATAGGCCGCCATTTTTTAGTGTGAGTTCTTATGAAAATGAAGAACTCATGTTCAGGCTGATTCAATGTTTTTTATCTTAATGTTCGCTTTGAAAAAAAAAGAAAAAAAATTGAATTTAAAAAAGTTTGTCTAAAAGTAGTTTGAAAGTAATGTATAGTATTTAATTGAAATAATTTTATAATATAGCTTTTTCATATATATATATATAATGCGAGAATTTACCGCAGCCATTCGACGAGTATTTTTTGAATAAATCTTCGACGAACCTATTGAGATCCTACAAACGAAGTCCAATAAGAAGTTACATCAAACAAGTTTATTTCCACACTACTCGATTGTCTTTTACAGAACAATTTTGTAATATAATTTTGAAAAAATATGTTTGAAGAATTTTTTTTAAAGCAAAACATACTATATAATTTTCGGCCGAAAATCATGCACCATAACCACTCATGACCTAGTACAATTGTGGGATAGATGGTTGTCATTTGAAATTTTGATTGTAAACTATCAAAACACACCTATAAGTACCCGATTTTGGTCAGAAATTTTGCATTTCTTATCACAGAATTTTTCAAAAAATATTTGAAGACCACCATTTTAATTATATTTTTTTGTTGTTCGTGGTGTAATAATTTAGTGCATTTACCTTGATTTCATACTACAAAAATCAAGTTCGTACATCGATCGAATTTCATTATTGATTGTTAATTTTTCATAATTACGAATAATATAATAATTTAATGTAATATATAAATTATATTTTAAAAAATTTGAGATAATAATAATAAATCGTTGAATCCGCCCGTCTAATAATGACCTGTGTGTGGCAATGATAGCTGCCTAATTAGAATAGATCCGGACTTATTTCCTGTTAGAGTCAAAATTCAACTGTGAAATTTGAGCAACACGTGGCAATGTCTTATTGGAGAGGCGGTGCCCCACCAGATTTTCATTGACGAATTTGAAGCAGTAATCATACAATGAAAAATATATCCAAATTTGATTGGCCTATGTGTTTTTGGGTAACAATTTCGTGTGTTGTGTTGTGTTGTGCCATAAATTAACATCCAATTAATACAAGCCTTTCAACATTCAATTTATATTTCAAATTTGAATATAATGCTGCAGTCTTTTTTGTTAAACAGTGTCCATTCATTTTCCCTTCCGACAAGACACCACTCAACCCACCCACCCACCCTTTCATTTTCCATTTCCATTTTCATTACTTCTTCGTATTCTTAAATTTCATTAAAAATAATAATCACATTATTATTATTATTATTATTATTATTATTATTGGCGATCGCACTTGGCAGTGCATGTTCGCTTTAGAGTCGGCGGGCGCGTGGGAGCCTGGGAGGGAGGCTGTTAGTCACGTGCCGATCCTAAAACCATGCCCGGTTGCAACGGTCACATGTTTTAAATTTATTCTCTATATAGATAATATATATCCGTTGAAAAAAAGCCCTTTGTGAGTGCTTAATTAAACCCATCATCATTATTAACGTAGTCTTAATATAATAGTGGCAAGTTCTATAATAAATTTAGAATTTAGGTTGGTTGGCTGGCAGCTGATTGAAATTACCATTTTGTCCCCATATTCATCGTCAAGTTCCGTCCGCCCACGCCTCTATATAAAGCAGTGACGCGGCCGCCTTCTTCACTCTCCATTGTGCATACTTCTCGAGTGTGAAATCTCTTCTGCTCCGACGGTGACCGGAGAAAACGCCGATGACATTTCGAGGACCGACGAACAAAATGTTTTCATTCAAAGTAATGCTGATATCCACTAGTGTCTTGTCCGCCGCGATTATGCTGAAATTATCAGTTCCGGCGATAACGGATTTTGCTGTTTATGAGGTGCCTTCGATCTACAACGGCGTCGTTTCGTGGCTCCGGCCACCGTATCTGTACCTCCTGATTAATTGCATCATCATCACTATCGTCGCCTCCTCCAAGATCCAGTTGAGGAAGGACGATTCGTCCGCAACGCCGACCCAGGCCATGGCTGCAGATTCAGTACATCCATTGCCGGTACCGCTGCTCTCTGCGAAAAACGTTGAAACGGAATATCATACATACGACAGTGGAGTGCAGAGCGATTCCTGCGTGTATCAACTCGATGTGCAAAAACGATTAGATCTCGACGCCTACGAGCGCGTGGAGGCAAGGGCGGGCGCCGAAAATGAACAATCGGCGTTCGTCGTTCGTGCGGCGGACGGAGGTGCTGCGTTTGCGGAGGATGCGATGAGCAACAAGGAAAACGAGTATGTTTTCAGTAAATCCTCAGCAAATACGGCAAGGAACGAGAATATACCGGCGGAATATTCTCCGTCGAAAGTGAAACCGCCTGTGTCTGCGAGATTCGTTCACCGGAGGAATGTCAAAGCCAGTCCTGAAGGTACACAATACACACACCATCGCTTAATTTCCATTCCAGTTCTCATTCAGAAATCGATTCGTTAAATAGAACATAAACTATTTCGCCGGAGATACGAACTCGCCGGAAAATAACAAACTCGTACTTTAAACTCACCGACATCTGAACGGTCACAGCTGGCGAGAATGTTACCGTTACAATAGTAGCTAGCCCAGCGCAGAACAGGTCCACAGATTAATCATGGTGCAGTTGTGGTCCCCACACCATAGCCACACTGCATTTTAATACTGCTGGTTTCCCCAAACAATGGCATAAACTGACCTAATAACACTGTGTTGTAACAATCAGGAGGCAAGACGGTGTTGGGAGTATCCAAGCCGAAGAGGAACGACACTCTGGAGAGCACGTGGAAAGCCATAACCGACGGCCGCCCAATCCCTCTGACGAGGCACCTGAAGAAATCCGACACGTGGGAGCGGGAGCACGTGGTCCGGCGGCAGGAGAAGACGATGGGGAAGGCGGCGACATTCAGCGCCGCCGCCGGAAGTCCATCTCCGCCGGGGAAATTGAGGAGAGAGGCGTCGCTGAGCCAGGACGAGCTCAACAGGCGAGTTGAAGCCTTCATTAAAAAATTCAACGAGGAGATGAGACTGCAACGGCAAGAGTCCCTTAACCAGTACAAACAAATGATCAACCGCTGAGATACCTACCTACCTACCTACATACATACTCGCCCACAGTTTTGGTTAAGGTTCTCGATCAAATTGCTCTCCCTCCTCCTCTTGGATAATTCAATTCATTGAAGAAACTATAAATTTGATTCTATTCAAATCAAATTGGTATTTGTTTTCGTACATACATTGTAGTAGGCTTCCTTTCCCATTGCCAATTTCACATTCTGTGATCAATCAAACCTACTTCAAGAACCGCACAATAATGCCACCAATAAAAGTCGACCGATTAAAGCACCTACATTGTCATTGCTGTTGGGAATGCTCGATCCAATAGCGTGTACAAACCCCCGCCAAGAAGAAGCGCGCCGCTAAGAAACCAAATTAAGGTATCATGTTAGAAGCAGACACACAAGAGGAATTTAGCCAAAAAACATGAAAATTTCAAAATTATCACCTCATCGGATTGATCCACGCTGAAAATTTTCGGAACGACAGAAGGCTCTGCAAACACCAGAGGCATCAGAAATTACATGAACCTTTTAAGCTTCAAATAATTTTATTCAGAAAGAAGAAGCTAACAAAAACAAATCCAATCCGATACCTGCAATGCACCAGCAAACGAAGCAGCGAGAAGAAGCGGAGCGACATAGCCAGTAGTGTATGTCAGCAGTAGGCTGCCTCCAATTACCGGGTCCTATGCAATATCGAATAACCATTAATGAAATCAAATTTAGATGATGGAGAAACCAATGTAAAAAGATTAAAACAAAAGAATAAATTGGGATGGTACCCTGGTCGATGCAACGTATCCAAGTAAGGTAGCGAGTACGGGAGTACTGCAAGGAGATGCAGCTAATGCAAAGGTAAGTCCGGCCAGGTAAGCTTGGACGCCTTATCATCATTCACAAGGAGAAACAGAAGTTACGTGCTGCAAGAAAGATAGATCCGCCGAAGGGAATAATTGATGGTAGAATTAAAATTTTGTTACTTGAAGGGAAATTAGCAGCTGCTGCACGAGGATCAAAGTTGTCGAAAAATGAAGGAAGCTGTAGTTCAATTACCTGGGTTTCCAAACAACATAACGAAGAATTATGCTACCTCTATGCATCTTCAAGAATTCTAGCAACAAGAAATCGATTACCTCCAATAAATTCAACCCCATGACAACAGCTAAGATGGACGCAGCTACAGGTAGCCCCTGCCCTATTTGACCATAAGCCTTTCCAGCGAATGAAGCTGCTACGCCAAGAAGTGCCAACGTAGTCGCCAATCCCATTGCAAACGAAATTGAATTCCCAATAACCTGTCCGAACCAAAACACAAAAGACACAATGAAATCCAGCTCTCAGCGTCGACAATCAAGAGTCCAGTTGAGAGTTGCATATCAAATATATTAAATATAAAATATTAGTAAAGCGTCAAATTGTAGAACCGCGGGGTAAATTTATTGAACAACAACGTAAATAAATTGAACCATATCGAGATTATGTTAAACAACTAGCCAATGAACAAACAAAAAATTGTTGAAGCGTGATATAATATAAAATAGTTAAACCAATTAAGAAAACTATGAAACTAACATTCTAAATCTAATGCATGTTTATTTGTTGAGCAATAATATAAATATAAGGTATATATACATACATATTGACACACATCAAAATCTGCTGAATAAAATATATTGGATCGCAATATATCAACTCCAAATTGTATTTATATACCTAAGTCAAGGACCCTTTCGCTCCATTTACAAAGTTTTTTTTTCACTTCCTTTATACAATATCACGATTCTCTATAAAAACATACTCATTTTTCATACAAAATATTGCATTCAACAACTATTTTACCCCAAAAAATGCAAACACAAAGTAACACACCATTTAAAATCCAATGTAGTGGTGTGAAATCTAACCATTGCATTAACTCAAGCTAAAGTGTCGATGCTATATACAGAAGCAACTTTTGTAGCCTTTTTTGAGTTTCCACTCCAATCATTTATCAATGAGGTTCTTGGCAGCCAATATGTCATTACCCCTAACCCTATAGAAACATACTGCCTTACGGTTCCCAAACATAATTGTTTTGAAAAGAAAACCCCTATGCAAATCTATTGGCACAAAATTTCCGTACACCATTTACCTCTGTTTTGCTTTTCCCAGATCCAAACGCCCCTAAAATTACAATTAAACCCAAAAGGCATAAGCAAACCATGACAAAAGACTATAGGTAAGATGACAAGAAACTTTAACCCATACTTCATACCAATGTACCCAAGGGTAAGTGGCAAAACACTCAATGTACAAGGTGAAAGGCTAGTCACGAGCCCAGCCCCAAAAATGACTGCCAAACTGCACCACCGTGTATGTGTAAAATCCAAAGTGCAATTATAACATGTTTTGTCATTGTAAATATTGTATAACACAGATGAATGCCAAAAGATATAAACCTAGTAAAACTGAGCGCTGACAACTGATCCTGTACAGCCACATTCGCTTGCTGCCCAGCTAAATATAATATGCCGGATAACCAATCTCCAAGATTACCATCAGCAAGGGTATACAAAGCACCTGATGTATCCTGTCAGTAGTTAAATATCAGGCACATCGAAATTATCTGTTTGACATAGAAAATGCACGACTGTTGCCAATGCATGTGTTCAGGGTAGAAAATTGAAACTCTTGAACAAAGTGACAACGATTGAGCCACTGAAATGGTCTATCTCCTTTAACTATGTGATAATAAGAGCTTGTCTTGCCCCGTTTCAATTCAGATCAGAACCTCCAGAGTGTCACATGTGCCTCCCTCGTTCCCCAACATTACCAGAAAACCAATAGCAACTCATATATACAAGCACGGTAATGAATCATCAATCATACTAAACAAGGATGTTTTTTACTTTGGTTTTGGATTTGAAATTTTTTGGTGGAGAATAGTGATGCAATGTTTTGTATATAGTTTAGTTGCTGAAATCAACATTTTTGGACGGTAAAAAACATGTTACCACAAATTGCATAACACAGCAAGAGCGTTCAAAACACTAGTAAACAAATCCCTGTCTGAATCACCTATCACCTACTGAAAGAGTGAACATCTAACTAATAATACGCAACATCAGTAACTTCAAGAGGAAAAAACAGATATTGAGAGTTCCATTGTCAATACTACAAAGTATGCCATAAGAAGAAGATCGAAAGAAATCTTGGAAAAGCCACTTAAATTTCCTGACATAACTAGAGTGAAAAATACTAATTAGCAGTGAAGGGATTGACACCACTGAATTAACATACAAACAGCAAGAGCATCATACAATATACAATCTTGCAAATTGGCAACATAAATGACCAACAAAAAATCACCCACCAGGCATTCAACCAACTACATTAACAATAGACCTACAACCCTCAGCTTAGGGTTTGCAACCCCTCACCTTCACGCTTTCCATGGTTAAAGCATTTGCCAGTGGAGTTGCAGCCAAGACAGAAACTGAACAAAAAAGAAGCATCAACCAATGCAGTAAGTATAAATAAGAAATAGTTACCAGCAAGTACAAATCAAGAAAAGTTTACAATCGAAATTTTACAAATCTTTGAATAATTGGCATGTCTCGAGTGATTCTAGGGCAAATTTACTACACTTTCTAGAATCAAACAGATTTGTGCATCTTTTTCAACAATAACAAAATTGAAGTAAAATGAAATCAGCAAAGCAGCATCTGAAATATGTAAAGGTAGGGAACTTTCAAACAAATTCGGAAAGAATTACAGAAGCAAATAACCCTTACCTGCAGCAGAATTAACGAAAGCAGTGGAAAGATTAATTTTGCGTGACTTGCAAATACCATCGTCTTCAATTCCATTAACATTGAAAGGCTCCCGTTGGAGGGGCCTCGATTGCTCCTTGTTACCACTACCTAATGTAAGAACGTGTAAAAAATCAAAGTGTTGAGAAGACATACATACATACATACAAACCTAGGTGTATCTAAAGAGAAATGAGAGGGCTTTTAGTGGATAAAAAATTAATATTAGCTAGGTACCATGAAGAATGGAGGGCAGGCGTCTGAAACCGGAAAATGGGAGTGGACGGGGACGGGGACGGCAGCCACTGAAGTAGCTGGCGCTTGTGCTTAATAAAGCCGACTTCATCTGCAATCCTACTTTGAGCGGGGACAAGGATTTGTGTTAGTGAACTCAGAGGAGCCCAGAATCCATTGGAACGTTTTTTATGAAAGAGTTTGAGCTTCCTCGGCCAACGAAGATTACAAATTGCTGTGTGTGTTTTGGATTGTTGAAAACGAAACAAACTGTTGGAGTGCACGTAAAAAACTCTTTTAACCATAGTTGGATTTTATTTTTTTTAATCTCTTTCAACATATTCACTAATTTTTTCAATTTTTCAGAAGTGATTCTAAATTTAGAATTTGTTCAAATTTTTTTCAATTTTTCAGAAGTGATTCTAAATTTAGAATTTGTTCAAATTTTTATTTCTTTATATTAGATAAAAATAAAAAATAAAAAATTATTGTTGTATTTTGTTAATAATATTTACAAATGGCTGATAAATTTTTTTAAATTATATACTTCAGATATCCAAATTTATTTCTATTTTCTGTTTTTTTAGTTATTTAAATTTATTTTTATTTTTTTTAAGTAAAAATATATCACTTTTTTATTCTTTCCTTATACAAAATAGTAAAAAAAATTATTTTAATTTATTTTTCTTAAAATTTATTTTCTATAAAAGAAGCACACAATTGAACCATAAAAAAAAAGTACATAATTTAGATAAAAACTTCTTGACTGCTTCTTGAATTTTTTGGCAATTTGCGTGGATGTGGTTATGAAGTCTCCAGTTCTTCTGACCCAACATACGTGTGTGTTTGGTATATAAAATTGACAGTAAAAAAAATGAAAATATTTTATTTTTAATAAAAATTAAAAAATAATTTTTTTATTTAATTTATTTCTTATGTTCAGAAAAATGAATAATGCAGTATTATTATTATTATTTTAAAAAAAAATAGTATTATTTAATTTTTATAATTTTTTAAAATTATATAATTTCAATTTTACAAAAATCATATTAAATTTATTATTCAAGTATTTAAATTTTACTATTTTTTAAAAAATTGTACTCAAGTATAATTTTACAAAAATATAGTATATAATGTATAATTTTTTAAAAAAATTCATCAAAAAATAAACATGAAATTTCTCTTTTGTCCTATTCTTATTGGATCTATTCAAATAGTTTACAATTTTTTTTTACATTTTTCAACGGAATTCTCTATTTTACCAAACAAGATAATTCATATTTCATTTTATATATCAAGCGCCTTCTAAATACCCTGCAAATTAGACTCTACAAATACATAATGATGGACTCATGACAACTTAGCAGAATTTGAGCTAAATGCATCCATATACAAGTTCTCAAATTTTCTGTTTCAAGAACATGACCACAAAGTATATATCCCAACCAAAGCAAATCAACTATTGCAATATACATCAAACTAACAAAATTCTAAGATCAATTGCTCATTGTAATTTTAAAAATAAAAAATTACACAGGCTTTGAGAAGCTGTAAGGCCACTGAGTGCAAATTTAGTCATAAAGGTTTTTAGCAGTTTTAGTTCTGAATGCCTTGCTTTCACTTTTTGATAACTTCACCTCTGACTTCTCGCTTAGCGAAACGGCTTTGGCAATGGCCTTCATCTTCCGCGTGTTCTTAGATCTTTTCATGGGTCTGCCCTTTTTCGTCTTCCTGTTATAATAGTAGCTATATTCATTAGATACTGAGAATTCATGCTGTAACATTTGGATTTTATAGGAGAGATATAAGCACCAAATAATAATAACATGGGATATTGAAATGACTACTACTACATATTGAAATCACATAAATAATGCATTCACGAGGAAGCCACCTACGCCTACTACTACATATCACAACAAAGTCCTTCAAGAAGATTACGGGACATCTGCAGAAAATATATATCCCCATAACAAAAGCTGTAATGAAATTTCATCCATACATTCAATATGTATGTATGCATGTTTCCAACAAAACAGGAATGTGCAATATATCTTTCACCAAACACAAATTCCAAAGAATAATGTTCTCAATTTGTTTAGATAAATATAGATCACTGCGAATACAATATTATTCAAATGTGCCTTGCACATATATTTCATACAAAATCATTCAAAAAACTAGCATGATTCATATTAGCAATCAGATGTTCTAATCATAATACGATAATGGAACATTTTTATACTTAAAAATAATAATATAGAATCAAATCAAAATCTTTGATTTTTTTTTTATTACTCATTACTATTCAACCCAAGCATAAACACCTTATATAAAAAACTTAGACCACTAAAATTAACATCGAAACAAAGCCAATAATATTATGTGTTTCAGAGTTTATCAACTTCTAGAAAAGCCAATGTAAATTGCTCATAAATCAAAATTTAATTAGATAAGTTCTAAATTCCACAATATGCATAGCTGTTAGCGGAGCATTGCATGCCATAGTACAAAAGCTTTCTTAGGAACATTGAACATAGCAAGGAGTAGAGCTGAAGCCATGTCTAAACTTAATAATAAATAGCATTAACTAAAAGGAAATATATTCAATTCGATTCCATGGTTAAATTTGTTCAAAGTCCTGACAACGCAATCCATCTTTCAAACCATATCCTACGACATGCTTTCTACATAAACCTTTACTGGCACGTTCACCATCGTATCAAAGTAGGCAACCTTTGCGAACTCTCAAACTATACAACAACTCACACCATTATCAACAAAGAATCGCACGAAAAATCAAAATTGCTGCGGTACCACATATTTCAAATCGAAACATCACTGAATTCAAGCTAGAGACAACCTCAGGGATCCTCCAGAAGGAACACCAAAATCTACGGTCTCGGAAGTGTCCATCGCTGCAATTCAACGGTGGTCCGCATCACATGCAAATAAATCGAATCAATATTTTTTGTAAAAAGGAATATCAGACTGCAGAAACGAACAAAATAATACAGAGGAATAATTGGCACCGTGAGGCTCATCCCTCGCGCACGGATCATCAGTAGTCACATCGACAGCCATATCAGCCGATCCATTTTTCTTCTTCTTGTTTCTATTCTTCGCCATTCTCGCAAAGGGTAGGGTTTCTAGGGTTTACCAACGAGTTTCGACTTCAGGCTTATTATAAGATACCGGGCAGATTCTTTTGGGCATATTGGGCTGTAAATTGGGCCCGTGATTCTATCTAGAGTTATTGTCCTATATATAAGAATGAGCAAAAATTATTACTCTTTCCTTCCTTAAGTATTTATTTATTTATTTTTTTTTTGTATCACTAAAAAATATATTTTTTGTAATAATAAAATTATTTTATACTATATTTATTTTTATACAAATTATAAAAATATTATTACTTTATTTGTACCATGTGAAGACAAAAATATTAAAAATTTCACACGTTTTCATTAACTAATAAAATATTACTATTATTTTTTTATCAATACGATCGTATTTGATGTCTCAAAATAGTGAGTAATGTTCTTACCTGTATTCATGACTTTTTTTTTTAGCATAATTGTTTTAGATTACATTCATGATTTTATTTTGAATTTAGTCATATTTTATGTCATATATTATTATTATTTTCGCACCATGTTTTGGAATTTTAGTTAAAGCAAAAATTTAAAATTAATTAAATATTTTCTAATTAATGAAAATGAGAAAATTCGTAAGTTCGTAACCGAGCATTAATTTCAATTTGAGTTGGTTGAATCGAATTCAAGTCATATAAAAAAAAATTTGTTGAACGACTTTAAAGCATTTTATAACAATTAAAAGCATTACTTTTGTAGCAACCATTTTGACTAACGTAATTAACACGTTATATAATACTCCCTCTGATCCCAAACACCTTACAACATTTATGTCCTAAACACCTTGCAATATTTCTAAATAGGAAATAATTAATCATAGTTAATCTTTATCCCCACATCATCCAAATAGAAAAAAATATATATATACATTTCTCTCTCCATCGCATCATTTAATTTTTAAATTATCTTACTTAATACTACCTACTGTCCACCTTGTTGGGGAAAGAGGAAGTATAAAATAAATGAGATAACTGAAATGTGCAATATTAATTATATATTGATATACTTTCTACTATGATGTGTTTGTTTGGAGATATATATATATTTATTATTTAAAAGTATCAATTAAATATCTAATTTATTTATATATATATTATATTAAAATTAAAATTCATATTCAAGATATTTTAGATAATGAATTAAATGATACGTAATTAATATATTATTTTTTTCGATGCGATTTTTAATATATATATTCTATCATCTCACTCAATATTCACTATAAAATATTATTTTTTATATTACCGACACATTTTTTTATACCTCACGTCAAAATAAAAATTTCAAATAAAAAGACTAAACAAACAAACCCCCGCTATTGTTTTATTGTTCTCTTTGATTTTGCAAAATTTTATTTCCTAGATTAGACAATGATGGTGCGATCACTTTATAGTTGCCAAGAATTTTATAATTGTATAGAAATAAAGGACCTAGATTAGAGACCAGCAGTTATGAATTCTTCATAATAAAAAAAATAAAAATTAACAAATAGAATTGGCGAGGGAAATCCAAAATGGTAAATTCACAAATTCGTTATAAATGTTTTTTATTTAAAAAAAAAAAAAAAAAGGAACAAGAAGAAATAGGGCCCAGACTAGACTAGATTTAGATTTATTAGAGATTTTCGAAGACAGGACATTCTTTGTTGTCCCATTTTATCCACTTGAAGGCAGTGCCCGCGCCCCCACCTGCACTTGTTGTTTCCCAATCACTCTCTCCTCCCCTCCTGGCTCTCCCATGTCCGATCCCCCTGCTGCTGCTGCTGCTGCTTTCCATTTCTAGAGCCAGCGCCTGATTTAACCTGCCCTTCTTTATTGGCTGTTTCGCTTATCAGATCCTCCAACCGTTTCGATTTCCCCCAAAATATCATTCCTCATCCATTCCCCAAATCGCTGCTTGTCTTATCTTGCGTTGATCGATCCGCCCAGAGCTCAGTTTGCAAATGCGGGCCGGAGTTTGCTGCCGATTGGGGTCATTCTCTGTTTCCGCATTGCGCCTTTGAAGTGACGATCTCTCTCCCGCTGTTCCTCGATAAACGATAATTAAACCGCAAAGCAAACGGTTGGTGTTTGATTTTGTAGAACTGAGATTTTGAGAAACCCTTTTCGGGGAGGGGATTCTTCGTCGCCGGCACCCTCTGAGAGTGCTTCTGGTTTCAATTTGTGCAGTTTTTCCCTGGAGTTTTCGTTTTATTCTTCTGTAAATTGTTTTATCTTTGTAATTTCTGGATCCACCGCGACGTTGGATTAGGTTATTTCTGCGTTGGATTTTCATCTGGAAATCGGGTTGTTTGATGGATGATTTAATGAGCTTCTTAGGATTTTGCTTTGGTTTAGGGTTTTAAGCTCATGGCATGAATGATGTCGCCTTAGACATTGTTCGAAATGTGAATAAACGAATCTTCAGTGGGAATCGCTGTTTGGAATAGGAGGGTTTGTGGTGTAAATTGTGTGGAGAAGCCTAGATATTTACAATGTCTCTTAATTCAGTAGCTAGGAGTTCCTTGGAGAAAATGCTGGAATCTCTCCAGCAAAGTGAAGATAATGAGAAACCAAAAGACATACCTCCGGTTCTCCCTGTTCGCCCCAAGCCAACACCTCGGGCTCGCCTTCCATCTCCCAAGAGGAGGCTGCCCACCAGCTCTGATTTTAATGAATCCGGTAAATGCTCATCAAGTTTCAACGAGAAGAGAGAAGCCTCAAAAGAATCTAAAATTGGTGAACTGCGGGCAACTCAAAGTTTATCAAATGGTACTCTTAAGGAGGAAGATGCAAAAAGATTGAAACAAAATACACTTGTCTCTAAAAAGGGTCAAGAAATGGAGCCAGGGGAATCACCAAACCTCGTGGAAGGATTGGAACAGAAGGAACCCTGTCTGCAATTCAAGGAGAGAGACAATGGAAATCACTCGAGATCACCTCCACCGTCCCACCCCAAGTCTTGTGAGTCTGAAGGGTTTGGCGGCAAGGAATGTTCCGTTCATCAGGTAGACAGAGTGAGTTTATTTTGTTTCCTGATTGCTGATATCGGTTGAACTTTCCTTTTCACAATCAGGTGCTGAATATTACCTATTTATCAGGTGCTGAATATACTTATCTTTGATAGCAAAATCTGTGTTTTTACTTATAATTTAATGGTTAGTGGATGGACATAGTTATGCCTGGCGATTATGTAATTTGTTTGGACACTTTATTTGCAGAGTTATACACCATGCTTGAAATGAAAGGTAAAGAAGTATAGCACTTCATCATGATTGCTATTATCTCTCAGTGATTTTTCCCCATAGTATTGTCTGAACCAAGGAGTATAATAATTTGTCAACAGCTCCCCTGCTGTATCTCAAATGCAATCTTTTCTGTATTGATTTGTCTGGACTATGACATTTATGGTCCTTGTGCTTGTCTTTGGCTTCTTGCCTCCTCTTCTTTCTCCCGTGCTTTATTACTTTTGATCTCACTAGTGCTTAATAGCTTTCGACACTTAAGAATTTGAATGTGTAGGACAAAGTCTTGATCATTTAAGTATTTACATTAAAATATGAAATCACTTAAAAAAAAAGCCTCTAGTCAGAGTTCAGGATATTCAGAGCATTCATGTCAGTACCAGGAATTATAATTTCCTGTAGCAATGGAACTGGTTGTGATCTTATATTAGCAGAAGAATATAGCGTGATGTTTTGAGGAATGCATGGATCTGATCATTGGTAGTTCTTTTAAATCTTTATCAGAAACCTCGTGTCTGGTGTCGGGTAGAGAAAGGTATTTGGGAATCTGGGCAGATACAATCAACTTCAGAGGAGAAGAGTTCTATTCTGCTGATGGATGGATGTGTTAGTTGAAATTTCTCTTACTATTTATTAATTATATATAGGCAATTAAACACATGGGAATTTGAGAAGTTCTATTTGTGTACTTACTGTATTATCTTTATAGGTTGTAACAGTTTGCACACAGGATATCTTACCAGCCAACCCTGACATTCTTGAAGGCGTGGATGATCTCAAGCACCTTAGTTATTTGAATGAGCCTTCAATTCTTCACAATCTTCAGCATAGATATTTAAGAGACAGAGTATATGTAAGTAGTGATCAACGGTTTTTTCTTTTCTGTATTATACTTTCTATCTCTACTCTTGAGCAGTCTGTTGTCTTTCCTTACCTTAGAGTAAGGCAGGCCGTCTTTTATTAGCAGTCAATCCTTTCAAAGACATCCACCTATATGGGAATGACATTGCTACAGCTTACAAAAGGAAGCTTGTTGACAGCCCTCATGTTTACACTGTAGCGGATGCAGCATACAATGCAATGATGGCAGGTACTGTATACTATTTTAAAGTATTTCCATTTCGCCTTATAGTTGGCATGTTGCTTGGTTGAAGTGCTAATATTCAGTTATTGAGCTACTGTTCTGAATTTTACAGATGATGCCAGCCAGTCCATCATCATAAGGTCTGTTGACGTTCTACTGCTCCTTTTCTTCCGCTATCCAGTTTGCCTTCAGTTTCTTTACCGTGCTCTTCACTCATTACTAGAGATGAATTTAGTAATTTTGGTTAGTAATTGAATTAGCAATATTGGCATAAGCAGGTATATTTATGCTACTTAAGGAGATATTGATGTCTTGTTGAGTTTGCAGTGGGGAGAGCGGTGCCGGGAAGACTGAAACAGCTAAGATTGCCCTGCAATATTTGGCTCTTAGTGGAAGTAGTGGGGGATTGCAGTCTGAGATCCTGCAAACAAGCTGCATATTAGAGGCCTTTGGCAATGCTAAAACATCCAGGAATGACAATTCCAGCCGATTTGTAGGTTTTCTGTCTATTTCATCCATTGCTAGACTTCCAATATTGATCATTTATAATGCCAATATTTCAAATTAATGCAGGGAAAGTTAGTTGAAATATACTTTAGTGCTGTTGGAGAAATATGTGGTGCCAAAATACAAACTTGTAAGAATATTTCTCAGATTGAAGTACTATGTATCAATTGCTTCTTAAAGTAGCTGGTAACTGATTGTGTTGTTCAATTTGTTGCATATCAAACATGTACTCTATAATGGATGACACAGTCCTACTTGAAAAGGTTAGTGTGTTTTATCTAAATGTCAATGGTGGCCTTCTTTTCTAGTTTATACGTTCTTTGTTCATTATTAGAACAAAATGTCTCTTTGGATCAGTCGAGAGTGATTGAATTGGCCCAAGGAGAGAGATCATACCACATTTTCTACCAGCTTTGTGATGGGGCTCCTTCTGATCTCAGAGGTTTGTATTTTATTCTCCTCTTGTGTGTGAGTGTTTTTCTTTTCAACTTATCTCTGAAATAATTTTACTGCTCACATTGTTACTCGATCAGCTTTTCGAGGTAATTCTATTCAAACAAACTATTTTACTAGGTTAATATTTTCAAATCTTTTCATGATTGTACCAAACATAAGATTTTTTCACATATCTACAATGAATATATTGAATGCACATAATTATGCAGCGCAATTCTGAAGCTCCTGACTTCCAAGTTTGTAGTAGCAATGTTATTTTCCAGTAGTTAAACATCATTTCAAATTATCAATCTCTGGCTCTTATACGGGTTGTTTGGGCAATTTATTTCTGCCTCTTACTTTTCACATGGGCCTAATGGAAGCTTTTAAGTATATGACTTTGTATAGTATGGAAGATAGCAGCAACTCAGCATACTCTTTTGCTTGTTTGGTTAAATTTGTTTTCAGATAGCTTGAGGTTAAAAAAAGCTTGTGACTATTCCTATCTCAATCAGAGCGATTGCTTGGAGATTCATGGCGTTGATGATGCGAAACAATTTCATATACTAATGGTAATATTCACAATCTATATATTGACACAGGATATGGTACCCACTGGTTTTACTACCCTCCTCTATGTTGCATCTGAATAAGCTTAAATATGTATTCCATAATTGTGATTTGGTAAAGTGTTTCTGCCTAGAGAGGGCCCCACTTTGAAGATATGATTCAATGAATTAAATAGTGTTCAGAACATCTGTACTTTGCTCTATACTTTTTTGTCAAGGCAGGAGATTTACTGACTGTTCTGATTATTACTAGGGAGCATTAAATAGCCTCAAAATTGGCAAAGATGATCAGGCGAATGCGTTTGCAATGCTTGCTGCAGTTCTGTGGCTGGGAAACATATCATTTGTTGTTATTGACAATGAAAACCACATAGAGGTTGTTTCTGATGAAGGTAGCTTTGTGTTATGCATTAGTTTGTCACTGGCATTCTTCTCTCCACTCACATCTTTTGTACCATGCGATGTTATTGCAGACATCATCTGTGATAATAATTATAATGATTGTAACTAGTTACACTAGAGATAGAAGCAGACTCAAACATATTAGAAACACGTGTAAAACACATTAACAATATAAATAACGATATTAAACAACTATACCTTAAGTTGTAATAAGATCTTTAAATGACATCATAGTATAATAACTATGTGGTAAACACAATACAAAATCCCTGGATTATATTTCTATTTTTTCTTATAAAACTACTAGAAGCCATATATAGTTGCCTTTAAAATAGTTAATGCATTTGAAAAGTGTGAACATGAAATAAAGAATTAGAAATTTGTCAGAAGAGGACTTAGTTGATGTAACTAAAAGAAAATTGGTAATCATAAAAAATCTAACCAATGCCTGGTGAAGAGAATGAAGTGGGAAAAAGGAGGAGAAACCTGCTTGAACAAAAGTAGAAAAATGGACAAAAATGGATTGCAAGTAAACAAGCGATTAAGTATAAAATTTCAACATTGAAGAGAAAGCATGCCGATCTGCATAGGCAAAGTACCTGACTAACGACTCAGAATCATGGTACATAACCGAGCACTTATGTTGTAGTAGTGCTGCGGTAATATAACTCTTCAATATTCTTTACAGCCAGAAAAGTGAGTAGATTTAACTTCATTAGCTTTTCAAATATGCCAAATGGACTTGGAGATGATTATCTCTGTGTGTGTGTATTTTATTGAGTTAATTCTGTAGTTTGCTTAAATTTAACTGTTTGACATGATTTCTCTCATGTACAGCTGTTGCCAATGCTGCTGCTTTAATTGGCTGTAGAACTCAGGAGTTAATGCTTGCACTATCAACGCATAGTATTGTAGCTGGAAAGGATAAGGTTTCCAAAAGGCTGGTGCTACAACAGGTTATTATGTAATCTGACATCCAATTAATTATGCAATTGTATGGGCAACTAATATTTATTACTACTACTGGTATAGAGTCTTGCATATTAGAAAGGATCATATATTGAACTTCAGTCCTATACATCTGATTTTAATTCTAGTTTTTTTTTTTTTTTTTAAAGGCCACGGACAGGAGAGACTCATTAGCCATGTTCATCTATGGAAGCTTGTTTGACTGGCTGGTTGAGAAGATTAATGAATCGCTTGCAATGGGAAATAAGCCGCCCAGCGAGAGATCAATAAGCATTCTAGATATTTTTGGGTTTGAATCTGTTCAGGTAAGTTGCCATATTAATTTCTGTTATGTAGGACATGATAAAGTGATGACTCAATAACTCCTTTCTATCATTTGCATCAGAAAAATGGCTTTGAGCAGCTCTGTATAAATTATGCTAATGAGAGGCTCCAGCAAAACTTCAACCGACAAGTCTTCAAAATTCCCCAGGAGGTTAGCATCAAGAATGCGCTCTTGTGATTTAGAAAGAGCATGCCTGAATCATTCCATACTTCTCAAAGCTGAGCTCTTGAGCTGAAGCATATTGGTTTCCTGAAACTCCATGGCATAAAACATGTTTCCTTGCCATAAAATGAGGCAATTATTTAAATTATTACAGGATTTTTGTAGTTGCTGTTTCTCTTGTTTGACATATTTGCTTTTTGATTGACTTTCTATGGTGCATGATTAATTTTAGTTTTTATACAAATTATAAATAACGGTATCATGAATGTCATGCATAACAGGTTAAAGTTGTTTGTTTGTCTTGATATTATAATGAATGTGATTTTTCTAAGTTTCTGCTGTCATTTTAATGCTTTTTCATTTTATTTATTTATTTTTTTCCAGGAGTACAAGTTAGATGGGATCAACTGGACAAGAATAGACTTTGAAGACAATCAAGATTGCTTGGATCTCTTTGAGAAGGTATTCTCTTCCTATTAGCAAGGATTCTGACATTTGTGATGTCTATTTGTGTGTGTTGAGTTTTTTCATCCATGGTCATTAATGAGTCGTGTTTGTCCATTTAAATAAACTTCCATGTTCAAAATGTTTGTAGCAAGTAGTGTGTCAAGGGCAAGGTTTCATACATCTAGATTCTTCTAGAAAATGCATCTGCTATTTTTTCCTATTTGGTTGTTCTTTGATGTGGTTTCATCTTTTTATATGAATGGTTCTGTTTGAGTCTGCAATTAACTGATTGCTGCTATGCAAATTTTCATTCTTCATCATTTTTCAGTATGTATTCTTCTTGATTCCTATTTTTGTTCTTTAGCAGAAACCTCTTGGATTTATATCCTTACTGGATGAAGAATCAAAGCTCCCCAAGGCCACAGATTTAACTCTTGCCGCTAAGCTTAAGCAGCACTTTAATGGTAGTCGCTGCTTTAAAGGAGAACAGGGTGGAGCATTTAGGGTTCGTCATTATGCTGGTGAGGTAAGTGTCTGACTCATCCAATTGATTTTTTGCACCTTTCTCTAATGCTAGTTCACCTCGTGGGATCAATTCTCAATCCATGGTTGCATTTCCTGTCAGTACCCCAATCTCAGCTAAACGAATCTCACTGAACCAGTGATAACCTAATTTGTTGGACTGTGATGGTATTATACATATTTGCAAATCTTATATATTTATTGATTGTTATCTGGTAAGCTTACATAAGCCCGCCGAGAATAACTTGTAAGTTCTTGAAATTTGTCCTTTCTAACTTGTTAAGAATTGGTTTTCTTCCACATATATTTATTATCGACACATATTTTCGGACAAACCACTCATTTTGGAAAGATACTTAGTAATTGAACCTGGAAGTTAGGCAGACCAGGAACTTATGATAGACAAAAGGCATATGTTGAATTTTTTTGTTGGACATTTTTACTCTTGCTATCTTGAAGTTTCTATGTTTTTTTGCTAGTCTCTTCATGCTATTTTGCAGATGGTTTTTTCTTGAACAATCTTGAGTTGGACAATGCTAAATTATAGTAGTATTAGTATAGCCTGATTATATTTGATAAAGGGTGGGCCCCACTTACAAGGTGTAGATGAGAAGTACAAGCAAGAACATGGAACCATGGTGGAGAAAATCGGATGAGGAATTGCACATGGATGTCACACTGAGTTAACCACTAGGGAATAGCCAAATGGCCGTTAATGTCTAGTCTTGACTGTAGTTTCTTAGGCTGAGTAAATTAAAGTGTTAAAAAAAAAGAGGCAAGAATTGAGGCTTTGCATTAAGCCATTAAGGTCCAGCCCAGTGGCAAAAAAATACTAGGCATCTATTTTTAAAAATATGCTGAGTTTTCATTGTACATAGTTTGTTTGTACAGCATGTTTGCATAAGGTTTCCGTATTTTTCCTTTTCCTTTTATATTTTCCCACCCACCACTAATTAACTAATTGAGTATGCTAATTGAATTCATCTTCAGTTTTTCGATCGGACAAAGTATTACTTCACATGTTCCTGGAAAATTTGAAGATGTATTCTTGAATGTGTTAACCATTTCTTTTCCAGGCTATGCACTTGGATCTTAATTGTCATACTAAAACATCTATTTGTATTTATGAGTGTGGCCTAGAGTCAAGTACTACAAGCTTGCCTGCATCTCTCCTTCTGTAAATTTGTCTACTTAAAGTTTGGCCTAATTGAGCCACTAGAAGGTTTTGGAATTTCATGCATGGAATACTTACAAAATAACAATGATAGAAATATGACACTGAAGTTAGGAGATGGTGTCTCTTGTCCTTGATGGGTGTTGTTTCTTCATTTCAATGCCATATTTACACTTCACTTTTCACTGATAAAAGTGTTTTCTTTAGGTTCTGTATGACACTATGGGATTCTTGCAAAATAACAGAGATACATTACCTTCCGAAAATTTGCAACTACTTTCATCATGTACTAATCAACTGCCTCAGTTGTTTGCCTCTGTGCTTAAAGAATCTCAGACAAACCCATCTGTCCATTTGGGTATGCTTGCTCATCGAAAGCAAACTGTTGCAACAAAGTTTAAGGTGAATATTCTTCTATTCCTTTCGTAGTCCGTGTTGCTCTTCTCTTCATCCACACACCTGCATATCCACGACAATCTTTAAATTATTTGGCTCAATGTGGCTATAACAGCAGAAGAAAGAATCCATTAAGTTCTTAAAATGATTAAAGAAAAAAAGCTTTTTAAATGATTCTTCTTTCTTGTGATTTTAGATGTATTGAAATATTTACTCATTCGCTAAACTGTAAATGGTTTTGTCATATTTCTTTTTGGCTTTTTGTGTTCTCAAAGGTTGAACTCTGTGACTTACATTTTGCAGGACCAGCTCTATAAAATAATGCAGCAGCTTGATAATACAACTCCTCATTTCATTCATTGCATCAAACCCAATAGTAACAAAATTCCTGGTGCATTTGAAAAAGATCTTGTTTCAGAACAGCTTAGATGCTGTGGGGTTTTAAAAGTCATCAGAATCTCTAAATCTGGGTATCCCATCTGGATAACACATCAGAAATTTTCAAGAAAGTAAGTGCTGCTCTGTGTGCTCATTCACTTCTTTCTTTCAGTTAGGTCTCTTTATAATATGTTGGCTTGCCTTTCAGATATGGGTGCCTTCTTCATGAAGATAATGCACAACTAGATCCTTTAAGTAAGTCAGTTGCCATTCTGCGGCAGGTTGGTATCTGCAGCGAGCTGTATCAAGTTGGTTTTAGGAAGTTGTTCTTCCGAGCGGGACAGGTGGGTTTATCTTTTCTGATTGAAGCATTTCTTAGGGTGTTTTGTAGCTCCGATTCTTCACTTTTGTGCTTGAGCTTTAAAGCATCTGCAGATTGTTTATAATATGTATAATGATATGTGCTAATTTTTCTGATATTTTGTCATGGTATCTCGCAGATGCGTGTCCTAGAAAAAGCTAGAGAACGAGTTGTGCAACGTTCTCCCAAGGTACAGAAGTACTTCCGTGGTCATTATACTCATCAAAGTTTTCATGACCTCGAGGAAGGGATTGTAACACTGCAATCATGTAAGTCTCCCTGCATTGCTTGTAACAAAAGTTTAATTGTTTTATTTTCTTATGTTCTGTATCTCACAGTTAGAGCGGACCATGTTTGCGTCACAATTCGTGTCAGTAAGATTAGCAAACGTTTCTTAAGGAAAAAGTAAAAAGATTGGATTATTGCACATGACGTATTCCAATCTGACAAGATGCCTTGACCATAATTGGGAAATGTCTTTCTCATTTCTCGTCTTCTATAAGTTCTTTGAATTTACGCTTCAGGATGCTTACCAATTTTTTGTTGAGTTGGTGCACATTTGCTAGCATGAAATGTTGAAACTTCTCAATCTCCTTTATTTGAAACTATCATAGTTATCTGAAACACCAGGAATTTTCCTTTGTATGAAGCTGTGTCACATGTTCATCAAATGTGAATCATGTATATCCAGTGCATAAACCCACCCACAAAGTATTAGGAAGCATAAATTCAAAGAACTAGTTGGATGAAATAGGAAGAAAGGAGGATGATGTTATACTCAGGTTGAGTAAACCAGTTATTTGCAACTTGTTGGATAAGCAGGATATGGCAGTTCCACCAATCTGATCAAACGAAGTACCTAATGTTAATGTTCTCATGTGCAGTAATCCGTGGGTGGTTGGCACGTAGGCACTTTAGTCGCCTTTGGCAGTCAAAACAATCAAGTGCTAAAGGACAGAAACAACTCTGTAGAACCTATAATATGAAGGTACTGTAACACTCATCTTACTTGTGTTATTAACGTATGGGTTTTACATGTGAATATCATTGTGGCTTTTGTCTTTACATTCTCGTTTGTACAAGGAAGTAGTTGAGGGCTTGTCTAGGGTTGGTTCCGGAATATGTTTATGCTACTCCCACATGCTCGGAGCTATTTTATATATTGGAGTTCTAATTGACAGAAATGTCATTTTCTGAGTATCTTATATAATAGAAATAACTTGCTTCTAACCACCTATGCTATTGGTGGTTTGTATTTGCAATGCAATTCTACACTGCTCTTTACCTCCCCATTCTTTTATGAAAATGTAAATTCACATGTGAATTGCAAGTTTTCTCTTCTGATTGAGCAGGACCAGCAGCCTGAAATGTTGCCATCAGTTGTTGAAAAACTCCAGAAGGAGGTATCAATGGCAAAAGTAGCACTTGGGAATAAGGAGAAAGAAAATGCGGCCCTAAGAGAGCAAGTGCAACAATTGGAGGCTCGGTGGTCTGGATTTCAATCAAAGATGAAATCTATGGAAAAGATGTGGCAAAAGCAGGTGGTATCATTACAAGTGAGTTTATAGTATTGATTTCCAAGATTTGTTACTTTAGAGACACATAGGATAGAAACAGAAAACTAAAAGTACTCCCCCAAATGTCTTCTTTTTCCTTTTGGAAATTGAAGGAGATTATATTAAGAAAACCGGATTTGGAGTTACATAGGATATAAAGGAGTACAAACAACACCTAGATCTGTCTTAAAATAAGTACTTTAAATATTTCTACCAATCCTAATGTGATAAAACTCTTGATTCTTCTGTTCATGGAACACATTTGATGTTGGGTTTGCCTACTTATATTAAAAAAATGGAATCCTTTCATTAGATTGAACAAAAGGCTAATGAGAAAATGTAATGTGTTTGGATAATTGGATATTAGTTGCTGAACTAAGAAGCCAGAAGAATTGGTGAATATGAACATAAATTACATACTTGCTGTTTTCCTTTTCGGTATTGCAGATGAGTTTGGATGCAGCGCATAAGACCCTTGATAATGAAAATACTGCACATCAATCTGGCAAACTTCATGGGACTCTATCTTCACTATTCTCTGAGCCTGAGGATACTTCTTTGGTGCCTCAGACTCCCGATGTTATCACCCCTGCCAGAATTGTGAACACTGATAATGAAGAGGTGGCAGCTGCAGAGACAAATGAGGACTCGAATCCTGTCAGTTCTCTAGCGAAGGAATTTGAACAAATCAAACATAGTTTCAATCAAGAAGCCCAAGTGATTGCCGAGGTCAAGTCAGATCAATCCCCTTCTGCAGATACCCCCGAGGAATTGCAGAGACTGAAACACAGATTCGACTCATGGTCAAAGGATTTCAAGTTCCGTTTAAAGAGCGCAAAGACGAGAGTAATAAAGCTGGGGCATGCTGATCCTAGGAGACCAAGCTGGAAATGGTGGGGGAAGAAAAATAAGAGACTGATATCAATTTGATTACACTTATTCGTCTGCTTACAGAGGGATACGTCGTTCGGTTGTGTTATTTAGGTGTATCTTAGGTGTGTGTTGTACGGGCATATATGGGAATTGCCGATGCATTTCAACTTGGGCTCAACTACATAATCCCGTCACAGCATGTCAATTGCGTTAGCATCCTTAGGGCAAGTATATTTATAGTTCTTTTCTTGTCGATGCAGTTGCTCTGTTCTTTCAAAATATATGCATTTCCACTTTCAACCTGGTAATCTCAGGACATATCATCTATTATTCAAAGACTACAAATAGATCCTCAGCACATATAGATGATGATCCACACCATAGACACACGCACAAAGAGCAGGTTTGGGATCACAGCTTATGATCCAGGGACAAACTTGGTGGCATACACCCAGGCATTGTTAGCAACCGGATTTTCGAGATGATCCAAAAGGTTCTCCAACGGCCCTTTACCGGTGACAATAGCCTGAACAAAGAATCCGAACATGGAGAACATGGCGAGCCTTCCGTTCTTGATTTCCTTGACCTTGAGCTCGGCGAAGGTGACAGGGTCATCAGCCAGTCCAAGGGGATCAAAGTACTGGCCACCAGGGTAGAGGTCATTGCCCTCTCCCACCCCATCAAGACCATTGATTCTAAAGCCTTCAACAAGGCCCATGAGCACCACCTGGAATCCCAGAACTGCCAGAATGCTCTGAGCATGGACCAAACTTGGGTTCCCCAAGTAATCCAGCCCTCCCTCACTGAAGATTTGGGAACCAGCCTTGAACCAGACAGGCTCCTTGAAGCTCACTCTCAGCCATTTCTGTAGAACTTCTGGGGTTATGCAACCCAGAGCTCCCAGCATGGCCCATCTCCCATGGATCACCTGTAAGTACAGCATTCACTCACTTGCCTTGTCAGAAGTGGATGAAGAAGAAAGAAGAATTCATTATGAATTAAGTAGCTAGATGTGATACCTCAAGAGCCCTGTTTCTGGCAAAGGCCTCGGGATCAGCGGAGAGGCCGGCAGTGTCCCAGCCATAGTCTCCGGGGAACTCTCCGGTGAGGTACGACGGCGTCTGAGCCGAGAAGGGTCCCAGGTACTTCAACCGGTCCGGGCCATACCACAATTCATTACCCTGTCATCAAAAAGCACAGCTTCACAATTAATCATCTCTCCCAACTCCCAAGTCATCAAAACCCTAGCCATTGCCAAGCAGTACCATGGTGTACTTTGCGTTTCCCATGGAGACACCATCCCTCAGAGGGTTGCCAATGCCATTCTTGGTCCGGCCCAAGAATGGGGTTGCCCTGATCGCAGCGCCAGATGCAGATGCAGTAGCAGCGGCAGCCATTTTCGCTTCTCACGGACAGTTAGTTGCTTGTGTGGGCGACAGATTTTTATGGTACAGACAGACAACAAGGAATCAGAATTGGAACTGGTGGCCGAGATATTCCTTTGTCTTCCCGACCAATAGCAACGCTTGTAAAGATTTTCTCTATCTACTCAACTCATCCTTTTATCAAAAATTTCTATTTTCCAGAAATTATTTTAAAAATATTGAATGCGGTGAGCGTGGATCGAACACGCGACCTTCAGATCTTCAGTCTGACGCTCTCCCAACTGAGCTATCCCCGCATTTGTTTACATTTACTGATTTTACTTATTTTCTAAGTATTATATGGCTTTGGTTTTTGTTTGACATTAAGCATTAGACTTTTGTTCTTTTCCCTGTTGAATGTGAATGACAAAGTGTGTAATATTGATGGTTGCTTCTTAATAGCTTTGTTCGTTTATGAAATTAGTTGTTTTTTTTTGCGGGAATTTAGGGTTTCAGATATATGCAGAGCTTTGATGCTTATTTCCAATTCAACAGTAATTGGATTGCCTATTTATTATAGATGGCTAAAGTATGTTCGAATCAAGTTTATCTGCCAATGCCTATGTGTTCTTCGAAAATCTTGCAGTAATTAGTCGTCGTTGCAGCAGAGCTTTTACTGCCTGTAAATAACAACAATCTGGTGAATAATTTTAGGTCTAGAAACACTGGTGATGGTGATGATACTAGAAAAGATTTGTTCAAAACCCCAAAAAAAGAAAAAAATGTTAGAATTAGACTTCATAATTGAGTAGTCCGACAAAGATGTTAATGCTTTCATTGGATTAACTTTTGTGCTATTATGTTTTCCTTTTGCTTCTCACCTCACTCTTTTGATATATTCTCCAATACTGTAGTAGATTGTGCTGCGATTGGATGGTGGTGTTCAATAAGTCTGTCTTAATTCGTATATTTCTTACAGAAAAGTAAGCAACAATAATCAGGCTCAGGCATGGATGCTGGTGAATTTGGCCCTTGAGGTTTTGGAAGAACACAGGCAGAAATGCCATTCCTCCATGTTGTTGTTGTTGTTGTTGTCTCCAGGAGCCTAATCAATCAATTGCACCTTGTGCTGAATTATTTATTGTCCATATAAATAAAATCATGAGCAAAATTCCTGCCCTGCCCTGCCCTGCCCTGCTCGTTCCATATCATGTCCCATCCTGGTCCAATAAACAAGAGGTCCCCTGAGCTGTCCCTCTCGTCCGGGCAACGTTAGTTAGCTTGGAAGAAACTTCCGGGATGTTTCTGGCAAGTAAGTAACTGAGAAAAAACCAATGTGAATGTAGGTGTGTATGTTTATCAATTCTGAATCATGCAATGAAATGCAGCAGCAGTGACATTGATATATCTTTATATGTATATATGTTGCTTTCAGTTGGTTACTTTGATGTATTATGTAGTATATGAACATAATTGATGATGGTAGGTGTGATGTTGAAGGATATTGGAGATGGAGATGGAGATGGAAGATGAGTGAATGCAGGTATTGTATGTAGGTACAGCAGCAGCAGCAGAAAATCCTAATCCTAAATCATCTAATCCAGAGAGAGAGAGAGAGAGGAAAGTGCAAGGAAGGTGTGTTTTTGGACTCATTCGATGATACATACATAAGTAAGTAAGTTAATTGTTTGTATTGCTCTTGCCTTCCTTAATCCATTCATCATTCATTATCATTTAATTTGTTTATCACTCGCCTTCCACTCATTGTCATATTCTAATCTATTATTATGGGTATTTGTTTGTGTATTTTTCAATGAATGCCTTTTTATGCTTAGATAAGACAATCGTATTAGTAATATATTATTCCCTCCGTCCGTCTCTCTCTGACGGTCATATTTACATTTTGTGTGATTATACTTGACATTAAAAATATTATTGTATTTTGTATAATTTCTTTTTTTTTTTTTTTTTTTTTTTTATAAATGTCCTATTAGTTTTAGTTTGATAAAAACTGATGGAAATATTTTTGTAATTTTTTTTAATTTGTATATAATAATTAATATTTAAAGACCCGAGTTGAGACAATATTATTTTATACAGTATATTGTATTTTTTTTTTCTTTCATAATTATGATTAATAGTGCTACCTAAAAATAAATTGGGTGAACAAACTCATATTTTAAATTAAAACTTAAATAAAAAAAAAATCAATTTCAAATTAAATCAAAGCAATTATTATCTCATTCAATTTTATTTACTTACTATTCTTTTGCTATTCTTTTATTATTATTATTATTATTTTTTTTTTTTGGGAAAAAAAGAACAAATATTCATATTCTTTTAAAATATTACTTCTTCCCTCTCAATTAAATTGTCCTATTTAATTTAGGCAGTATCTAATTAGTAAATAATTAAAGTATATTAGTGAAAATTATAGTGATTTAATAAAAATAATTATAGATGAAGATGACTAAATAGTTTAATTAAAATACAAAAAATTATAAATTATGAATTTTAAAATATAAATAAAGTGTATAATTATATATTTTTTTAAAAAAGACAAATTAAATTACATGAGAGCTGACTGAAATAGAAATATGAGAGTCAGGGAGTATATAATTTACTAATTACAATAGTAATTTCAATAAATTAATAATTGAACTATATAATTCATTTGTGTTCAATTATTAATTTATAATAGCAACATATTAGTGTTATAAAAGCAATATCTTTTGAATATTTAATTTACAAATGAGTAATATTATTCACTAAAATAATTATGAAAAATTCATTGATTAGTAAACTTTGTATTGTATTATTGAATGATTGTGTTTAATTGTAAAATTTACTATTTTTTTACAATTCAATCTACCACTTAAAAAGGTTATACTGGTATTATTTTAATATATTAATCTTCTTTATGATAAATTTGATAACAATTTACTCATAAAATAATAATTAAAATATACAATACCTTCAGCATATATAAATAAATTAGAATGGGTTTGCAGTCCACAATAGTTTTGCTGGTTTCAAGGTTGACTTATGATCGTAAAATTTATTTAATTAATAATTTAATTTATAAGAAAATAATTTTTTTAAATATATATTTATTGAGAAGATATAAAATACATTTTCTTTTGAATAGTCTACAATGTTTATATTTCAAAAAAAATATTACCTTTGTATAGCAAAAAAAAAAATAATATTTATTTTGTGCACGTAGATTTTCAAATATTAGTATTATATTGATTTACAGTAGAAAAAACAAAAATGCCTCTGTTAGATTATGCTATAAAAGAATAATGACATTTGTGTACTAATTTTTTTTTGAACCGTCGAAAATGGAAAATAGTATCATTCTTATTTAATAACCAAATATATCCATTGTTTGTTTCGATTTTTGAATTTATATTTTTATTGAACTTTACACTAATTTTTATTTTTATCAAAAATAATAAAAATATAAATCAAACTCAATTTACATGTGTTATAATAATAAATAATCGAAAACACTTACATCTTGGGTTATTCTCGTATATATAATTTTTTTAATATATTGTGAATAACCACGATCGATAATTGAATGTATAAACAAAAATTTAAGCTCGTTTAAGTGTAACAAAAAACATGCACATTGTAAGGCTTTATTTAAAATAATAATCTAATATTATATATATATATATTTATAAAAATGAATCGATATTAAAAATATAGCAAGAACAGATAAAATTTTAAAAAAATGTACACGTATATAAGTAATTTATATTTTAGTCCATAATAATTGAATTATTAATATTCATCAACTAAAGGGTTAAATTTCAACAAATATTTTATTTATGTTCACCACCTAATTTTGGTGGTTTGTAGATTCAACAGATTATTAATGATATATTAATTGTAATAACAATATTTATGACATCACACACGATTCCTTGTAGGTGAAATAACAGCTTAATTAAAGCCTACCATATCACAACATCTTATTAAAAATTGGTATTAAATACAACCTTCGTTCCCTAACAAAGTATCTATTTTTTCATTTTAGTTCGTACCATAACAAAGTATCAATTTCTTTTTTTAATAACTGTACTATCTACCTAACATTACAAATATCCTTGCAACTTACAGTGTATTACACAAATGTCCATTACCTTTATATCACATATATTAATATTAGGTTATTTTAGTCATTTCTACTTTATTCCTATTATATCCCAATATAATATTAATATTTCTAAAAATATGTGCAAAAAGCAAATGAATATTTAGTTTCGAGACGAAGGAAGTATATGATATGCTTGTTTTTTATTTTGAATAAAAATATCACTATTTAATTAGTACATTTTAAAATAAATAAATAAATAAACTATTGTTTTTAATCATTTCACAACATCATTATTTGTTTGGGTTCAACATATATGGAATCAATCATATTTTGATATTTTATGCATTATTTTAAATAGTTATACGTCACTTTCATTTTAGAACAGAATGTTTTATTTATTTATAATTCACTAAAAAAGCAATCCTTGAGTAAAATTATTAAGATATTTTTAATTTTTTCATATCAAAAATAATTTTAAGAGCTCAAGGGTCTTGGGATGATAATAGTATAGTTTAAATCCTATATAATTTATTTTCTATTTTCGTCCGTCTCATATAATTTGTCCGTTTTTGAAAATATAATTATACATTTTAATCTTATTTTAAATTTTATAATTTCTTCAATTTTAATTAAATTATTTAGTTATTTTAATTTTAATCTACAATTATTTTTACTATATGATAATTATTTTTATTTATATATTTTTTAATTATTTATACACTTTTTAATTACTTACTAATTATATTTTTCCTAAATTATCGTATGTACAATAACCGCTCATATTATATGGGAAGGAGAGAGTATATTCAATATTTATGTTTCATAAGAAATATTATATATTTAATAATGATTGTATTTAAAATATATTTAAACTTTAAACCCATATTAAAAACGCATCTCCGGTATTAATTTATTTATTTTTGACGTCATTTAATCTACGGTTCAATAATAGTACTAGTAGCAGTGAAAAAACATGAATAGTATAGCAGGGGCAGTATTGTAATTTCATAGACAGCAAAGCTAGCTGCCCTCTACCGGCACTGTCACAAGCATCGTCGTCAATCGCAATTCACCGCGACGTTTGTCTGTATCAGCAATTGAACTTTTTTCACACACAAACACACATATATATATATATATACATATATTCAATTCCTTTCTCCCTTCTCTCCATCCCCATCTGCAAATCCCCAATCCAGCCATGTCTAATCGCCACAAGGAGATGCTCCGCCGCAGCTACAATGGCGACGCCGACAACACCACCGATTCCTCAGATATGGAGGGCGAGGAGGAGGAGGAGGGGGAAGAAGAAGGCAGAGACGGAGGAGGAGGAGGCTGCGGCGGGGAATCGGAGGACGAGAAGAAGGAGATGAAATCGAATGAAGAGAGCGGACGGCAGTGGTGGTGGTGGTGGCGGTCGCGCCGGCGCCGGCGGAGGTTGGAATCTAGAGCAGCTAATTGGATGCAGGAATGGAATAGGATATTCCTTCTGGTGAGCGCGGCGGCGCTGTTCGTGGATCCGCTCTTCTTCTACGCCCTTTCCATAAGCTACAACTGCATGTGCCTCTTCGTCGACGGCTGGTTCGCCGTCGCCGTAACCGTCCTCCGCTGCATGACCGACGCGCTGCACCTTTGGAACATGTGGCTACAGTTCAAGGTCACGTGCCGCGCACGCCTCAACTACTTCGCCTTCAGAAACCGATTCTTCTTCGACCTCTTCGTCATTCTTCCACTTCCCCAGGTACAATCAATTTATTGTTAAAGTTCTTCCACTATTTTGACACAATTTATTCGTTGAAGCTTTGAAAATCAGGCAAACAGACAAAACCTCAAACACACACCCACACACACATATATATATATATATACACCGATTTGTTTGTATCTTACCTATATACTATGGTGTGCGTCAGTAATTTTTTTAATAGCCACACAATTTTTGCAGACGCTGCTCGCTGCAGTGCGTACGGTTACACCTACACCATGTGATATTACCACCCACACACACCTACTGGCGTAGTTTAACACCAGAGAAAACAAAATCCATTGTAGTTAGAGAGAGATAGAGCTGTGTGAAGAGTCATTTTCTGAATAACTGGTCCTAGCTCGAAGATCATGTGAATAATTCCTATACGTACGTATGTTCATGTGAAGTGTCTTTCTATGGCTAGCTCGATCTATTTTGGAATTTCTTCACCACTCTTTGTTTTTTTCTGCTACAAGATCAACCCCATGCTCATATAATAGTTGAATGATTGATCAATCATGTAGAATAATACTATATAATTATTTTATTATTGATCTTTATACCATTTATTTGTCTTTTTTTGGATACAACGTTCAAGAATGTTTTAATCATTTTTCTTTGATGATAGAAATTACATTTACTAAACTTTAATTTATAAAATTTTATAAATGGTTGCACTTGCGTATATATATAATATAAAAATATATACAGATAGCAGTGTGGGTGGTGATTCCGAAACTGCTGGAGAAAGGATTTACAACAGAGATCATGACGGTGATGCTGATAATGTTTCTGTTCCAATACCTCCCCAAACTCTACCACTCCGTCTGCTTGCTCCGCCGCATGCAGAATCTCTCCGGCTACATTTTCGGTACCGTCTGGTGGGGGATTGCTCTCAACTTGATCGCCTACTTTGTAGCTTCCCATGTACGTCTCTCCAGTCTCTACATATATTATTAGGTACAGAATTAAGGAGAAAAGCGATTGTACATGGCATTTCTATTCAAATTCAAATTAAAATGTAAACCGTGCAGGCAGTGGGGGCGTGCTGGTACCTGCTAGGGATCCAAAGGGCGGCAAAATGCCTAGGGCAGCAGTGCGCCGCCGTGAGGAGCTGCGAGCGGCGGATGATGGCGTGCGAGGAGCCGGTGTACTACGGCACGAAGGATATCATCAGCGAGGGGTCGAGGTTCGTGTGGGGTGAGAACAGGAGCGCCAGATCTACCTGCCTCGAAAACTACGATAACTTCGATTACGGAGCCTACAAATGGACTGTTCAGCTGGTCGCCAACGAGAACCGGCTCGAAAAGGTTCTGTTCCCCATATTCTGGGCCTTGATGACTCTCAGCACCTTCGGGAATCTGGAGAGCACCACCGACTGGCTGGAGGTCGTCTTCATCATCATCGTCCTCACCGCCGGCCTCCTCCTCGTCACCATGCTCATCGGCAACATCAAGGTCTTCCTCCACGCCACCACTTCGAAGAAACAGGCGATGCAGCTGAAGATGAGGAACATCGAATGGTGGATGAAGAAGCGCCGCCTGCCGCAGAGCTTCAGGCAGAGAGTCAGAAACTACGAGAGGCAGCGCTGGGCCGCCATGCGCGGCGTCGATGAATGTGAAATGACCAGAGACCTCCCCGAAGGCCTCCGCCGCGACATTAAATATCATCTCTGCCTCGATTTGGTCCGCCAGGTCCCCCTCTTCCAGCACATGGATAATCTCGTCCTCGAGAACATCTGCGATCGCGTCAAATCTCTCATCTTCACCAAGGGAGAAACAGTAAGCACGATCCACTCCAATCTAGGTTTTTAATTAATTTGGAGATTCAATTTCTGGATTTTAATTTTGATCTGCTGTTTGTGGTTGTGGTGGTTGTTAATGGAGGAAGATAACTAGAGAAGGCGATCCGGTGCAGAGGATGCTGTTCATAGTGCGAGGGCATCTCCAGAGCAGCCAATATCTGCGCGACGGGGTGAAGAGCTGCTGTATGTTGGGGCCGGGAAACTTCAGCGGCGACGAGCTGCTCTCATGGTGTCTCCGGCGGCCGTTCGTGGAGAGGCTGCCGCCGTCGTCGTACACGCTGGTGACGCTGGAGACGACGGAGGCGTTCGGGCTGGAAGCGGAGGACGTGAAGTACGTGACGCAGCACTTCCGCTACACATTCGTGAACGAGAAAGTGAAGAGGAGCGCCCGTTACTACTCGCCGGGGTGGCGGACGTGGGCGGCTGTGGCGATACAGCTGGCCTGGAGGAGATACCGCCACCGCCTGACGCTGAGTTCGCTGTCGTTCATCAGGCCGCGCCGCCCGCTCTCGCGGTGCTCCTCCCTCGGAGAAGACAGGCTCAGACTTTATACAGCTCTGCTCACATCCCCCAAGCCCAACCAGGATGATTACGATTTTTAATTAATTAGTTAATTTACTTAATACTGCTATTACCCTAATTAATTATACTGTAATTATTCCTTGCTTTACATCTATAATTAGCTTATGCCTACTAAACTATACATTTGTTTTTAAGAAATTTAATACTTCCTCCATCTCGCAAGAGAGGCTTCTATTTTTTCTTTTAATTTATAATATATTACATAAATGTCACCGGCTTTATACTCTCTTCGCTCTATATATGTTTATCAATTTATTTTTTGTACAAAATTTTAAAAATATTAGTACTATTATATTGGATATAGTAAAAATAAAAGTAAAAAAACTAAATTAACTTATATAATATAAATGTAATGATATTTGTGTAATATATTGTAAATTGGAAGAGTATTTGTAACGTTAGATAGATAGTACAATTAGTTAAAAAAATTGAAATGAATAGATTGTTAAGGGATGAACCAAAATTGAAAAATGGATAGATTATTAAGAGACTGATAAAAGCTATTTTCGTCTTTTTCACTACAAACTAATATAATACTAATATTAAAAAAATTACGTGAAAAAAAAAATTCGCTACTCGATGGAGAGAGTATGACATTTTATGTATAAAAATAAATGTAGAAGTACTTATATTATAGTATACATTTGGATAAAACAAATGAAATTAAATGTAATTACGTAGTTTTTACATAATATGGACAAATAAATTTTATGTCAAAATAGATTTTTTATTATTAAATTATTTAAATTTTATTATATAATTTTATTTTTTATTTATATATTATAAAGATATAATAGTAAAATTATTTTATTTTTACTTTTTTGTAGTATTTTAATTAAACATAAAAATATTGTTTGTTTCTTTTGGTCATTTCTCCTACATTAAAATTCTTCTCATTCCCTCTCTTTATTTGAAACCAGCCAAACTTAAAAGTCCAAAACTTTTATTAGAGGCTTAAAAAAAAGAACATGTGTTATAGGCTTTGGCCCGATACTATTTATTAAATTAAATATATAAATATTAAATCAAATAGTTATTTATATTACACATTGGTTGATGAATTGATTATTGTATATTATTTCAATTAAATTTTTGACTATATTCAAATTTAAATCTAGATTTTAAGAATCAAAGGAATATTATTTGATGTGATATAATTAAATATTTAATGTGATATTTTGAATTGAAATATTACTATTTAAAGGAGGTTTTTAATGAATAATTATTTGTTTATAATTTATTTAAAAATATATATATTAAATTTAATAATTTTAGTGAAAAAAAATTGATACAATGATACAAAATTAAAACCAAATCTTAAAATAATAAACCCATTAAAATGGTCACCAATCTACATCAAGTCCATACAGAAAGTAGACAGTCCATCTTCATTAATTCCATAGTACCAAGTTATGTTATATATATATATATATATATAAATAAATCCTTTCGTTTAATTATACCTCAACAACAAATATCTCAAATTTATTGCATATGTGACTAAGTCAAAATATGAGATCTCACTCAATTCAACCTTAGATTCTTGAAATGCATGCTTCATTCTCTTTATCAAAATAAGAGCACATTATAATGCTTATTAAAATTACTCAATATATATTAAATAAACAAATAATACTATATATAATTTCAGGTAATTGAAAATATATTAGTATAGATTTTATAGTGTTACACAAATTGCCTACCAAAATAAGACTATGCTAAGTGTGAAACAAACATTGACGGCTAAGATCCAATTCCATAAAATGTGCCAAAATGAGATAATAAAAACAAGAAAGAATCAAAACAGCCAAATATACAAATATATATATATATATATGACTATCCTGTATTTTAAAAAATAATAATAATAAACTTAAAAATGAATAGAAGTGGAAGATTTGGCATAATGCATAGTATTTTATAATGGTAAAGGGCATCAAATCTTATCTGTTACTGCAGCTTTGTAGATCATATTGAAGGCATTCTGCAAACAGGCCTTGAAATTTGGTGCATCGATCAGCTCCTTCTCTGCTCCCACAGCCAACCTTAAATCTCCCATGTAGCTCACCATCGTTATCGTAAGGTTCTGAGGAACCCCCGCCACCATGAAGTACAAACCCTTGATTGGGTGATTCGATAAGGCCATCCTCTCCAGGGGCCCCAGCATGTTCGATACTGTCATGCTCGTGTTCTTCAACGTGCTGTGAATGTATTGAGCCGTCGTCTGCAACCACCAACCACTACTTTGATTAATCTTCCACAAATCTTTATATATATATATATGCATGTATATGTATATGTACCTCAGGTCCTCTTAGTTTGCTCAAAGCGTCGAGCAACTTCCCGGTGAGAATGACAGCTGTGGAGTTCCGTTTCCGCTTGATCATGTCCTGAGCTTTGAGGACGAAGGTGAGAGGGGCGATGGGGTCCACGTCGGGAACGGGGACGTGCAGGAACGCGAACTGGTTCCCCCACGGCGACTCCGCGCCGGGCTTCACCATCTCCGACACCGACTTGTAGCCGGCGATGTTCCTCGTGTTCAGCAGAACCAGCGCCGTCGATTTCGCCCCCCACAGGTTCTGACTCTGGTTCATGCCTCTCATGTACAGCCTTATTCCCAGGAACACTACTCCGCATATAACGTCATTGATCGTCTGCATCAATCAAATCAAATTAGGGTTAAATTAACCAGAGATGGAGGCGGGCAATTAATTAATTTAAACCCTAATCTGAATAAGTTAACAGAAGAAGATGATATGCCCCACCATGTGCATCAAGTGTATAACATGACATTAGATTTATATAACTATGTAGTGGTTGCCAATTAAGAAACTCTACCATTGTCCGTTGTATGGTAATTGGTAAAAGCAGAAAGTACAATATCGTAGCTGCTGTAAATAGTTTCAATGGCAACATTTAATATATATGCTTGTTCTTAATTTTTTGCCTTTGTTGAGTTGGCTGGACATTAATTTGGGGAAATTGAATTCAAGAATTGACCAGAGTAGAAATATAGTGGTAGTACTAAATTCATTGGTGTTTAAATTTAATTAAGCTTTGCTTGATAATGGCAGACATTGATTAGTACCTAAGTACGGACTGAATTGAAAAAGAAAAAAAGAGGAAGAAGAAGAAGAAGACTGACCGCAGCAACATTGGCTTTGATTTGCTTAATTTGATCGATGGAGAAAGTGACGGTGAAGATGGAGATGGGGCGGAACTCGACGCCGTCGTCGCCGGACCTTATCGGAGACCTGTCATCTTCGAGCAAAGTACTCTTCAACAAGCTCCATCCAAAATCTTTAATGGTGTTGAACACACCAGAAACAGCCTTGGGAAGATTTCTGCAAATAACATTATTATGATTATGGTGATGATTGTTGCTGTTGTCATGACATTCAGCTACTTCCCTTTCCCTTTCCCTGTCCGAATTGGGGATTGGGAAGGTGAGGGGAATCTCGGGGTTGTCGGCTCTCTGGAGGCAAGAGAGAAGAGCTCCCATGAGAGAGTAGCCATCGCCAAGAGCATGGTGGAGCTTGAAGACGAGGCTTCCGGCGGCGGTGGTGGTGGGGTACTTGACGATGTGGATTTCCCACAGTGGCCTGCTCTGGGGGAGCTGCTCCATTGCCAATTTGGAGAGGTATTCGGCGAAGCAGGCCTCGTAGAATTCTGTGGATGAGTTGTTCGTTCTTCTTCTTCCTCCTTGAGGTTGAGGTGAGAAAATCGGGATGTTGACGTGGTCCTGGAGCTTCACGTCGACCTTCTTCCACCGCTTGATTCCGTTTTTGTCCTTCACCTGCAGCAGCAGCAGCAGCTCAGTCTTAGTTACTTAATAATTAATATCTGGAACTGCAACTGGAATGGGGAAGAAGATCCATCCAGCCAGGGCAGGACATAACAAACCACGTGAACTCTGCGTGTGTGAGAGAGAAATTGAATAGTGATGAAAGGAAATAGGACCATGATGGAGGAGAAACGGGGATTGATGGGGAGAAAGACGTCGTTGAGCAGTTTCATGGTGTGCGAATCGTCGATGGGAATCTCCGACTCGAGAACAGCAATGACGGAAACAGAGATGGCGGAGCTCGTGAAGTACTGCCCCGTTGGACTCACCGGCTCCGCCACCTCCTCCGCCGCCTCCTGCTGCTGCTGCTTCAATGCCATCGTCTCTCTCTCTCTCTCTCTCACTCACTGATCAATTACACTCACCGACACACACACACTCTCTCTCTCTCTATATATATCTATATTATATATATAGATATTTGTCACGTCGGCTGCAACTTCTGCCGCTTCTGCTCAATGGGATTCAACTTTGCACATCCATTTTATACTCTGTCCGATTGTATGCTCAAAAAAAAAAAAAAAAAAAAAAAAAAAAAAAAAAAAGTAAGAATAGACTTAAATTAGATAGTTTAAATGGTGGTGGTGTATAGCGTTAATCATAAATAGGCAGGCATTGGCACCATCAAATGCTATAATTTTATTTTATTTTATTTTTCGATCAGTTTTATTTTGTGGGTGAAATTTATTTATTGCACACAGTTGGGATGCCTCATCCAACTAAATTAAATTACAAAAAGGTTAGTTTAATTTGAGCTATCGTCTACGTACGTACGTATGTATATTATGTATACATAGCAACAGACAAAAAGATGCATACATGTATATACTTATTTCTTGTAGCTGTTGCACACACTTTCCTTATGGTTGCTCTACTTTTCCAATTTCTCTCAATCATTTTTAATTTTTGTTATTATTATTATTATTTATTTATTTATTTTTTGGCAGTGGGTACATGCTATTAAGAAGATCATGTGAGGGGAAGAAGCTGCTTGTCTGGCTAAGTTTCAAGCACTCTTATCATGTCGGGCTTATCAATAGACATTTCGACACACATCTTCCCCGGGGGCTGTTCACGTTCTTCACGCAGTTTTTGGTTCTTGAAGATCACATGATCTCCCATCGCCCCCCTCAAAAAAATATTCTCCATGGCCCCCTCACTTAATTTTTTTTTTTTTTTTAAAAAAATTATACAAAATTCACCTGTGAATTTTCAAAATTACCCAAAATCCAGTACTTTCAAAATTGAGTCAATAAATTCTACATTTAATCCTTCGACCGTTCTTATTTTAAGATGTTTGACGTACACGCGCGCTCAAACTATGAATAAATCTTCGAATACTAATTTATAAACTCTTAAAAATATAAATATATTAATTTCTTTTATATTTAGCTTCAAATAACATTAAAAAAAAAACTTTAAAATTAAATAAAAACAACTATTTTTTAAGTATAATTACTATTTTTTAGATTAAATAATAAAAATAATAAATATATTTGCAATTTAAAAGTTTGGATACGAAGATTTTGAAACTTATCGAATTAGACACGGAATTTATAAAACTACAAAAAAATTTGACGCAATTTTAAAAATACTGGCAATTTAGAAACCACGTGTAAATTTTGTGTAATTTAGTAAAAAAAAAAATTAATTCAACATAGTATCAAATCTGAGACCTTTTGTATTCTGAGTCTCACAATAATTCAGCAAGAGGTGTTACTGGTAGATAGCAAACCTCATTAATGAATGAATGGGAACACTGCTATTAAAAAATGGGAAAAGCCCAATTCATGAGCAACAACTAATGTCATGATGGAACATCACAGCACACCAGTCATTCATTCACTCATCCATGTCCAAAACACCACTACTGGTAAGAATTTATGATACACACAGGATAGAAATCTAATCTCAATATCCACAGAGGTCCAACCTCATCCCCTTCCAGACAACATTTACTACTCACTACTACTGTACAGGCTGGCTTAGATTAGAAACACATTTCTTCTACAACCATCAAACAATAAATGGCCATGAAATATTTCTACGAAATCACGACGGCATTGATGCGCCTATTTGGTTAAAAAAAGGCATTGGAAACATTATTGGCAAAATTCTAAAGCTGAAATGCATCATGCGCATCAGGAAATTTACTTATGTTGGATGGGAGAGAAGATCGACGCTTAAATTGGAAGCTCAAAATCTGCTATTAGCATTTCTTTTCATATTTTTTTCTTTGAAATGGAGGGGAGGACCATTTTCCATTCGACATTAAATCTACCTACAAAAGATACATGAGAAACCAAGAAACAAAAACAGGAAAACAAAAATATGGCCTTTCAATTACATTACAGTTATGTAGGCGTATTTGTAACAAAGGATGGATCCATCTGTCATTCTGGAAATAAAGATCAGCCACAGTTTTTGCCATTTCTAAACCTGGAAAAAATACAGAATGATTACCGCTGTACGAATTCAATAATTTGCTAATTACTCTTCATGGAGATACAGAACATAATTAGAAAGTGTTTCAGTGAGTTTAGATTTTGTCTATTCATTGCATCTTAAAAAGTACTCAACAAGGTTATATGATTCCTTTTTTTCTTTTTATATGATTTTCTAAGTCTTCAAACATGATTTTTCATTTGCATATAGACAGATGCACAAACGCATGTTTTGCAAATCTAATCTTATTTAGATATATAATTAAGTCTAATGTAAATATCGAATTCATATATGTTCATGAAAAAAACCAATAACACTAAAAGAAAGAGGACATCCCATTTGCAGCTCTCCCCCAATCCAAAAACTCCAAAATAACACAATATTTTAATTGATTTCATCATTACATACCCAAAAAGTACATTGTTAACAGTAAATTAAAAAATAAAAAATAATAATAATAAAAAAAGGGAAAAAGGTAAGCCTATGGCCAAAATGAAGCAATTTATTCCTTGAACAAATTATATGCCAATAAATTGAATCTTCATTGAGAATAATATTGAAAAATATCAAGAACTTAAACAATCAGAACATGTAGGAAGATACATGTATAAGTTTGGGCCATCTTACCAGTGTTAACTAGGAGGGACGTCTCGGTTTAATTGAGAACAAATATACAATCTTTATGCGGGTGGAAGTGGGCGCCGGCATGTTGGGCACTCCATTTTTATGTCCATCCATCTATGCAAGCAACCGGAGTGAAAGAAATGATCGCAAGGCGTCACCTGAAGAGACGGTGGAGTCAATAATAGTTCAAGAAGATTAATCTTGTGGTAAGGAGAAAGAAAACTCATGCCAAACCATGCAATCATTTGAGCGCTGGCTAAGGTCGATGGCAGTCATGCAAATAACACAATCTATGGAATGATTTGAGCCTTGATGGAATCTCCTGTAGTAACTATATTTTTCGGGTAAAATCTGCAATTACATTATCAGACTGAAAATCATGTCTCGTGAAGCAACAATTGATACATATACATCAGTCACGTGACATTATTTATTCAGTAAATAGTAAAACTAAGAACCATTATTAATACTATGGTTCCAAAAAAATCACACAAAAACAGCATGCACAATTTATCTTCTTATTATTGAAGAAGAATTGGCTATAAGGCTTTTTGGATATTCAATGTTTGCTGATTAACAAAAAAATCACACAAAAACAGCATGCGCATTTATCAATGTTCGGCAATAACACCTGGCTATAATTATAGAGTTCCCATAAAACTAGAAATTCATTTGGAATATGAAATAAGACCAAATTAAAAGATATACCAGATTTTGGAGATGAAAGAAAATTGGGACCAATATAAATAGAAACTAACAAACCTGGCGGGGAATGAAGCATCTAGATCCAAAATAGTGCTGCAGTAGAAGAACACATGCTTGGAATCCCATGAAAAGGGCCAAATAAGTACACCAATTCCTGTCAGGTTCTATGCGCATGAAATTACTTGGACACCCAAATACATATAATGGAATAGCCATGCGGGTGATTGTCATCCCCAGTATGTAGTGAGGATGCAATGGCTTTCTTGAGTCTCGAACAACGTTAGTGATTATTTGTGGGATCCAGAAAGAGTGGAGAAGGAGAAGAATAAATCGCAAAAACTTATGAAATTCGTACATGACCAGAATGCCACCTAAAAGGATGCCATCTGCAAAATAATAATACAATATTTCATTTAGACATGATGCTAGGTGCAAATAGATCAATAACTTTTAAGTTTCATGAACAACATTTCATGAAGCATATACACATTCATATCTTGGCCATTGTATAGAGACAAACTTTCCACCATCAAATATAGTAGATTATTAAAGAAAGAAAAACAAACGTCTCTCCCATTCTGCATTTTACTTTCCATTCAATAGCAGTATGTTTCATCCTCTAGGTTTAACTTAAAATTGAAACAATTCTGATAACAGTCAAAAATTTATGTCTGTCGTAACATTCCTGACCTACTTGAATACAGCTATCTTTTCTAAGTTACTCATCATTTCCTGTCAAAAGTAATTCCAACTAATGCCAACTCATGTTTACCACACTAAAAAAATGATTCAATCTATGAATTCAAACTTCAGAATACACTGATGAGAATTGCAGGATGATGTCATAACGGTTTAAGGGGCATCAAATTAACATATAATTTACGGTTTAAGAAGAATAACTTTATCTATGCCATTTTCTCTCTTACATTGGATTACTTGTGTTATACACCATATTAAAAGTAAGTTCATTTCCTAATTTAACCTGGGTAAGGGAAGTTTATACATGGAATATTGCAATCATTACTAATCAGCCTATGATCATTTCTCTCTAAAATCTGTCACAATTCTAAGAGTGCATACAAGTAAGAATCTTTGAGCAGTCAGAGAAATTAAAGGATTACAAGATTTTTTAAAGCTTAATAAGCTCCTAGGGTTCATTTTAAAAATAAGCTAGCTATATGTATTTGGATAAACAAATATCAAATAACTTACTTAGAATACTGAGTTTGGAACACATGGTCAATTATAAATTCTTTTGATGTGGCAATGATAAAATAAGGATATAATTATAAATGTGCATTTACAGTATCTGCTAAAGTACTTTATAAGATTAAAAAAAGTAAGTTGGAAGCACCATAGTTTTTGGAGCTCATCCCTTAAATATAGAAAAATCCACAGAATATATACAAGTGCAGAAAACATATATAGGAACATATATAGGCTCTGTTTGCTTATGTTTTGAGCTTTGTTTTTGCACTATTCATGAAAAACTCTCTCTAGAAAAGATAACACCCGATACTTATTTTTTATTTTAAAATATTAAATCAAAAGTCCATTTTCTATACAAGAGATTATATTCTAAGACCTATTTACATCATATCAACTACCTAGTTTTTAGTAACTTTTACTATCATGTTGTGTTTTGAGGACACAATAAACTCAGCTAAAACACCATCCAATAACTGAAGATTTCCCTTGTGGGGCTGCAATAAGTGAAATGCAATTCCAACACCAGATAAACTCAGTTATGGTTTTAATGATATATAGCATCTCAAGATACTTACAAAATCGGCTGTAAAGAGCTGAAAGCTCACGCCTCATGGCTTCCCAATTATCTCCATTACTTGTAGGTCTATTTGCCTTCCATATGGCAAGAAGATACCGCATTTCAAATATTGAAAAGACAACAAATTTGAAAAATGCAGCAGTTGCAAAGGCATTAAACAGGGATTCTGCAATAAGGCAATCATCAGTGTTTACTTAGTAAAAGGTTTACAAAAAGATGAATGTTATTAGGAACAAGGACAAGAAATCAGAAGTTAGAAACACCAGCCACGAAAACTTTGATAAAATCAGTAAGAGTGCAAGACAAAGCCAACAAATATGCACGGAGAAATTCTATTTTATCAAGAAACTATTACACATACAACATTCTTATCGAATCTCATTTGAGATGAGGTTCCAAAACCTAACAGCCCACTAGCATTTAGTATCTCTCATATTATCTTACCTTAAACCTGTAAGTTACACATTTTTTCATCCAGAATAATATTAGTCACGTGAAATAACCAGATTGATCCAGCTTCCTTGGGGTAAGAAGATGTAGGATATAAATGGGTTTTCTTCAGTAAAATACAAGTCAGATGGAACGGTTGACAACTAAAAAGGCTAGATTGGTGGCTAAAAGATACACCAAAACCTAAAGAATCAATTATCAAGAGACCTTTGCCCCTATGGAAAAAGAGAACACTGCAAGGGTCACATTATCTCTTGCAGTTAATCAGGACTGGCCTTTAAAAACAATTTGTATGCTATGAAGAATGCATACCTACATGGTATTCTTCTAGAAGAGGTGCACATGGATTCTTTTACTGGGTTTACACCAAAAGGAGGTCAAATATACAAACTGAATAAGGCCTTGCATGGACTAAAACAGTCGCCAAGGGCATGGGTATGGGCATGGCTTGGGAGATTGAGCCACTCTATGAAGGAGTACAGCTTCAAGCAACCTTCGGCAGATCACACCTTTTTCTATGAGGTCAAGGATGATGTTACACTTCTTATTGCTTATGTAGATAATATGATTGTCACAGTAGTAATACTGATGGTATAGAGAAAATTCAAAGCTATTTGTCTAAGAAATTGGAAATGAAGAGTTTGGAGCTTTAAGATAATTCCTGGGCATTGAAGCATCTTTGTCAAAGCATGGACTATTGGACTCTTCCTTTCTCAACAAATGTATGTATTAGATCTCTTGGGCCAAACTGGGAACACGACTAGTCAACCTGAGGATACTTTAACGAGACAAATCATGGCTTAAGTATCTATCTAGATCAAATTCCAACGAATCAAAAAAGGCATCAACGGCTGGTAGTAGAATTGATCTGTCTAACTCACACTAGACTTGACCTATCATATTCAGCTAGTGCTGAGCCAGTTCATGCACAATCCTAGTGATGATGCATGAATGCAGTGAATTGTTGTATCTTAGCTTATCTTAAGTCATCTCCAACAAAATAGTAATGTTCTCATAACATGGTCATCTAGGCGCAGTTGGTTTTATAGATTCAAATTTTGTTAATCCAAGTTGGATAGGAATCCACTTCAAGGTATGTGTCATTTGTTGGGGATAATTTGGTGAGTTTGAGAAGTAAGAAAGAATTAAGTGTTAATGTCTAATATGGAAGTTGAGTAGGAACTTATCTGGTTAAAATTCTTTCTGGGTAAACTAGGTTTTAGTTCAAAAAAACCTTATTCTCATATGTGATAAAACCATGTGATTATCTTGTACAACATGATTGGACTAAGCATGTTGATCTCAACAAAAGTCAGAAACCATATCAAAGATAATATTGACTCTGACAAGATAAAGGTTCCTTACATTAAAAGTGCAAACCAACTAGTTGATGCAATGATTGTCCAAGTTGGGCATGTGTGATATCTATGCACCAACTTGAAAGGGAGAAATATCATGTACGTCTGTGAAATATTTTGTTTCCTCATTTAGATTTGATTTAAGGCCGTTGTAATTTATAAATTGATCAAATATTCTTTGTTGAAATACAGATGAATTACAGGTTAGATGTTGATGGAAGATACTGTGCTTGTATGAAGTGTAGTACTTGACAGCAGATACTAGTGAAGAAACAGCAAGATAAGGAAAAAGGATGACCAGAAATGAGCAGAGATTTCTCAATTGGTCACAAGACAAGAATTGAATGCAATCCATTATAGTAAGGAAATATACCAACAAGAATTCCGGCAGTAAGATGCAGAAGACAAATATAAGCATCCATTATAGCCTGATGCCCAATCATTAGGAGTGAAACTTTGGCAGCACCCTGGGAGAAATTTCACAAATTAGTATGTCATACAATACAAAAAGAAACATTGCAGAAGACATTAAGTAGTTATAATCTGCACGCAAGAAATTTTTATTTTACAAATTATGGATTCCTATGACACAAAAGATGCATAACACAACATTGATTAATTATGGAATGTAAAACATCAGTCCTTATCATCAAATATTAAGCGAGATTCAGAAGAATCTTACAGATTGAGTATTACTGTGTTCCATCTGCCGGATCAACAATAGGACCTGGAGGAAAGATATCTAACGAAGGAGAAGTCAAAGAATCTAATGGAAAATGAAATTTCAACAGGAAGTTATCAATCCAATTTAACCCACTCTTAGAAGTAATAACATTACAAGAACTTATATAAAGTTATAAACAATCTATGCACATGGTAAAGGATACAAAAGTGACCATCAAAGTGTAGTTAACTGCTTTGTTGTAGTAGACCTCAACGTTGACTGAAGTAGCATTTAAAAGCATGGGTGAAAAGCAATCTACATCATCATCAACTGAGGGGCTTTCCATTAGTCCTTCCAAATAATACTTACCATCATCTCCATCTAGAGAAAAACAAAAGGACAAACATGTTAAAATGGTAGACTTAATACTGTATCATGTAGAAAAATCAACAGATAATACTTTCCTGTCAACTGCAGCTACAAGATTTACAAAGATCTCTATAATTTACAATCTATTTTGTAGCAGCCTTACTGTGCATAACAGGAAATTAAGGAGCCATAAAATGTATGTGAAATGTATTCCTACAATCATGTCATGACACTAATGTTCGCAATGACTTCTATCTTGTTACAAAGCTCATTTCTTCCTTTCTCAACAATAGAAAACAGTAATAAGGGGCATGATAACTTCTTATACATTGAAGAATATGTGGATCAAGACACAGCATGCTTAGCTGGAACTTGCAAACTCAGTATCTAGTTGAATTCAACAAAGCTTGAACCTCTGAAATGCAATCATATTAAAAAGTTTGCTTGGCTAATTGATGCAATCAATCTGTTGCAACAAGTTTCTGACTCTATATATGCTTGGGTTTAGAATCAGACAATAAATAAATATAATAATAATAATAATAATGATAATAATAATATATGATGTATGCATAAAGATGCAAAAAACATGTATCACTCACAAACAAATACACAAGCATCTTTTCACCATGTTAAAAGCATTCATAAATACTGATGAAAAGGGAAAGAAAATGATATGATAATCCAGAAATTGTTAGGCTTTAAACAATCATTACCATTTTTTCTGGAGGTGGTGCGGGAAACTTGTGCAGCAATTTCAATATTGCAACGTTTCTCCATTTCATAAATAGGAGCTGCACCAGGATAACTCCAGAAACTTCAGAAATTGTTTGCACTGGTTGACAGATGGGTAATAAAAAAATTAAATAAAATAAAAATTTATTAGTATGTACAATGTTTTCTCTTCCAGATTTTTTCTCGAGGAGACTCTTGAAACACCTGGGAGGAGAAAACACCAAGCTGTACATCGAAGGGGAAAACCATTAGATAAGATTTGTAATGAAGCATATCAAGAAGAAAATCAGTTCCAGGGTCAACCATATTTTCTTATTTATAACCAAATAGTTCCATTACATTAGATAAACTAGAATGATCTGAAAACAGTCAAGAAATAAGCAATTACCAAGTGATATGGATTAGATAATAAGTAATCATCTTCCTGTCCAAATTCACCTTCTTTTCCACTGCAGAAAATCCAAGACAGAGTTAGAAGACATCACGAATTGAGATCCCAATGATGATCGGCAGTATACAACCAAGTTATAAAATATGGGGAAAATAGCATTTTTACATAGCCAACAAAAAAGGAATAAATGAATAATAATCAAAGCATCTAATCCATCAATATATCGTCTTAAAAAAATTTATTACCATCTCACTTTATATGAAAATTTTCAACCCTTTATGTAATATATATACATTTAATAGTAAAAAAAATAATCTAAGTCAATATATACCCAAAAAAGCTCCCTATTGAATATTCGCTACTACTATTTACTTAAGAACAACACTCACTACTTCACAAACTCAGAACACCCAAAATGTGTATTGAAGCAAAGCCATCCAATTCCAGACAGATATGAGAGAGAAAACATGAGTGCATATCCGTTGCCACTTGTCATCTCATTAGTGAAGCAAGAGAGTTTAGTTTCGAGGCCAAGACTAATAAGTGCATACCAAGGATTGAAAGAAACCACTATCTCCTCTAAAGGTATTATCCAGTTTCAAAACTAACATCTGGAATAAGTGAGATTTTGAGTAATTAACAGAAATATATCACCTTCATAAAAATGACAATAAAAAAATCGATAGAAGTCTACCAGCATGTACATTATTTCCACATGAAATTATTATCATTTGCAGTGCAAATAGGATATGGTATCAAAATTCACTAATACATCCAATCATAAAATTTGTCATTACTAGAAATTGCAACTGCAAACACAACACATTTCCTTAAGAACAGCACCAGGAAATTCAAAATCCTTATTTGCATGTTCTTTATGCATTATGATGAGACAAGCTGATAATACGTACAGCGAATAAGGTTACAAAACATATATAAAGAGTGGGATAACATAAGGGAGAATTTACCTGTTGGCTACCATCCTTAGTTGTCTGAAAGGCCATATGTACACACCCTCTACTCTCATTTGAGCGCCATGAACATCATGTTCATTGTTGAACACATCATGAAATATTATAATCCCCTATTTTGTTGCATCATGAAGTTAGTAATTCATTCAAACAAAGGAGTAATTGAAAAACATAATACAAAATCATTTGAAAAAGAAAACTATTTCTAAGAGTTGATGAACTTAAGTATATTATCCGATTTGATATATTATTATTGAGTAGCATTGACTACCACATTGACAACAACCAATTGACTGAAACAAATGAAAGCATCAAATCAGCCACCCACAAACTGCAAACATGAATACCTATTACAACTGAAAAGGCTGCTAAAAAGCACACTGGAATTTGATAATCTAGAAGAGGTAAACTAGCATTGAGAAAGAATTTTCAAAAGCATCTGTTTCTTTAATCCCATTTACAATAACTTTCAACAAGTAATATTTTTTATTCAATGCAAGTGCAAGAGTAATTACCTAGTCTTCATTTTTCATTTCCTATATCTTAGTAGCAAATATTGTTTTTATACTAGAATAAAATCAACATGGAAACTGTAACATACACAGTATAAAGTATCTATCTCAGAGTGCAAGCATGCATCCTCGCATGTCTACCGTCCATCAAGAATTCAAGATATTGATTACCAACAAATCCCATTCTTAAAATTTTAAGGTTGCTTACTGATTTTTGAAACAGTGCAATCTATAATTTTCTCCCCCTGTGGGAACCAATATTAATAAGTCGATTTATTCAAGAATATTCGAGTCCAACAAATAATTATCAAATTCTGAAATCCATAATATAGAGTAAGCTTGACAGATCGACAATCTGGTATTGAATAACAATATGATAATATTTCAGTTGCATGCCACAGATTGATCACTGAATTAAAAAAAATAAAGCTACCTGAACATAGTGTACACCGGTTATTTTTGTTGGTGAAGTAATCAATTCTAGTATTGAATTTCCACTTGATTTCCTAAAATCAGGAAACTTGGAAGAGTTACTTGATGAATGTAGGAACTTCCAATTCCCTGCATGATAAGCATATGCAAATCCATGTAATCAACATCATAAGGATTAACACAAGTTTAGAAAAGAGTAACACTGGCACATTACAGAATTTTTTGAGAAGCCCATTAAGCCCAACAGATAAAAGACCCATATCAATCATGTTCAGCAAATACCATAGAGAGGCAGTTTTGGCTGCATCATGTGAAGATTGGTAACACAGTCCTTCCAGTATTGGCAATTTGAAACGATTATTGATAGAAAACAAAAAAAAAAAAAAATTGTGCATTTTGCACAATACCTATTCCAGCCGTAATACATCTGGAGAAGCGCAAAAGACTTACATATGATTTTATCTATAACAGTAGCTGGGCTTAATATTACAAGTGCCCAAGTTTCATTACTATTACCCCCTTATGCATAGATTAAAAGTTAATCAATCTCATGAGGTGATCAGCTTTACAAACTAAAAACTTAATAAACATCTAGAGATTATAATGTATTACTTGTGAGAAAGATGCAGAAGTCAGGGCGTCCTGTCTACAATCCACATACCAAAACTTGATGTTCAATTTTTTAAAATTTTTGTCTACAGCAAAGCTGTTGGCACTGTGCCAGAGTCGAGTAATTATTTAAGCAACCTTACTAAGATGCAACAACAACCTGAAAATCAAAACAATACTAATTGATTGAAGACCCACAAACCTCTATACGTCCCTGTGATATTCCAAGAAGAAAATGGACCCAATTCGTGCTCTTCCTTGCCTAAAGGAAGCCACTGCAAGAAGAAAAAGACCAAAAGATTAAAAGTAGACAACCCAAGATACAAAGAAAAGCAGGGTATGAGTTTTTGATTATTGAATGTTTTTAACACAATATTAACAAGAACAGAATCATACTATTGCGCTGTTACTATTGTCCACTAACAAAGAAGTGATCTTTATATCCGGGGAACAAGCATTTGAGATTACACAGACAAATATATTATACAGAGAAGTTCAAAACTGGACTTAAATATGGGAACAGAGGACAAGTACTGTAGGTAAAAGGATCATTATTCTAGTTAGTAATTGAATGCCCACAAGTAAGATGCCGTTATAAATGTTCCATAAATCTGTATTGTTCCATTGACTCCTATAAATCTGCCCTCCTCTTTTGTTGATCAGATGCAAAAAACCAAGTATCCCAGTATCACCGATGCATGGCTACTAATCCTCTTGCGTCCTTTTTAGCTACAAACAAGGCATGCCTATGGGGTCAGTAGAGCTACCATACCAGCATTTCACTTATGGATGACTACCCTTCAGATTTCAAACCTGGTATCGTGAAATTTAATTTCTTCATCTAAGTTAGGCAATTAAAATTTCAAATTGACCCAGTGATACAAGAAGGATGGGTAAATGCATCATTACTGCATCTTCCATAATTTCATGTGAATCCTGACTCACCACTCACTAGCTTCCTCCTAAAATACAACAAAATGGACCGCTAGATTCGAGAGAATTCAGATAGTCCAACGATCACTCTAACAGCCAAGCAATTAGAATCAGATTCATCAACCATTAATTTATAAGGGCATCATTCAAAATCATGAAATTGCAATGCTCTTTAACTTACTTTTCCTAAATCAAGAGCATACAAAAAACTATCATTCCTGAAGTTCCCTACATCAGAACACCTGCCTATTTTTGCGCTCAAAATATTAGCTCGTTACCTTCGTTTTGTTGAACAAGATCCACAGTAACATGATCGAGTGAGAAGTTATCAAACAGAAGGAATAAGCACTAGTTTCATACTTAATGCTCCAAGCGTCCACACAAACTAGAATTAAGAAAATATCCCACATGCCACAGCATTCAAAGTAAAGAATTTCCACAACACAGTAATAATCTTTCTAAGATATAAAAAAAATACAAATAATAAATTGCAAACGCATATCATAATCGCTAACCTCATCACCCCACGACCGAGGCCTCTGCCTTAAAGGTCTTAAACCATTGACAGGCCATACCAACGCAAAAATGGACAACAATCCAAGGAGAATCCGAACCAAAATTCTCAAAAAATTCCAATTTTCCATCAATCCCATTTCCAAGCTCAACTCAGATTCTTGTTCCTCAAATGATGCCCCAAATTTCCCGACATAGAAACGATGCCCATAACAATTCGAAAGGATAAATGAAAGAAAAAACTTATAATCGTCTCCCTTCCGGATAATCAAATTGACTGGTGGGTTATTGCTTAGAAAGAAGGCAAACAGAGTTCAACAATCAACAAGTAAAGCTGAAATACACCATCAATACACACAGAAAGCGAGAGCTTAACAACCCAAAAGAAACAACTAATCCGGTACCCAACCGAAAAATAAAATTAGTTTCTTTTCGGGTTTCAGACGGAGAAGAAAGACCTTCACAGGTCAATTCTTGAACCAGATATTATAGCTTATCTAATCATTTATTCAGTGAACCGCCACTACACTCAAGACCCCCCTTTTTATCTTTCTCCTGAGTGTAACTTCCCTCCTCCCTCAAAATCTCTGAATTTCGAGGAGGTTTGATACAAGGATACTTGTTGGAGGTGCTGCGCCTGGTAAAAGAAAGTCAATAGGAGCATATGGAAGACATCTTGGTGGAGGAAATAACGAAGTATCACTCTCAAAGTAATAATCTATTCAATTTATAAATGGGGATCCATTCTTTCCACGATATTCAATTATTTTAATTTATTTTATTTATAATTAATCCAATTATGTATAATAATACTCAGTCCATCCTAATAAATTTGGACGTGTTACCGTAAATAAGAAAATTTAGATAAAGTATGATTATAAAATAATTAAAAAATGTAATAATAAAAATATTTATTGAATAGTAAAAATATTATAAATTAAGATTAAAATAATTAAATACTTTAATTAATTAAAAAAATTATAAAATTTAAAATTTAAAATATATAAAAGAAATGACAATTTACGTGAGAAGGACGAAAATGAACAAATTATATCGAATAAAAAAGGACAAATTATATGAGATGAGATAGTATTAACACTAATAAACATTCAGCACCCAATTCTCTTTCTCTAGATAATTTTTATTATTTCTATTTCTGTTTAATAGATGGATATCTCTATCTGTATTTAAATTTTTTCACTTTTTATAAAATTAATTTATATTAATTATAATAAATAAATATAATTTTTTATTATTTATATTATATAAAATTTTATTATATATAAAAAATAATTTTTGTAATATATTTTATTGAGATATAGTATTTAAATATTTAAATATATATTTTAATTTTTTTAGTTATATATATTTTCCCATGTCATATGTATGAATTTTAAAAATATTAATATTATATTGAAATACAGTAGAAATAAAATAGAAATTACTAAAATAAATTATGTGATATAAAAATAATAATACATTATAAATTATAAAAATATTTATAATATTAAACAAATTGTACAATTATTTTTAAAAAAAAAATAAGAAATAAATTCTGCGACCATGGACAATTTTAAATTTCAAATAACTACAATAGCTCTTCATTCCTGGAAAAAATTTCTCTCAAAATCTCTTCTTATACAATCTTCACTCTAAATCCTTCATCCCTAATCCAACAGTGATTGCTGGCATCAGGAGGAGGGGGTGGACATTGAAGAAACTTTCTCCAATAGATCTTTGGTGAAACATTCTTGTCGATTTACAATCTCTATTTACTGCTTTTATTTAGAATTTTTACTATTAAAAATTAGAGATACGGTGAAAGAAGTGTTAGTGGGGGAAAATATAAAATATATTTGTAGCAATGTGAGTCGCCGGAAAGTTCGAGAACAGAGGGCGGCCGGTAGAAATGCGAGGGACATCGCGCTGAAATGAGAAGAAAAAAAAGAAGAGATGACAGTAATGAGAATAGATTTGGGGAAAAAGAGAATACGAGAGCGCAAAGAGAGGCAATAGAGCAACAAAAAAAGAAAACATAGCTCTATTTTTAATTAAGCTATGCAGTCAAATAAAATATATCACTTGAATGAGATTTTTCAAAGGAAAAAAAAAAAAACCTTTGATATAAAGAACTTCTACCAAAGAGCCTTATGTGATTTTAGAGCTTTAAATAAATAAAAACTGAATTTTTTTTTCTGTCAATTTGATAGATATATAGGCTTTAATTTTTTTATTATTTTCTTTTATATTTTTTTCAAAGATATTAATACGGCACATATTTATTATTTTCTATATTTTATATTCTATCCGTCCCACATAATTTGTTTATATTTTTTATTTTTATCCGTCTCATATAACTTGTATTTTTTATTTTTGAAAATATAATTATCACTTTAATCTCATTTTAAATTTTAAATTTTTAATTTTAATTAAACTATTTACTTATATTAATTTTAATTTATAATTATTTTTACTAAATAATAATTATTTTTACTAATACATTTTTTAATTATTTATTAATTATATTTTATCTAAATTCTCTTTTTTACGGTAATACATACATATCCATATTATATCAGACAGAGGGAGTATCCGATTCTATGTATAAAAAAAAAAAAATTCCTTTTCAATAAACTAATACGGACGGACGGATGATTTTCCTATTTATTATCACCCGATTAACCCGAAAATACCCAAATACCCTTAACAAACGCGCCATTTACTTCCCGTCCGGCGCCGGCGCCGGCCGCCGTAATTCCCAGTTCTCAATCTCACCGCCTTCGCGACTATGGACAATACGCTCGGGTGCGTAATGGTGGAGCTCCCGCTGGGGGACGCCGCCTCTGATTTCAATCTCGAAAAAGCCGTTTGCAGCGACGGCTTATTCATGATGGCGCCCAACCATTGGGACTCGCCTTCCAAAACCCTAACCCGCCCGCTCCGTCTCAGTCCCGACGGCGCCGCGTCCGTCGTCCGCATCTCCCATCGCGACCGCCAAGCGCTGCACCTCCGCGTCCTCGGCACGCGCTCCCTGTCCCCTCCGCAGCGCCGATCCCTGCAGGTGACCGCGGACCGCATCCCGCTCCTTTCTCAAAATCATTCATTATTCAGGCAAAGCGAAACTGATTCGATGGAATGCGATATGCAGGTTCAGGTTAGGAGAATGCTGAGATTATCCGAGGAAGAAAGCTGGAGAGTGAAGGAGTTTCATGAGTTGCACCAGGAAGCCAAGGGCAGGGGATTTGGAAGACTGTTCCGATCGCCCACACTGTTCGAGGACATGGTCAAGTGCATACTCTTATGCAATTGCCAGTATACCATCCTATGCTCTACGTTGCCATCCATCCCGTCCGCCATGTTTATCTTTCTATATCTTCTTTACAACTTACTTGTGCAGGTGGCCGAGGACGTTGAGCATGGCTGAGGCGCTTTGCGAGCTTCAGCTGGAATTGCAGTCCGCAGCATCAGCTGGAAACGGAACTACTCCCACTCTTCAAGCTACCGAATATAAGCACTTTGCGCCGAATACACCGGCAAGGAAGGAATCAAAGAAACGATCCAGGCGTGCAAATGCTGTTGAAATGCCTGAATCCTATAAGGGAATGGAGTCGAGTCCAATCACCGACAATCTTCATCTTCAGATCCAAGCAGCAGAAGGCGATCAACCTTTAAACACGACAGGAGATAATGCCGGCACTAGAATTGCGAACTTTCCTAGCCCAGAGGAATTAGCTAGATTGGATGAAAAGTTTCTGGCAAAGCGTTGCGGCCTTGGATACAGAGCAGGTCGGGTAATAAACCTTGCACGGGGAATCATTCAAGGAACGATTCAATTAGATGTATTCGAAGATGCCTGTGGCACACCGAGCTTATCCGTCTACAATAGCCTGTTTGAGAAGTTGAGAGCGATTGATGGGTTTGGACCTTTCACATGTGCAAATGTGCTCGTGTGCATGGGCTTCTACCACAACATTCCTACAGATTCGGAAACTATCAGACATTTGAAACAGGTCTATTGTTTTTCTCTAGTGTCGTCCATTAACACCGAAGAATCTGTGCTGTCTACATTGCATGATTGATTCCCTTTGTTTCGATAATGATCGTGCAGGTTCACGGTAAAATATCAGACACCAAGACAGTCGGAAGCCATGTAGAAAAGCTTTACGGAAAATATGCACCATTTCAGCACCTAGCCTACTGGTGAGTGAGTGAATTGAATGCTAAGTGTAGCATATGGTTCTAAAGTTTGATTTTTTATTCCAAGAAATTTTTGTATGGTCTTTTTTAAACAGGTACGAAGTTTGGCACTTCTATGAGGAGTGGTTTGGGAACCTAAGTGAAATACCCCGACCAAATTATAGACTCATAACGGCTGCGAACATGAAGCCTGAAAAACTTAAAAGCACAACAAGTAAGAAAATGAAGTTGTGATAATCCATCCAACTGTGATCACTTGTTATTTGTTAACTGATGAACTTGATTGTCTGTTTGTTTGAATCTTGTGAGTCCTCTTTCGTTAATTATCTATGGAATGCATCGATAAATAGTGATGTGGTTTTAGAGCATCCATCCCTCTTGCAAGAAAGAGGAGTATAACTTGGAACATTTCAGTCTGTTGTAGGGTTGAGGGTTATTGCTATTAAATTCTGTGTAAAGGAGATTATTGTTTTGTGGAAGAAAAAATATATTGAAAGTGGCTTTTTTTTAAAAAAGTTACTATTAACGGATAGTGTCAAAAGTTTTAAATGTATTTATATAAGCAGAGCTAATATTTGTGTGTTAATGGACATACCTTGTCCCTTTGTTAATGAAGTGGGTTCGGGTTAAAATTTATAGCAGGATTTTGAGATTTTAAACCTGACCGAGTATGGGTGAGTTACGGATTTGGTCAAAAACCCCTCCGACCGAAAGTTAAGGGGGTGGAGGTTTAGCCATTAGACTACACTCTTATTCCCTCTTTAGTTGCAGATTTGAGTAATTGTATAACTTATAGTTGATTAAATATATATATAATTTATTTTAAATATTTTTAAAATCATATTTTAATGAAATGTATTCATCGTTAATAAAATAACGGTTTTATATAATATAAATAAATTTAAATTATATATATATTTATACACCATATATTAGTAAATTTTACATTCATGGGTATAAATTTTCGAGGAGTTCTCTCAGAATAGGGATACTCCAGCTCAAAAAATTGAATTGACAGAAGCATCTAGACACAAGCTTTGGAACAAATTAACGGTACGCAATTAATATTCTTTATTTATATATAATGCTACAATTAATTAATGTCTTTTTACGTGCAATCAATTAAAAAAAAAAAAAGAAAGACAAATCGTAAATTTGGGATATTGTTTGTGTGGTTTTCAATTAATTACGTGTTTTGGGATTGGATTATTGTCACTGGTTTGTGTTTGGTGTATGTGATTCTCATTGGTGAATTTGTGATTAAGTTATGGTCACTTATATGAGTTTGGTATAACTAATTTGATTTTGAATGATGAATTTGGAATTAAATATTATATACGAATGTGTTTTGTAATATTTAAGTGTGTATTCGTTTGTAGGATTTTGACAATAATATCACAATAATACTTATTTATATAACTTAATACAATAATTTCAATTCAGAATTTTTACAATTTAAATTTTAATAAAAATAATAAAAATCCAAACCCCAAATAAGCACACCCTATGAGGCTTTTCAGTCGCAGGCCAAATAAAAATAAGTGCAATGAACAAAATTTTCACGTCAAAAAATTGTTGCAGAGTGTCGATGGTGTCTTGTGCTGTAATACCTTGGGGTTGAGTACTAATTAAATAAATTGAATATACTACTCACGTCATCAATAAGAATGTCCACATTACTTTTCGGGCGAGTATGAACAGAAGCACATTGAAAGAACTAGTGTTGACCTGTGGTCTGTAGAACCAGTCTACGATTCTGACACACCCGCCTTTACATGACTTGCAGATCGAGTGTCACACGTCTAGTGGAAGCACAGTTGATGCTTTTCTCTCTTCAGTTTTGTTCAGATTTTTTAAAATACATTATAAATCGTAATTATCATAGTATACTTTTTCTTTTCTTCTTATCATACTAAGACTTGACACCTCGTATTCGAACATTGAATTGGATTTTGTGTGTGTGTGGATCATGCTTTTACGATATTCACGTCGGTGAAATTATATATTACTCTCTCTCATTTGCCCATTCTTTCATATCATAGTATATATATATATATATATATATATATATTTACATTAGTGAAGAAATTCATTTGTCCCATTTTTTCGGTGTATTATTTTTATATCTTATTTTATTTGTCACTTTTTTTATAGTAAAAATATAAACACTTTAATCACATTTTAAAATTTATAATTAATAATTTTTTTAATTTTAATTAAATTAATTAGTTATTTTAACTTTGATGTATAATTATTTATATTATATAATACTCATTCGTCCTATTTAATTTGTCAATTTTTTATATTTTGTCCCTCCCATATGATATGTCATTTTTCTATTTTGGAAATATAATTACACCCTATAATTATATTTTAAAATTTCTAAGTTATAACTTTTTTTAATTTTAATTAAACGTCACCTTAATCTTAATCTATAATTATATTTATTAAATTATAATTATTTTAATTAATTACTTATTAATTACACAATACCTAAAATTTTTTTTCCTAAATAAAATAAAACAATTTAAATGAGATGAATTAGTAAATATTTTTATTAATATATCTTTTAATTACTTAAGAATCATATTTTACTACGGTAACAGAACAAAAAACTTAAGCAAAAAAGAATACTAATTTTAATACATGTTTAATAAATTTAAATAAATTTAATTAATTTAATACACAACACTACTCTCATGTTTGTATATATATATATACACATATATTTGTTTATATTATCATATAATTCTTATATCTCAAGTAAATAAAAGAAAAATAAAACCTAACACGCCACACATACATATATATATATAGTTTTTTTTTTCTTCCTTTTCTTGGTCCGTACCTAACACCCCATAACACGACTGCACGAGAAACACACCCATAGGCCATATCTATATCAATGCAATGAAGATGTCGTATTATCAATACATTACTCACTCAAACATACAAACGCACGCTATCCCAATTCCCACGGAGACAAACACCTTTGATCTTCAAGTCAACAATGGAGGATAGTACTGTAGGAGGAATCAGAGAAAAGTTATTAGTGAACACAGAAGCAGCAGCAGCAGCAGGAGATGTTGAAGACGAGACGATAAGCAGTTGGAAAGAGAGATTCTGGAGAGAGAACAAAAAGATATGGGTAGTGGCAGCCCCGGCCATTTTCACCCGATTCAGTACGTTCGGAACAGGCATCATCACCCAGGCATTCATCGGCCATGTCGGCTCCAAAGAGCTCGCCGCCTTCGCCCTAGTCTCCACCGTCTTCCTCAGGTTCGCCCAAGGCATTCTGGTTCGTACACCTAAATCCTAATTGCTCATAAATAAATTAATTAATAGGACGAGGATGAGAATGAGAAAGAGAATTTCAATCACTGAATCTGTACTGTACTGCTAGTGCAGCTGGGAATGGCGAATGGTCTGGAAACCCTATGCGGGCAGGCGTACGGCGCAGGGCAGCACCACATGCTGGGGATTTATCTGCAGAGGTCATGGCTCGTCTCCATCATAGCTTCCACTGTACTCCTCCCTGTCTTCATCTTCACCGCTCCAATTCTCCGAGCCTTGGGGCAGGAAAAGGAAATTGCAGAAATGGCAGGCACCATGGCTCTCTGGCTCATCCCTGTTATATACTCCTTCATCGTCTCCTACACCTGCCAAATGTACCTCCAATCTCAGAGCAAAAATATCATCATCATCTACCTCGCCTCCATCTCCATCCCCCTCCACCTCTTCCTCTCCTGGCTCCTAACTGTTCGGTTCCACTTCGGCGTCTCCGGTGCCATGACCTCCACCGTCGTCGCCTTCTGGCTCCCCAACGTCGGCCAAATCATGTACGTCATCTGCGGCGGCTGTCCCCGTACTTGGAGAGGCTTCACTCTCTTGGCCTTCAAGGATTTGTGGCCCATTTTCAAGCTTTCATTGTCTGCAGGTGCAATGCTTTGGTAAGGATAAGCTATAAACATATTTAACACACACTACTACCTCTCTCTGTATCACTATATCCATAAATCAGTATTTTGCAGCCTTGAAGTTTGGTACAACACAGTGTTGGTTTTTCTTGCTGGAAACTTCAAGAATGCAGAAGTAGCCATAGATGCCCTCTCGATATGGTAGCAATCATGGCTTTAATTTAGTCTATATTCATCTTTGGGACTGTTTATCAACTAATTAACCATCTGTGTTTTTCATTGTTAACTAGCCTCAACATTAGTGGTTGGGAAATGATGATATCTCTAGGGTTCATGGCTGCAGCAAGGTACTCTAATTCTCTAATTTATACTCATTTCTACCATTTTCAGATATCCATTCACATTTAACAATCGACATTTAAGAGAAACAGAGAGAGAATATGAAGATGATCATACTTATATAACTTGCCTGTTTTTGCAGCGTTCGAATAGCAAATGAATTGGGTAGAGGGAATGCTAAAGCTGCAAAATATTCAATCACTGTAATAACCACAACATCATTCGCCATCGGCTTGGTGCTATTTGTGTTCTTCATGGTGTTCAGAGGAAGTGTAGCTTACATCTTCACAGAGAACAGAGATGTGGCTTCAGCAGTTGCTCAATTATCTCCTCTATTGGCTTTCTCCATACTCTTGAACAGTGTGCAGCCTGTTCTATCCGGTGAGACCTGCAATTGTTGATCATACGACACAAAATTTAGTCACATTTCTGGCAATAAAGTTCGAAACTTGCACGATAAAAATGAAATGCTAGGTGTTGCAATCGGATCGGGATGGCAGAGTGTCGTGGCGTGGGTAAACGTCGCATCCTATTACATTGTAGGAGTCCCCATCGGCATTGTGCTCGGATATGTATACAATCTGCTAGTCGAAGTGAGCGCCGATGCATCAGAAATCAAGAATTTGTCATGATCATCTGGATTGATATAATTAAATCTCTATATTGATTACATTATACAAAATTTTCAGGGGGTGTGGATAGGAATGCTGATAGGTATAGTGGTCCAAACTGTAGTTCTTGTTGTTATTACCTACAGAACTGACTGGGACAAACAGGTTGGTTTCATTTCATACATGGTAATTAATTAATTTAATGACATACAGATTTGGTTCTTATTTATGTACTGATCTCTCTCATGTTTCAATTGAAGGTGTCGATTGCTCAGAAACGAGTTAACAGATGGTTCGTGAAAGATGAGGTTGATGACGCCTACTGATGTGGCATTATATTAATGGTTTGATGACTGTTTATGAGATTTTGTGATATGAATTTGAAAGTTACACACAACACATAATTGGGATGTGATGTGGTGTGGGCTTTATTGTTACATTTTTTTTATTATTATTATTATTTTTATTTTATATTGTATGAATTCGTAGCTGCTGCCCGAAAGTCCGTACCGATAAACCCTGGTCGAACATTATTATTGTTACATGTTTTCTCTCTCTTAATATAATATATTTGATTGAAATCCATCATTGTACTTACTATTAAATTTAGACTACATTATATTTTTGGATTATTAAAATATAAAGTATTCAATTTAAAATTTAAAAGTGTTTAATCTAAATTTTACAAGTATTTAAAAATGGTATAGTATTCAAGTAAAATTTTTAAAAGGCTTTAAAATTTTGAAATAATCAATGTGGATTTTAAAAAATCTTATTTTTATGCTATTTAGTTATTTATAAATTCTTTGCCCTGGAAACAATAATTTGTAAATTCTAAAAGATTCTACTAGATTTTTATAACATAGAAAATATATTATTATTGATCTATACAAATAATATTTATTAATATTATTATATTTTTTATGTAAAAAAGCTGTCTTTTTTTATTATTATTCTCTTTAATTTTCTTTTTCATTATTTTGTTTTGTCGTGTGATAAATTCTTCGAACAATTAAAAAAAAAAAAAAGAAAAATCAATGAATGTACTATATCATAAGAGCAAACTTTTTTATAGAAAAAAAAATTATAGAAAGATCAGCCAATTAAAGAAAAAAGGCTAAAAAAAATACTTTATCTCAATTAGAATATATATATTTTTTTTTGGACCGTTCAAAAGTAATTATTTCAAAAAATATTTCTATTTTATCGTCACATCAGTATTTTTATAAAAAAAAAAAAAGTTGAAATTATTTTTAAATTACTTTTAACTATGTATTATAATTAAAATATTATTATTTTTTAAATTTTTCAACAAAATCAAATATTACTTATAAATTGGACGGCTAGAGTATATGTTAACGACGGTAAGTATATAAATTGGATTATAAAAGTTATTGTTTGTTTTTTACTTTAACAAGTGCATTAGTCAACAATTTTAGCATAGCATCCACAGCGCCAAGAACCCTGATATTGTATATGCGGCTGCCCATATCATTAGCAATAATAATAATAATAATAATAATAATAGTTTAGAAGCATTTTTCTACAAAAACATGTTGGCCCAAAATCGAGTAACTCATTCAGATCTACAATCAACAGCAATAATTCAGATCTATAATTGCGAACGCATACAGTGACGATAAGAACATAAAATAAAAAAAATTAATAATTCAATTCAGCTCTAATTAACCTATATTTGAAAATTTCAATCCAAAGAAGATAATTCAGATCTACAATCAGCAGCAATAATTCAAATCTATAATTATGAATGCGTACAGACGATAAAAACATAAAATAAAAAATAATTAATAATTCAATTCGGCTCTAATTAACTTACATTTGAGAATTTCAACCCAAACAAGATTCACTATCAATTTTTTTATTGTTCTCCGACCCAATACGATATCCACCATATCCTAACTCTCTCAATGTTTAATAATCTCTTCCTACTTTTCCATAAACACAACAAGAATATTTCACACTATAACAAACTCAATAAAGAATGAAATTTATTTTTCTATTATTTCTCCCTACCTCCACAAGTTTGTTATAAAATGGCCAATAAAAGACTCTCACACTTGCACATCATCAATGGAATTGGATCAAATCAATATTCGGACCATTTTTTTGTTTGATTGGTCACAAGTCAAATTGGGGCCGTCTGTCCAACGGACATAAATATTTTTTCCATAAAATATTTTAAAAGATAATCAAAATAATATTTTGTTGTTCTTAATAACTAATAAAAATTATAAAATAAATTAATACTGAAATAACAATATTTTTCTTAAGAAAATACTTCCTCCGTCCCAGACACCGTGTTTGCTACGCTGTAGACACAGTATTTTAGAAAGAGTTTAATTAGTAGATAATTAAGAATGTATTAGTGAAAATAATTATTCTATAATATAAATAATTATAAATTAAGATTAAGATAACTAATTAGTTTAATTAAAATTAAAAAAAGTTAAAATTTAAAATGAAATTAAAGTGTAATAATTTTCCAAAAAAAGAAAGTAACATAGTGGGACGGACAGACAACGTGGACATGGTATCAGGAACGGAGGTTATACTCCCTTAGTTCACCTGTAATTTATTGATTTAATTTTTGCATATGAATTAAGATAAATTAGTATTTTATAGATATATAATGTAATAAAATAATACAATGGCAATTTACCCTTGAAACTTAATTTTTTTTAGAAAAAAAAATAAAAAAATATGAGTATTTAGTTGGAAAATTACATTTTATAAAAAATGAAATAAGATGTTTTAATTTAGACTAAATAGAAAGTTTATTAGTGGACGAAAAGTATAAAATTTATATTAAATCAAATAATAAATTTAATGTAGAAGAGAAAATTCTTCTAAAAACTTTATTAAAGTTCTTAGCAATGTGAGCAAAATAATAAGTGGATTCTTGGAGACTTTTAAAATTGGCATGCCACCCCATAGCAAAAAGAAAGTGTATTAAAGAACTATTCTTTAGTTCTTACATTACAAATGGCGTAAACATAGTTTTTCATGTTATTTTTATATTTTCTGCTCAGAAAACAATTCTCTATACAATAACAAAAAAAATACACTTTTTTTTCATTCATAACATTGTTTTAATTTCATTAGTGAATAAGTTTATTGTTATTATTCTTATCTATTAGCAATATTAATATACACAAACAACATATTTGAAATATGAAGAACGATTACTAACAAAATTAGCAAACTAGCAAATGACCACAACTAGAAATTTATTCCAAAATTACCTAAACTAATAACAATCAATCATATATATACATGTGATGAGACCATATTATTGCCTGTTTATATCTCATCATCTAATCACACGTGTCAGTATCACATTGGCCGCCATGTCTGGTAAATTAGTTACTTGCTGGAACATGAATTTTGGCTCCCAAATTTTCAAACTAACAATTCAAGCCTAACTATTACCACAAACTAAAACCACAGCCACAGATCATATGATCCATACCAACAATGCATATCTACAAATGATCGGGATGGCGCCGACCAACAGATACTCAGGGCAAAAAATAGTTTATGCATCCAGAATCAAGAAATGCCCATTCGAAGATCAGGCATAGCACGACGCAGTTCAATGTGGTTCAAGAAAATTAAATGGCCATCCAACTTAAATTGAACATACTCTTTCTTCGCAACCTTTACTCGCAGCTATGAAAGGGAAAGATCTAACCGAAGAGCTCAAGAATCAAAGACTACCGAATTCCATAACTTGAATTGAAGATCACAAAATTCAGTCTATAATCGTTTCAGAGTTTGAATCATTTTCATTGTGTGTGTCCATTATTAGTCATCATTCCAGCCCTCGTACGCAAGATAAGCTACTCTATTTATTCGACAAAAAAAAGTATGTAAAACTTGAAGAACAGAGAAGGGCATAAGTGAAACTCCTAAAACAATTATAAACACAGTGTGTGAATGCTTGTTGTGTGTATGTCACTGTGTATTTAACCTTATGTTGACCTCCCAGTGGGAGTTCCGCCGCCACCACCGCTGCCATAGCTACCGGAGCCACCGGAATTGCCTAAACCCCCTTTCCCCAAATGGTGAAATCCCCCGGAATCACCACCACCACCGCCGTATATCTGCCCTCCATGATGAAATCCCATCACAGGACCTCCATAAATTCCACCGCCATTGAACCCTCCGGCGCCGGCGGAGGTGATAGCAGAGCCACCACTGTTGCTGCTACCTGCTTCTTTATTGGTCCCTCCCATCCCCATGGATGCTTTCTCCCCCTCGAGCTCTCTGTACTTAGCCAAATACACTTTCAAGGGTTCAACGTACTCTTCGAAGCCGAGAGTCGTCATAGCCCAGAGCAAATCGTCGCCGTTGATAGTCTTTCTCTTCTCCCTCTGGCACTTATCCGATGCCTCGCCGGTGACGAAGCTTATGAACTCCGACACACATTCCTGCACCGTTTCCTTGGCGTCCTTCGATATCTTAGCGTTCGCCGGCAACGCTTTCTTCATGATTCTGCTCACGTTGGCAATCGGCAGGAACCTGTCCTGCTCCCTGCTGCTGTGTCCTCCCGAATCGTTGTCCGACTCCGCCATAGCTTTTTCCTAACCCTAATTAATTCTCACAACACAATTCCCGCAGAGCTCGTCTAAACCCTAAAAAAAATGAAAAATTGTTTATCTTGATTCTCAGAAAGAAAAGGAAACCACCGCTGCTTTTCAGGCGAAGACTTGTCTGCTCGAGTAAAGTATTATTCGAAAAGGGGCCAGCAGCCTGCAATTCAACAATAAATCCGACTTTCTCAATGGCGGGTCAAAGGAATTTCAAATAACTGACGGATTTTCACTGAATTCGTTGATAGGAAAGCTTTGAATTCAAACTGAACCCTTTGATTGGAGGATTTGACTGTCGCCGGAAAGATTGGAGAAGAAACAGTAGAGAGAGAACATGATAGGAGGGAGACTTGGACTTGGAGAGATGGTGAGATATTTATGTTGGATGCCACGTGGAAAGAGGATGACCGCTCGTTTCAAGATAGTTGGGCACTACGTGTTATTAACACAACACGTTATTATAAGAAGATCCAACGGTCAGCGAACATTTACATAAAACAGTAATTTAAATCTCCAAATCATGTGTATAAATTAAAGTATAAATTATAGAATATCGTCCACAAAATACCATTTGTTTTATTTATTACGTGAACTTCTTCTGTATTAATATAAAATTTATACGAAATATTATTTTTGTCCAAAATTGATGTTGATTTTAAATAAAAATCTAAATTATACAAATTTTATAAAAAAAAAAAAAAAGACAACAATTTGCCTTCAAAAATTATAAAATAAATCAATTTATTTTATTCAAATAAATTATTTAAAATATTTTATAATTTTTTATTTATATAAAATACTTAATTTAGATCTTTATTTAAAATTTAAAAAAAAATTGATTTGCATTTACTAAATATAAAAATTGATTTGCATTTACTAAATATAGACTCTTTATATAATTGACCGTAAATTAAATTAGTTAAAGTAATTGGGCATATATATATGTTTCATTTCCTGTTTGAACAGCCTAATAAATTATAATCAAATAAATTATTTATTCTTCTAACTTTTTTTATTTAAACTAATATTTTAAATTATATATTACATTCATATATATATATATATTTTAATAATTATATTATTTATTAAATATTAAAATAATTTTACAATTTATAATAGATTATGTAAATAATATTATAATTATTTAACCAATATTACATAACTAATACACTGTTAATAAAAGTATAAATATTATTTTATTTCCATTTCTACTATATATAATATAATATAAAAAAAAATTATATGTAGACATAACTCCATTTGAACGTGTTTGTTTTGTATTTCTAATTTTTTTAGTTATCTATTTTGTAATTAAAAAAAAAAAAAAAATTCTATATGAAAATTTTTTACCAATTCTTTTTTTGTTTTTTCATATAAAATGCAAAACTTCAATTTGTGAGTTTACAGTGCTTCTCATAATGAAATTTTCCAACTTAAGGTTAGCACCCACACAAATTTAAGGACTTTTACAAAGAAAAAGTATATATAGAAATTTGAAAAAGTAGTAATGAACTTGAGAGTAGTGTTCATTTTATATACCAAGAGTTTTACTATATAGTATTATATCCTATTCTAGAATGTACAACAAAGTAAAGCATTATGTACTTGTTTGGGGTTTTGAATTTTAAGTTGAGATTTGAATAGTAAAAATTTTGAATTTGAATAGTTATAGATGTTGATGTTTTGAGTATAAAATTGATTTTTAATATAATATAGAAAATAAAAAATAGGTGTTTAATTTGATGTTTTTTTGAGAAAAAAATAAGATGAATAGTGAAAATCTAATCCAATCCCCCAAACAAATAATATTCTCAAAAGTTTCAACATGGTCCACAATGTTCTGTGATACTCCGAGCAGATTTTGGAATATTGTGCAAGTATATGTATATATTGAATGTGTTCACCCACATTTTATTTATTGATCCGATATTATTAAAAATACACTATATATCATAATCATACATACTATATAATATAAATTCATTTGACACAATTATATATAAATCTTCTTGCAAAAATTATAAAGAACTAATCAGCAGTGTCCAAGTGACCTAACAAGAACAAGAAGTTAAATCCATTTATGATGAAAACTATGAAAATAACAAAATGAATGCTCCTTCAAAATTAACATTAGCAAAAACTCCAAAAGAAAATGAATAAAGAATAAGGGTTATCCATCCTCCAATGTGTCCAGCATTGATTTTCTTATATCACCTGCAATAAGTATATCGAACAATATTCGGACAAAGATTTGCATCAAACACCCCCAACTCTGTTTAAATTAAGAGCAGCAGCATTAGCAAAGAGGGCCATAATTGCATAAGAAAAAAAAAAGAAAAAAAAAGAAAAAAGGAGACTCAACTATTTGTGAAAAACTCAATAATCAAAGTTCACACATAAAATAAAGATCTGTGTGCAAATTTATACAGGGTTCTTGAGTAAAACTATTGTCCAGAGCAAACAAGAAACTGCATCCATGAACGTCTTATTCCAAAGAGTAAACGTCATCTGGATGAAGAAAAGCAAGACTTACTCGTTGTCATTATCATCATCATCGTTTCAGGACCCCATTCTGTTATTAACCACCGCCACCAGATCCATATTTCTTGCCAAAGACAATGACCTGCAACTTGTCATAGCCAGCTAGCACACCAGCACCGGCAACAGCCCTTAAGATGTTCGCTCCGGCACCCTTAAAGAGCGACTTAGTTCCTTCCTTCTTTACAATCTGGGAAAATGCATCCATTGAGCTCTTATACTTGACAGCCTCTCCTGATGTCATCATCATCCTTCTTCGAACAGTGTCAATAGGGTAAGAAGCCAAACCAGCACCAATGGTGATACCCCATCCCAGTAAGAAACTAGCCAAGAAACTATCCTGCACATATCAATACACATGAAAGCATGTTAAAATCTTATTACCGATGTCTTTATCTTAAATAGTCAGATCAGTAAGAGTGTACTGACCTGCAATGTACCAGTTAGAACAACAGGTTTCAGAGAATCATACATTCCGAAATATAGACCCCGATAAACTATAATTCCAACACAAGAAATGTTGAATCCACGGTAGAGACCAACGAGGCCATCAGATTTAATTGTTTTCTTGTAAACATCAATCAATCCATTGAACTGCCTTTCGCCACCCTTTTTTGCAGCCTTGGCATCATTGGCCAATCTTGTCCGGGCATAATCAAGAGAGTACACAAATAGAAGCGATGAAGCACCAGCAGCCCCACCAGATGCCAAGTTACCAGCAAACCACTTCCAATATCCATCTTTGTCCTTCTTGAAGTTAAAAAGTCTCTTGAAGTAATCTTTGAAGGCAAAGTTGAGGGCCTACATATAGCCACAGGTAGAAGCATCAAAAGATTGTAGTTTTATTATCAATTTTCCCTTGGTCATTAATAGGTGAAACAATAATGCATGAACAACACACTTAATCAGATTTTGAGAGTATGTATTCTGTGATCGCGGAAAACTTCAACAAGAAAAAACAACAGGGTTAATTCACATATTAAAATACTGACCTGAGTAGGAAAATATCTAATAACATTTGCAGTATTGCCTCTCCAAAGAGCTAGCATTCCTTCATCCTTGATAGTTCGAGCAAAACAATCGGAAATTCCTTTGTAAGGTTCAGATAATCGTCCCGCCCTGATCATCTCATCCTGGTTTTGAATTAGAAGTTTTACTCTTTCGATCGGAGCGGCTGCAGTTTTAGACACCGCAGCAGAAACCCCTCCCATGAGGAAATCCACCATAAAATGGCCTTTACCTTTCTCAGCCGGAGACATTATAGCTAATGGAGGCGTTGGTGAACTAATTTCCCGGCCAGTTGCTTGGAATGATCTCATGGATGAATTCCTCATTCCTCCATTGACATAACTACTGGAGATATAATTCAAACCAGTGTGTTTGGAGTGTGCATGAGGAGAGACCCTTGAAAAAAGGTAAGACTGGCCTTGTATCTTTTGTAATATTGACGGATGTCGCGTGCAATCCTCCATGATTGCAATCAATCTTACATGTTTTGCATTCAATGAAAAGGAAAAATAAAATGAAATAAGCAGTTAAGCACACCTAATGGCCAAGCAAGAATTCTCATTAAAAGTCACACCAGTTCTTTTATTAACTGCATTTTATTCATGATGGCATGCTCTTTTATAATTCAGGTATAAATTTAGAAACCAAGGGAAGATTATACATGTTGAGATTTCAGAATACACCAACTTGTGCAAAAGGCAGATGCACATGATTCATCAGATTATATTTATCAAACCAAGTGTCAATGAATAATGCAGAATCTACAAAACTAAATAAATATAATTCGATGTAAATGAGAAAATATTTAAATGGATGGACCCAATCTTGTTAACTCATCCAACTCAGATGGTTATAAATGTTGGATACATCAATGCAAATTTTCCATGACCAAAATTGAAACCTATGCAAAGCAGTGTAGAATAGAATGATGCAATCATGTATGCGACATACAAGACCTGTCCAGCATACAAATCCATTTTTTAATACAAAAGGGTGTTTTAATTATCATATAATGTCCCGATATCTCTTGTTAAACAACTTCATTTCAGCTACTACCCACCACTCCGTTTTCACTAAAACAAAACAAAACGTTAGATTAGTTGGCAGAAGCAGATTGCTTTACCTTAATCTGAATTTTTTAATTTCCAAATCAGGATTTCAGAAACAAATTGTATTGTAACTCTCCACATTCAGTGTCTCCTAGTTTCCGAAAACCAAAAACAAAACCAACAATCACATAACTCGTTTTGAAGCACCACCACAATCAACTGAACGGGCATGACCCGATGCAGAAACAAACAAAACAGACAGTCTCCATCAACAGATAAATCAACCACGGAAAATTCCCCAGCAAAATTCAGTAATAAGATCACATCAAGCATAGAATCAAACAAATCAGAGTGATCCTCAAACATACCAAACTATCACCAACAGATGGCGAGCAAAAAAAAAGCACCGCATAAAAAATTACTGAAAACTGAGGAAGAATCACAATCTGAACATCGGCATACCCGAGAGAATCGAAAAATGCAGATCCCAGGATAAGTGATCTGGCAGTTGCTCTACAAATGGAGGGGTGAGTGTGTCGAAGACTGCTATATAGTGGCTGGCGACTAGGGTTTTAATCCAATTACCGTAATTGCCCTCTGATTTTCAATAATGCCTATATTACCATTAATTTTTTTTTCCTTTTTTTGTTTCTTTTTTTTTGTTTATTTCCATCTTATTGGTATTATTTATTAGTAAATTTTATTTTTGATATATACTATTTCCGTCATAGATATATTTATTTACTAATTTAATAAATCCTTATATTATAATATATATTAATAAAATCATTTTACATCACTATGTTAATTAATATACTCATATAATTCTTTTGTCTCATTTACTCTTTATGGAATGTATTTTATTTATTTATTTGTTATAATAAAATTAATAATATTTTATTATTTAATAAAAATGTATAAAATAATTTTAATATTTTTTCTTATAATAACTGGCAAAAGAAAGTATAAAAATATCTTTTCAAAATTTTCAAATTTGAGATGTGTATTTATTAATATTACAATATCAAATTTGTTTCTTTTTATTTTATTTTATATGAATATTAAATTTAAATTTAAATAATAAGAATTTTTATAATTCATTTGATTCTATTTGGAACGGACTATGACCCAGGGGCCAAAAATGTCTCTAGGTGACACTAATATATATGAATTTTTATATATATATTTTTCCGGTGATACTAGGGTGAACTCCCCCTAGTTTGAGAACTATTGAGTAGCACGTTAATACATATATATATATATATATATAGCAATATCAATAATTGAGAGACTTGAGTATGAACAAACAAACTAATCCGAATTGCGACAGAAAGCCACCTAAATTTTGTATGGGTGTGTTCCTTTGAAAATTTGAATTTTGAATGGAAATTTGAATAGTTAAAATTTTAAATTTGAATAATTATAATATAATATAAATAGATGAAAAATAAATATTTGATTTAATATTTTAAAAAAAAATGAATATTATATTTAAAAAAAAATCCTACAACAAATCAAGAAGAACAGTAAATAAAAACCCAATTTTACATTCTTTATAATTTTTCACAAATCAAGAAGTCAATACGAGGGATATAGAATAACCTAACCCAAAAAGCATCACAGATATACTACACTTCAGCTTCTTTTTTTTTCTTTTTTTTTTCCCATAAGCAATGGAGACTTCAGGAGACCATCTAAGCCGAGCATAGGGATGATCTCTGCTTCATCAATAGCTCCTTGAGTCTTTTAATTAGCTTTGGATCAGAGCATATGTATTCCTGAAATGATTCCCTCAAGGTTTTCAACACCATTGTATGATCTTCTGCTAGATCCAGGTTCAGCAATTTGGAAAACAGATTTTTCCAAAGATCACAATTCCAATACCTGAAGAAATATGAGAAAGGCTATCATCAACGAAGATTCAATGTTACCACTTTCGAATAGAATGATGTAGATAATGGTGCCTAAAAGCTGTTGTATTGCTACCCTAATAAATAAATTGCTAAGGCCTCAAACTAAGGCATATAATTACAAGCACTCTTGTTCTTAACTATAATAATGGTTTAGGATCAATTACTATTTGTGGGTCTAACATTTTTCTAATACCAAATTCCTTCATTCATAATTCTACCTCTGCCCCACCTGAATAGTCTCAAAAGAAATTTATAGTAAAATAAAGAATAACTGGTGAGTAAAGTTGTGTACAAGAGAAAAAAATCAATAATACCTTTGAATTTATGTAGTGTGTGATGATATTTTAATATATAAAAGAGGTAAGAGTGAAGTAAATTAATAAGTGAATAAAGACCACATAGACTATAAATGGAAACTGCAGTTTCCGTAGGCAATTCTAAATGGAAAATGAGACTATTTAGGTGAGACGAAGTAGTACAACAATCCTGTGTCATAGTTTAGTGCACTGTCTACTAATTGAATATAACTATATTCTTTTAACATTAATACAGGTATAACGGCAAACTGCAGGCAACAATATAGATCTTTCATCACAATTGAATAATCTCAAATGCACATTCACATGCAATACTGCTTGTAATATCAAATCAGCAAGAAACAGAAGTAGGAGCAAACCTCTTGTAATGTGATTTGGGTTGGTATATGTATCGTCCATCCGAAGATGCTTTCTTTTCAAGTTCCATGTATCCGTTGTGGAGCATCGTGTGAACTACAACACATAGTCCATACAGATCCACCTAGAACCCAAAGAATGTATCATCCCCTTTGCATCATTAGGAATGCTCAATAGTTAAAGTAATCCAGTGTACCTGAAATGTCCAGGGCTTTTTTTCTTGCATCTCAATGCAACGGAATCCAGAAGTTCTACAATCTCCCATGAATTTGGTGTTTTCAGGGAAGAGCGTTAGATCTATTCCTCTTCCCCAATCAACAAGGCATAGCCCCTGAATTATAGAGCAAGGATACTTGACAATGTAGAATATTTCTCAGCATGTTTAATCTCACGACTTCTAGAATTTACCTGATCAGCCCAAGGTCCAGTTCGATGGAGGAAATCGGTTTCATTATCTGTTGGATCACCCCTGTCATAACATGTTATCCCATATATACCATTAGATATAAATAAGAGAAACCAAAGCTGAGGAAAAACCAAAACTCTAGAACTGGTGATTACTTTTAAGCTATCTATTAAGAATAAATGGGGTTTAGGGATGAGAATGATGAATAATTTTCATTCATTTCATGAGGAAATAATTGTGTGCCCCAACTAGAGATTTTATATAATGGGTAGTAGGGATAACAAGAGACTACAGAAAGAAAGACTATAGCTTGGAAAGATAAAATTAACTAAAAGAGCTGAAATATGAGAACATGTATAATCTATAATTTAACTAAAAGATCTGGAATATGAGAACATGTATAATCTATAATTTCAAAGAGATATTTTCAAATCATCTATATTTTTATATAATGCAATGGTTGCATATTATAAAAATTGAAACCAAATTCAAAATAAGCATAGAAGTATGTATCATAACATCTGATGTATATGCCCACTCACTGATATAAGAACATTAATTACCTGGAGTACCGAATGAGTAGGTTATCAGGTTTGAAGTCACCATGGATAATTTTGGCATGATGTAGAGTTTCAAGCATTTGAAGCATCTCTATAGTGTAATAAATACATAATACTTCTTCCATAGATCCCCCTCTAACAATTTTGGAATTTATAGCATCCTGCATATAATTCAATATTTAGTATGAGATAGTGAAATTTATTATAACTTATTAAAAATGGAAAAATTAGATGTCCACCTGAAGTGTCCCATGAGCTAAATAATCACACACCAACACGCTATAATCAGAATAAAGGTGCAATCTCTGAGCAAAGCCAAAACTCTTCCTCTGAGAGAAGAACAGATTTAATTGAGTTATGTACTCTTATGGATAACAATTTGGCGAAGTACATTGCTGTTCCAATAATTACATACCTCTGTTTTTGGAATTCGCATATCTAGCTGACGGTACATGTAAAATTCCCAAGGGAAAGGAGGTTTCTGTATCTGTAAGAGATTGAGAATCAGGGAATGCCAACAGTAAGGTTTCAAACCATGAATTATGTTGGTTAGGATTAGTAGAGTTACCTTAAGAGCAACAATATCATCTGGATTATTGTTTACATGAGCTTTGAATACCTGAGCGAACCCACCCTGACCTGCACGCCCTTTAAAACTGTACTTCTCTCCTCCTTCAAGCATCATGAATTCAAAGTCAATATAATCATTAACAAAAAAGTTTAGATTAATATACTTTTGGCACTAACGTTATGCTTTGCTTATATGTGACATGGTATTGACACAAGCATATTTAATCACACTGACAAACTGAATTATAAACAATTGAGTAGATGCAGAAGCCAAAAGTTTGAAACACAATTGCAATAACCTCTGGAAATATAAAGTTAGAAGTAGCAAAAGTAGTTGCAATTGACTCATGGGAATATGCAATAATAAAGTAGAAGTTCAGTTGAAGTTTTGACTAATGACTTAACTTGCTGCTAAGTATGATAGTGCGGCTGTTACTACCATCTTTAACAATGGGTAGATGAATACGAACATACATAGAACATTATTAAGTCTTGTTTCTTGATAAGAATGAGTCCACACTTTTGTTCTATTATTCTTAACTATCCATACCACTATCACCTAGATTAGTATGTTGTGACTAATTAGTTAAATGCAAGCGCAGGCTATGAGACTACAGTTCAACATGTTCTTTATAAGCTATTTAACATCAATCTGTCCAGACTAGAAAGTGGATTTACAATTTAAGGAATCCCATCTCATCTCAAATCAGTTATTTAAGAAACCAAGTCTCTTGCAGACCATCAGCGATAAGGTAAATAACACAACATTGTTAGTACATGCATATTAATTCAATGTGCAAGGTTAATGCATGTAAGCCATTAGCCACTTACAAACACCCCCAAAACTTGTGAACTTACCCTATACACATAGTTGTTAAATTCGGATAGCATTAAATAGCGGTCAATCTCTCAAATACTATAGAGATAGTGAAGAGCGGAATGAACACTATATAAATTATTAAATATAAAACGGTAAAAACTATTATATATACAAAATTACAATAAAAATACATAGGAAAAACTTATAAACTACATTTCATAATTATTCAGCCAATAAAATATCAAAAAATATATAATAGTTATTCATATATAAATAATCATATAAACAAAAACTATTTGATCAATATTACTCTTATATAGTTATTTCTCCTCTCCTCTTCATCGTCTTTTTCATTTTTATTCATTTTTTCCTACCTTTGTATAAATACATAGTCCTACATCTAAAAACATAGGGCTTTTCCCCTCTGCTTTGCACCTTACCATCGGCACTGCAGCCACTATTGCATAAATGTGGCATTGCAGAGCAAAAGTAGCAGTAGACTGCCACTCTGTTTTGCAACACCACTATAAGCCCGCTATTGACAACTATGCCTATACTCATCATCATGGGTACTACAGCATTATTAGTGAATGATCAATGATCACGCATAAATCAATTTATTACCGATATCAATGGTTTTATTTTTTAATGATTTCCATGAGGATAATGCCACTTTTCCTGGATATGATTTGTTACAAGGATGATACCCCTGAAAAGCATCAAAGTAGCTTGCCTTAGAAATTCACAAATATCCTTTGTGCGAGTAACACAAGCAAATAATGAGAATGCCTCACCTCAAACTGCACAATTTCAGTATTTTGTAATGTGGCTTTAATGGTTGCAACTGACCATGGATTGACAAAATTATCACCGTTCTCTGCAGAAACATGACTTTTTATCTGCACTTGAAAACTTGCTTGCATCATGTTTCTGTTTGTGTAAAATCTAGCACTTCCAGAAATTTCTCTCCAAAGGAACAGTAATGCAACATCCCTACTTTTAAGATTTCTAAAGCATATGTGGTGTTGTAAATTTTTCAGTATTTGATTACAATAAACACAACAAGAACAGCAACTGAAAGAAACCTCCATACATGCTACCAGGTATCAACTACATTTTACTCTAATAGTTAACTCTAAAACATGCCAGCCATTAAGTATGGTGTTCAATGAATGCCTACCCACACTAGTTACATAAAATAAGGCTTTCAATTGTCATTTTTAACGAAGTTTGAAGCTTCAACCAAATACATTACTTACAGGGGAGATGACCAGTTCATGGGAAGTAATCTAACATTCCAACCTAGTATTACAGATGTAGGCTGTCACAGCTTTCAATAGGGGGCTGAAATGTGTTCATTATAGGAATGCGAATAAAGTTTAAAGGCAATAAAAATATCAGGTTGGCTAAGCAATGTCGAGTAAAGACTAAAGCATCAGAGTTGTATAAATACAACTTCCATGCAATAACCACTGTGGAAACTTCCAAATACTGTGCTCTCGGCACTTTTAGATACTGTACATGACATGATAAAATGACCAACAACTATGTTGGAGAGTTGAATAGTTTTTCTGAAACATTGTTGAATTTGAAATTTATTAAGTTGAAAGCAAGAATAATACACCTTTTGAAAAGATTCATTGGCTACTCTTTCAGACATTCTCTCGAGAAACAGCACCTGTGCCTTTTTCAGCCTCCCCAGTGGCTCAGCATTTCTGAAATACAACCCCACTATTTTCATTAAATGATAGCTAAGAGTAAGTTCATTTAGAATGCGACAATAAAAAAAAACAAGTTCAAAAACCTTGAGATGCCTAGGTGATACATCATACAAGCATCAATCAACCTGCCCTTTGCTTCCAAAAATAATGCAAATGATTCATAAAGCAGAGCATTGTGCATACAGATCTGGTGCTTCTCCATTTCTTGATAAACCTTTTCAAAATTAGAATTTCCATCCATCTGTCGATGACACACAAAGAACAATTATTAATTTAGAATTTGAGAAAACAAAATTTACATTCGCTAAAAACATAATCAAGAAAAGCTGAAAAGGTACTATAGATGCATCTCAATGGCATATGTAAACAATTCCTAATTGGCAAATTAGAACATAAAATTTGAAAGATAAGTGCATGCGAAGATTTGAACTGAAAAGGCACAATCCCTTTAAAATATATAAATAAATAAAGCATCCAAACGACCATGAAACGCAATAAAAAGGATCGAGGATGAATCTTACATATAGGAACCAAATCTTGAGGAATCTAACGTCATCCCGATAGCGAGGATCGGACTTGAAGGTATTAATACAATTCAACACTAGCACGTCCAAAACATTAGAATCGTTGAGTTGACTGGTGTTTTGGAGCTGCAATTTTTCTTGAATGGACCTGAAATATGTAAGTATCGAAGTCATTCAAAAAAAGAAAAATGTGTGTGCAAATATGGGTGCAGAAATTGTATACTGGAGCCAAGGCAAGAGAGGATCTTCCGCAGAATTGGATGGTGCGCCGGCAATGCTCTGTGGATTCCTGGAAACAACAGCCATGGAATTCTCAAATCTTCCTGCTGGAGAGACAATTAGGAAAATGGTTTTGATTTTTTTTGAAATTGAGATGCAAGCGGGAAACTAAATAGTAAATATAGTAATAAATTGACCTGGAAATGGGTCGGTATGACCCGAGACCGACCCAATACTTTACTAAACCCGATACTCAAATGGACCCGTGGACCCGATTGTTCATGCCTCTTGGTACGGAACCGGAGAGGACAAATTCTACATGCATTTAAGGTTTTTTTAGGTAGTAATCAGCATTCATTCGAATGTTCCCTGAGTAGATCTTCGTAGTAAGCAAATTAAATTAAGGGTGTCTTTCTTTAGGGTAGGGTGAAAATTTGAATTTGAATTTAATTTTTATTTGAATTTTAAGGTGAATTTTAAGACTTTTAATGTATATTAATTTAATAGCAATAAATATATTATTATAAATATGAATTAATTCGTATAATTTAATTATAAATTTATATTATATATAAATATATATTACTAAGGCTATGTTTCTTTTGCTTAAAATTTCAAATTTTTATTATTTATATATATATATGTCTAAGAGCATTTTTTTTTTCCCAAAATTTTAAATTTTTATTATTTAACTCTACATTTTTTGAAAAAAAATATATTATTATAATATTAAATTAAAATCAAATTTTTTTACACACATTCAAAGAAAAATATCCTAAATTTTTATTTATTTATATTATAAAAAAATTATTCTCTATCAAAATGATATATATGGTATATATTTTATTAAATAATAATAATTATAAAAAATTTAATTTATATTTATAATTTAAGGTAAAAAAAAAAAAAAAAAAAAAAAGCATAGTATCATGTTGTCACCTTGCCTCTCTCAAAATCGGACAATCTAATTTTGGACCGATTTACTGGACAAAACAGTGTATACAAATAAAATTAGGCCACAAAGTTTGAGAAAGCTTAAGCTTTGTTTACATAATATTCACTATTTATTTTTTAAAAAATATTAAATTAAATATATATATTTTTTTATAAAATATCAAATTAAATATTTTTTTCTCTATTTTTTTTCTAACTTTCAAAATTCTAAAACCCTTCAAAAACTTTACAATTTTAAATTTCAAAATTTTAGTACTATTTTAATTCTATATGTTTTAAAAATATATATATTATTTTCACTGTTGACTGTTCTCCTGCACGTTGTGCTTCCCCAAAGACGACGCCGTTTCCGACTTCGTTAGGGTTTCATGGATTTTATTCATCGCTTGATTTTGTGAGGAGGGTGCATTCATGGCGAAATCTTCTCTTCTCGGCGTTCTCGCCTTTCAATTTTCACGAACCGAACAAGAATCCAAGGGTACACCCGAGTCAATACCGCCATTAAAGATTTGGTCGTAGGGTTCTCGGTTCATTTCTGTATTTCCAGTCTGTTACTGTGTTTTTTAGGTAATTTATTTCTCTTTCGCATTATTGTATCTTAACGATGCATTCTGCTCACCTGCGCAATAGGCAAATTTCAATCTGTAAAGTTATCGCAAATCCATCTTCTGCGTTTGATTCGCTGCCCAAAATTCAGCTATTGTTTGGCATTAGCTCGTTCAATGGGAAAACGCAGATCGAGGGTTTTTGTAATATTGTAAATGTAGAGGAATCCAAAGCTGAGAAAGAGAAATCGTTCAATGCATCCTACTTGGTCCATTCATATGGTATGTCTCCAGAGCATGCTGCTCATGCTTTCCAGAGAATCGGCTTTGCAGGGAGACCTGAATCTGTGTTAGCCCTATTAGAGCGACAGGGATTTAGTAAAGCGCAGATTGCCACACTTGTGAGGGCAAAGCCTGAAGTTCTTGCTCTCCGTGAAAAGACACTTGCTCCTAAGATTGAATTTCTCCAGTCTACTGGGATATCGAAGGCTGCCATTACAATGATTGTCTCCAAAAACCCTAGTATGCTATGCAGAAGCTTGAAGAATGGAATTATACCTAATTATTTTTTCTTCAAGAGTTTGCTTGGTACTGATGAAAAGGTAGCCTCTGCAATGAGGAGGACCTCAAGGATTTTCAATTCCAATGTTGACAAGATTCTAGCTCCAAATGTTGAGATCTTAAGGGACCTCAATGTGCCAGAAGCTAATGTCCGATATTTATTAACACAATTTCCAGAGACTATTATGCAAACTGTGAGTGCGTTCAAAAAGACTGTTTCTAAGGTGTTAGAATTTGGGTTTGATCCTGCAAAATCGACGTTTGGGTTGGCTCTACATGCATTTTCAGGAACTTCTAATCAAGCGACCTGGGAACGGTGTTATGAGACATATAGTAACTTGGGTTGGTCAAAAGATGATATCTACATGGCATTTAGGAAGCAACCTTTTTGCATGATCTTGTCCCGAAAGAAAATCTCTGGAGCTATGGACTTTTACTTAAACACCATGGGGTTAACATCAAGATCAATTGCAAGCTACCCAAATTTTCTCCTATACAGTTTGGAGAAAAGAATTATCCCTCGGTGCTCTGTCATTCAGCAATTGTTGTCAAGGGGTATACTTAGAAAGAAATACAGCTTGGCTACAGTGCTGCAAAGGTCTGATAAATGGTTTCTGGAAAGCTATGTGCTTAAATATGAGAAGGAATTGCCTGGTCTCCAAGATTTCTACCTAGGGAAGGTTGGCGTGGATGGATTGCCACCCCCAAAAGCATAATTTTGATCGGTGCCTTCCTAGGGAGTTATGTATGAATTTTTCCTTAATAATATTATAAGTGCAATGAGCTGTTATATTTGCCCAGCTCTTTTACTTCCCATTTGGTTGGTGCTTTTGTGGAATACTCAAAAATCATGATTTTTCGTATTAGTAATTCATGGCTATAATACCTGCAATACTCTTCATTGCTTTTCAGATAGAATAAAAAAAAAAAAAAAAAAGTTCTGACCTCATATTGGTGACTTGACATTGTGGCTAACTGATTGCATTTTTGTAGAGGTTGTAGTACATACATTGCAGTTCTGCTTCAATAATGACCATCCTTTTAGATTAATCTCTCTGCTTGAGACCAACTTTTTCGTACATGGTTCTTTGGTGAATAAGAAGAACATATTACCAACTAGTTTGATGTGGAAACTCAATTATCCTCCTTTTCCAGCAATGAGGGACAAGACTCCGGTTGGTATATGTTTTTATAAATATTGGATATATCAAATTGTCTGTTTTTTTAACTTGCAATAAACTATTTATGGATGTTGACTATGCACTCAACTTATTTTCCAGATATGTTCAATTTTGCCTGTTCTCTCTTTAATTTAATGGATATTGGTTGCAGGTGTTGGACTTTACTGAACATTGCTTCGGCCACCCACTCGACCTACCCCAACATAAGACAGAAGATGAACCTACCATATCGGTTCCCCCTCTATTCCCAACAGTTGTGTCATGAATCGAACAACAGATGGTCACATTTGTATCAATCTCATAACCATGGACAAAATAAGTGAACACAGACCCCGAAATCGGTTTAAAGTTGCAAGATAATTCCTAATTGATGATACAATCATTAAACTGAGGGATTTGTACGACATGATTAGCCTGAGGCAGTTGGATGATTCTCCAAAATTTTGGGTGGAATTTGAAACAGATTGATTCCAGTCTCTTATGACTTGAGATTGTATTGAAATGAATTCAGTGCTGAGCTTATATTTGATACTGAAGCTCTGAGAAGAACTCTTAATGTTTGTTCCATTGATGCTTCAGTATCTGCAGAACTTCATGTTGTCACATTGAAAATACATTGCCCAATAAGTTTCTACCGCAACTGAACCTTGTTAATTCTTTAGATGTCCATGGCTGTCATTCAAATTGATGAAATTGAAGTGAGCTCTGAAGCTTAAAGTTTGGTTTATATAATAAATTTTATTATTCTCATTATTCTATTACATTTATACTCTCATCGTGGAAATAATATGATCAGCCCTCCAGAATTAAGGAAAAGAAGCAGACATAGAGACGGTCTTAGTAAAACACAGATTGTCAATCTTGTGAGGAAAAGATCTGAAATTCTTGCAGTCGGTGAAAAGGTAACAGCTCCCAAGTTTAGATTTTCCAGAGCCCATGATTCAAAATGTGTAGGAGTTCAATGTAGCTGCTTCCAAAGTGTTCGGCAAGAGATTTGATCCTTGGTGATAAATGTTGGTGGCCCTTAAGAGTAACTGCTTAGAAGCTGTTTCAGGATGAGGCCTTAATCAAGTGACTTGGGCATGGGATGATATATCCATTCGACATTTAGGTAAGTATCTAAATTGCATGATCTTGTCGGGGGTGATCTTCAGAACCAGGTTCTCTCTTAAAACTCTGCAAGTTTGAATACCAGGTCAATTTCTAGATCCTCACCTTCAGAAATTTTCTGCATTCATGCATGATCAATATTCTCACCTACATTGGCTGCTTTTCCTTTGATTTGGTCATTTGGTTGTTGAAAGCTTTATCTGTGTTATGGTCATTAATTTGTGTCTAGAATTAAATTGCCTGCAGGAGCAGCCTCTGGACCATGAAGCTGCTTGCGTTACTAATCGACACAAGAAGCAGGTAATATGTTAGATGTATATAGTAATAGTAATGATTTGTGATATTTTGTAGTTTGATTAGTTGCCTTAAATATAATATTCTATTCCCTTCGTCCATGAAAATTATGATAGATTGGCATGGGGATTAAGAGAATATTATTTTAATATAAAAATATAAAAAAATTATGTGAATATTTTATAAAAATAAACAAGGGATGGATTAATTCATAATATTTGTGTGATTTAGTGACAATAACAAACTTTTTAAGTAAAAGTCATATTTAAGTGGATATTATAATTAAGTATAAATTTGCCGGAGAAAATAAATAAGTAATTTGGTAAATGAACATACAATATTAATTGAAGTGGTGCTAATTTGCTCTAAAATGTTAATCATGGTGTGGATTTGTTGAATCATTGTGTAAATGTGTATAATAATAGTCGCTTTAGTTACCTATTGAGTCGAATCAACATTTTGATTTGACCCAATTAGCACTAGTAGTTGTTAACACATATTAATATAATATATATCATATATCTTAATAGTATATTATATATCAAATGTTAATACAATATAGGAGAACATGGTGCATTATATAATTTTAGTACACCCTCCGTCTCAAATATCCTACAATATTTTTTTTTTTGTATGTCCCAAACATCCTTCGATATTTCCAAAATAAAAAATAATTAATTATATTTAATCTCTACCCCATACTTTATTCATCACATCACTCAAATAAAAGAAATAAAATATACATTTATCTCTCAATCATGTCTCATCAGTTCTAAATTATCTCACTTAATACTATCCACCTAAAACCTCGTGCTCGAAACAAATGTTGCACTTTGTTTGGAACGGAGGGAGTACAATATATAACTACACAACACATTTCTATTTATATAGGATATTCTATTTGTTTTGTTATAAAAACGTTAATTGTTTTAAGTGAACGTGCTACCTAACCGCCGCAAATAATAATAATAATAATAATAATAATAATAATAATAAACAGGTAAGAATTAATTGAATAAAAGGAACGAGAAGAGAAATTTGGGATCAATAGATGATCAGCTATTGAAAAAAGTTAGACTTTAGGAGTGGGAATTCGTTCTTAGCAGTTCACCAAGAAGAAGCCTCATTTTAATCCTTCATTTTATACATACAGAAAATAATTTCTTGTTTTGTACCCGTTGCCCTTTATTTAATTTTTTAATGTTGCCTCGTGTATCATAAGCTTCTTGACAGGATCATCATCTTCAAACAACAATATATATAAACATATGCATATCTGTCAGAAAAAATCCAAGTTTACAGTACATCCATGGCTGAATTCATGTATAATAAGAAGTCAAATTTGATCAATTGCTATTATTACATGGTGTGTTAGCTAGCTGTTGGTTAGCATTCCTGCATCCGGGCATTCGATGCCACGGCCCTCGCCCAGAACTTGATCTGTGCCTTCATTGTATCTTCTTCTTCTTCTTTTCTTTCCATGGCCGTTTTCTCAGCCCGCTTAGGATGACAGTTCAGCCTCACCTTCCGGTAGTTTCCATTGTCATCATCTTCGATTCCCTTAGGAAGCCTATCAAACCCCAAGTCCTTGAAACTTTTCACTTCCCGATTGCGCCACAAACTCTGCTTCCTTCTTGATTCGCCGGAATTGAAATTCGTTATCTTGAAACAAAACCAAACCAAATCATAAGATATTCGAGCTCTACTTGTCTATCAAAAGTCTAGTGATCTAATGTTGGGGTTGTATTACAAATTATGTAATCAATACCTTAGAAGAAGTATCTGAATCTATCATGGAAGCCTGTCGGATCAATTTCCCCATCGAAAACTCAATCTCCTCATCTTGATGGTCCCCGATCAACTTTCCACGCTGACTCAATTTGTCCCGAGGGAGTTCCTCGCAGGACATTCCAGCAATGGCCTGTCGACCCTGCTTCGACAAAGAAGGGCCGGGATCAGAAAAACTTCTCGGCATCCTCAAATCGTTGCCGTAAAACCAACACTCTTCAAGCAGCTTTGCTAGCTCCAACTTGCCACTGTCATCATCTTCACAGGGCTCTAAAGAACAGTCACCACCATGATCCATAGCCTGGTGCAGAATTAATTAAAATTCTCACAGAGCAAAAAGATACCTTCTTTCTTGAAATCTTTATAGCCTGATTTCATCAACCATAAGACTATTATATATATATATATATATATGTATAAATTAAATTATGCAAGGCTGTGAGGCGTTTGAATTAGGTGGGATGGCAAAATAGAGAAAGTGAAAGAGGACAAATAAGAGGGAGGGAGTGAGTGAAGTGATTTTATTTGACAAAAGACTATCTTCACCACTAATATCACACCACATAACCATATTTCTGGAATAAACTATAAATTCATCCATCTGTCTACCAGATTGTCTTTATATATATACACACACAAATATATATATATATAGTCAGAGAGAGAGAGAGAGAGGGAGAAGAGGTGTGTGTTGTGTGCATTTAATTGGAGCAAAGGAAAAGCAACCTAAGAAAAGGATTGATTATGGATTTTATCTGTAGATATATATACAAACTGCAACTTTATATATGCACATAAAATGAAACTTTAGACAGAAATGGCCATGTGTTTTGTCGTCTAATTCAAACTAATGATACTAAAATTTCGGCTCTTTCCGGTCTTTCGAGTTCCCATTTGGTGGTAGCTAGCTTCACGACACGTTGATTTACTATGACAATATATTTGGATTATTCGATCCAAATATCTTGTCGAGTTTGATCTGCTTCAACTGTGCAGAAACTTAGAAGATTCGTCGAACCAACATTACTATCTAGGTGTAACTATTTCCCTAAACTTAGTACTTTTAAGCAAGATAGGAATGAAGAAGTAGCTATTGATGGTTGATAAGATAACAATTCAATGATTTAACGTTTTAGAACAGGACAAAAGTTTTATTTATTTCATAATGATTGTTTCTCACAGATATTTAATTAAAATATTATGAGAGTTGACATGGTCTTAATAAGAAAATAGGAGTATTAAATGACAAATATCTGCCTATATAAATTATAGTAGAGCAGATCATCCACCTATCCTAACTTCCTGAACCAAATCTTTGTATATTGAAAGGGTGATTCCTAAAATCATGTTCATAAGATGTCAATCACCTGTTATTCTATGTTCTTCTACAAGTTCTTGAGCTGATTTTCATTTTCTCACTCATCAGCTTCATCAAAAACACCAAGAAAATGGATTCAAGATCAACATACAATGATTGATTAACTTACAGCATCAAATATGAATATACATAATTTATACTCGACGGGAAGCTTATCTGATTGTTAAACTATAAGGTTTTAAACCAATAATCAAGCGAAGGTTACCTTGTGGTGATATAACTCTCAACTAGCAGCAAGTCGATAGTTGTTCTTCGACCCACCTTTGCACGAACAGTTAGACACTAAAACAAGTACTTGTCAGATGCATCGTGTTATTAATTGCGTAGAACTGATCCAATATTTCACACAAACACTTGGCAGAAATGCAGAATAAGTAATGTAAGTAACCTTGAAATTCTGTATAGGCTGAGAAGTGTGAATCTAATTCAAGTGTTAGGACATAGCACAAAGAATCAATAATCTCGGATGGATGAGATTGCACAACATCAAGAAGACTAACAGAGAAAACATTCGAACATAACTAGAATGATTGGCGGAAAACAGAAAACGAGCATCCAATTACACCAGCAAATTGAAGCTTGAGTCAACATTTCGCTGAACCAAAATTTAATCACTGACATAGACGAGTTGTTAAATACGGTTCTGAAAGAGGAAATCAACGTTCCTGCAAGAACCATGGGGCCTTTTGGCCGTAACTTGCAAAAGGGCGCCATCATCAAGCATATGATGCATCACTCTTACAATGTTTTTCGTGTCATCGATGCCAAGATGGTGGCTTCCCAATGGGCGAATCCGGAGTTCACTCATCATTGAAAGCATTCCTGGTGCCTGCATACCGGAAACATATCCCAAACTTATTGATCAAAGATCAAAACTGAAAAAATAGAAAATGATACGAAACAATAACATCTTAAATCCAATTCTCTACTGATACCTTACCAATAAGATTAAAATTCACGTCAAGTAGATAGTATATGCATTATGCACTCACCCTTTTATTGTAGAAGTTCAGGAAAATGTCCTTCAGATTGATCCATTCATTGAAATACGGCGGAACCTCCATTCCCAAGAGTTCACATTGCTGAGGTACCTTGGTTTTTAAATCCCAATTTCCACTACAGACATACACAGTTTTGGATGTCTTTAAGTAAGATAAGCACAAGCAGACATTCTGTGCAGGAAAAGAATCTCACCAAGTCACAAATGCAGCTCGATTTAGACGACCATCCTCCTCCTCTCTCCATAACTTAATATGCTCTCGATCTTTCCTCAGCCAACTCTCAAATTGTTCAATAGCATCGTCAAATTTTATGGCTGTGTCGTGCCAAACACTGTTAAGATACAAATCATTTAATTTCAATCAGATAGTCACAGGAGCTGTGTGACCAGGAGTTGTCGATTTCTCGAACAAACCATTGAACCAAAGAAATCAATGTGCAAAACAAAGTTTGGCCACTGCATTGCCTTCATCAGAACTTAGATAGGATTTGGAGAACGTATCGAAAGCTAGCAGATTGATCATTAAGTTAAGTAACCGATAAAATCATATAATGGCATACCGATCAACGCCAAATTTGCCATACTTCCCCTTAATATACTCATCAATTCTTTTCTCACTCATCTTTGTAGGCCTTACAAACCTGCAAAACCAAACAACAAAAGCACAATAGGTAACTTATCACAACACCAAGAACACACCAACTCAGCCACACAAAATTTTGTCACAGAATAACAAAATACATTTCAATGCATTAACTTAAATAACTCTGGCAATTCTAGCAAAGAAAACTACCATGTGACACACATAATTTTCTATATTTTCAACGCCACAAGAGTATTCATTATCTGTACAAATTTGAAAATGGCAGACAAAATCTCCATAGAAGCATGGCAACAAATGTTGCAAGAAGATTCTGTAATAATTCTGAAAGGTTATCTCATCTTCACCTGTGAAACACATCCACCACATCCATAGCTTTCACATCAAACAAGAGCACCGGAAGCTCAAGGATTTCGACCTTTCCTTCTAAATCCAGCACTAAAAAGTAATCAAACTCTTGAGGTCGGAATTTCGTCAACGTAGCAACACTCGTCTCAAGACGCACCGAGCAAGTATGATAGAACTTCTGAAGGTGCACAGGATCGTCCATCTTCACCAAACACGGGAGGATTAAAAAACACTGGTGAAATTCTGCCAAAGGAACTTTATCAATTAAGAACACAACCAGATGGAAACCAAAACGTTACCATAGCGCACTTGTCTTGGGTGTAATACAAGCAAAGGGGCTTCCATTCGGGTTTTGGGGTTGGGGAGTTCAATTGAGTGGTGAGAATAGAAGACATGGATTCCTCCTCCATCTCCATGGCGAGAGAGCGGGATTGAGCAAATGAGCGCTTGAATTGGAAGCTGAGAAAGTGGCGGGAAAATGAGGAGAGGTTAGAGAAGGGCGGTGGAGAGGCAGAGAGAAGCGTCCGTCGGAGCAATGGGAGCTTCCAAGTCGCCATGTCCGTACGAGTTCCGAAATAAATTTGGCGATTTTAGGGACGATGTTTTAAATATAGTGAATATGTTTATATTTTTAAAAAATGGAGAAAAAAATTGTTGCTGATAATAATCATAATTTGAACTAAAATTAAATATTAATGAATAATTGTTTGATATGATATAAATAGTAAACGATTTTTAAATATAAAATAAATTCGTAATATAATATATAAAAAAATAAAATAAAAATAATTGTTTGCAAAGCTTAATACTCCATCAACCAAATCTATTCACATTTAATTTTACATTTCATTCAACACTTATTTACAACAAATATCATAATTTTATTATATTCTCTCTTCAATTACTTTACTTCTTAACTAAATTTTAAAAAATACCTCCAACTATCTATCATTTTTTTCAATAAAATATTTATTTTTTTAAATTCCCGACTCTTACTCAAATAGGCTAATTTTAATGAACAGGGAGTAATGTTTTTTGAAAAATATGATAAAATTCTTTTACAAAACAAACAAATCGTAAAGCTTAAAACCCAAACCAATAACACGTCCAAAGTCCACACAAACCCTTACCAATAGTTTTGAGATATTCGATGTGATTATTATTATGATTAATTATATATAGAGGCATATTGAAGAATGAATGCATTTCAAAAAATGCAAAAGCAAAGAATTCATGCAAGAACATAATAAACCACACCAGGGCAGAAATGAATTCCATAATGTCACTCAGTCAGTCAATAAACAGCAAAATAAATGACACATGATAAACAACCTTTCAAGATTAAATCTGGCCAAAAGAAGAACATAAGTGTAAATCACCAATTAACTAACTACCAAACAGCTATAAATTTACAAGAATGAGCAGAAGTAGTCTCCATTACCTAATTGTTTTCATCAATCAGCAGCCGCCGTAACATCTTCTATTGCATCATTGCGGGCTTCTTGTTGTTTCATAGATCGCATTTCCTCGATCTCTATAAGCAACAAAGCGTCGCACACCACTCTATCCGCCTGCAGCCTTCTAGGACAACCTAAAACAGGAGATTTTCATGATAACTGAAATTCGACACGGTAATGTTGTTTTATTGTTAACAAGTGGAGAAGGCACCTGATACCGGGCATTGACCCTGTGCAACTTTGGACCTGATCCGCTGAATGATGTGTTGCTTCTCATATATGTGCTTGCAGTCCATGCTACCAATATGTCAAAACAAGCCGAAGATTTTAATGTCTCACAATTTAAAAATGAAGTTTTTGTTACATTTTGCAGATTTTCAGCGTTGCATATTACTAATAATGATATCAAGGACCTGTAGATAGACTCAGCTAATAACAATATAATCCAAATAATTTCGACTTAGTCTTGATAACAGAGTTGTTTGAGCTACTAGGAAAGTATCTCAAAGAAGAAGGATCATTCAGCATAAGCATATAGAAGAATCATAATACCTTCGGACAGGCTCTACTAATTCCTCGACAGGTTTTCCAGTCAGTGGGCATGTCATATTCAAAAGATTGCAGTGTGAGCTAGTCATTACTATATCCTCCTGCTCTTCACCTGGCATAGGCTGCCCTGCATGATGAACATTCTGCAGAAAAAAAAAATGAAAAGAACGAAAGCTATCAAAGTGATAACACATCTATTTATTTATTAATTGTATGTAGAGAACAGAACAAGAACTATTGAGAGTGCCTAGGAATCTTTAGCACAAAAATTAAGAGAAGCTGTGAATTTCATCCAATCCTTGATTCACTGGTTGCCTGAAGATTAATTATGACTCATTTTGATTCTACAACATTGTTTTACATGTTTCAGACATTCACTTGTTATAAATACACACGGGAAAGTAAACTGAATCAAAACTTGTTACTTTACAAGGATGCTTCCTCAGGAGTTTGAAATGTTAGAAAAGCGTCTCTCCCTTGTTTCTACTTTAAATTTGTCATGCAAATCTCTACCCATTTCTGTAGTTCAGGCTCAAAAAGGTTTTGCTAATGTAAATAGCTACACATATTTATCATTTTATTAATCTCAAATACCATTAAGTTCGTGTTGGGGACAAAAGAATAGCTTCTAATTCTGAGAAAAGGCATTTCAAAATAACAGGTATGAAGCCAGCAATAAGCCAACATACGACTGCTAACCAACTATACTTCTAAGAAGCAACTTCCTGTTCCTCAGACCTAACAACATGTACATCCTAATGCCGATAATTAAACAAAGTACCAAGGCAAGGCATTTATCAAGCCTTACATAAGGATGAGACATAGACTTTGATTTTTTATTTTTATTTTTTAACTGATCAGTATCAGCTTAATCAGTTATCATTGGATTGAGATCCAATTAAGCTTTTTCATAACTTTAAACCAAGAACAAAAACAAATTATCATTAGTTAAAAGATATGAGCATAAACAATGATCACAACAAGAATAGCTACTTTCATTGCCAACCGTATAAATCAAGAAGTATGTAAATCTGAATCAGAGACCACTGACGGTGACTACTAACATACCCAGATAGCTTCACGGAATTGCCGTAGCAATGTCTGGTTCCCTGAGACACAGGACGAATCCTTCTTAAATCTTTTAATTTTCTCATCAAACAGCTTTGTGAAATCGGTTAGCTGCAGCACCAACCAATAGTCCAAGCACATATAACAAGAAAAAGAAGAAAAAATAATTAGATTTGGCTCATCTTAGCTATAAGATCAAAGCCCATAGGCAACTCTTACCTCAGCACCAGGCTGGTATTCATTTTTGATAGACTGTATAGCATGGGAAAGCTGAGTGCATTCATCTGAAGCTTTCATTAATTCAGAAACACCATTTTCAAGAACTTTCACCTGCAGTGCCATCAGATAAAACATCTTGATAATTAAACAAACAATGATTTCTCACAGGCAGTTCACCTCAGCTTTTTAGCTAACAAATAATATCATATGTTTGCACGTGCCTTTCTAAGTTGCTAGCACAATACTAACTTGCAGCTGCAAATACATAACACCCCAATAAGCTGAGGTCATGTACCCCAATAAAACGTTTAATTGGGGTACGCGACATCTAGTTGCTAAAACATTAGTAAGCGTAGTGAGCATAATATTCGTAATAAGCTCGGTTTTGGGACCTAGATCAAGTTTAAAAGCATTGAAAAAAATCACATTCATGTTGGTGATGGTAGTCAAGAAAATATATATATCTCAATGGTGCTTAGAACCGAAACACCGTCACTATATGCTAACCAGCTATATAACACATGGTGATTAATATGGAGTACAAATCTGATGCACAATCTAAAAGAGAAACACCCATTTGCTTTCCCCATCGATCCGAATAATGTTTACAGGAGATATTCAAAATGGCTCAATTTCTGTACTAGAGCACACCCCAAATCACCACTAGGATATGCTTTCAATCAAAATCACTTGCCAAGACATATCCAACATTACTTGATCATTGATCACTAGAATATTAAGTTAGGATACAAACACAGTAACTACCATTTCAGAGTTGCTGTCCCTCTCAAAGTCGACCCCTACATCTTTCATCATCATCACAGCCTTTCTAATTTCCTGAAACAGCAAGGAGCAAATAACAACGCAAAACAAACCTTCAATACCACCATTAGAATTATAGAAATTACACAGCAAAGATTACAGTAATGAGCGTCTGATTGTCTGCATAAAGTGTCGAAGCCGCGGTTGACATTCTTCCTGCGGCCATGTTGGCATGAGGAGTAGAAGTGGACGCCATTGCAGCTCTTTAAGTGAAAACTTTACACCTGACTCGATTGTTTGGAGGGAACTAGATAGATATTACAAAATATTAACATTATTTATATTTGTATGCATCATATAAGAGTTGTCAATTTTTTATAAACAATATCTATAAAAAAAAAGGTTTTCAAAAACAATTGTTCATTAGTAAATAGTTGAAAAATAAACAAAATTAACATATTAGTTTATGAACATATAAACATCAAGCTTTTTCAAGCCACTAATACCAAAGTGTAAATGCACAAACACAATATTTTCAAAATAAATCATATCATCTTCAAAATAATCCTCATTTTCTTCTTGTTCATCTTTCGATAATGTTACAAAATTAACTAAAAGAATCACACAGGAATGTATAAGATAAAAGATAGGAAGTAATTCAGTAAGCACCTAAACCACTTCCAAATTCCAACAACAACAATAAAAAAGACTTTCCAACAAAACAAACACAAAGCTAACCTACCGATTCATAAAAGAATGCACAAAGCCAACAAAAATTAAAACGATAAACTTCAGCCCTTCTGATCAATCTAAAATCGACGCAATTTATTACAACTAACATTAAACATTTAGAGCCCTAAACACAATACCAGCAGGCATTGAAAAAATTATTACAGCAAATAGTGAAAGAATTGAACTTACACAACCTCCGACGACACTATAGAAAAAGAAAACGCGTCATGGAGGACGAAGAATTAGAGAAGAATGTGATGAACAAAAAAAAAAAAGTAAATGTTTACTATACTTGCGGAAAGAGGGAATATTATATTAAATTTAATTTTATATTTTAAAAATTATATTAATTTTTATTTATATTATATTAAATAAATATTTAAATTTAATTTTATATTTTAAAATTTATATTAATTTTTATTTATATTATATTAAATAAATATTTAAATTTAATTTTTTACCATTAATTCGATTTTCAAAATCAAATCCAAACAAACCCACCCTTAATTAATTTGAAATCACAACTATTATCTGGACGTGGTGTTTGGTTTTTTTATTGAATGTGTGGCAGAATGAAGAATGGATGATTTAATGAGAGCATGAGCGGTCCAGATCAAATCTGATTGATGAATGGAGGGATGGGATTGATCGCAGATCTCACTATCTATCCATCACACCTACTAATCGACATGTCACATCACATCATATCAGATAATTTCACACCTTCTCAATTTCATTTACTGTCGTTTTTATTTTATTTGATTTTTTTGTCATTTATTTTTACTCTTCTCATTAAATACTTTTGGGTGTGTTTTTTTCTTTTTTCTTTTTTTTTTTTATTTTGGAAAAATTAATTTAGATTTATAATTAAAATAATATTGATGAGGTATTTTATAAAAGAAAAAATTAATTTTTTTCCGAAAAATATAAACTCTAAATAATAAAATTATTTTTTTTAAAAAAAAATTGATTAAAAAAACAGACTATTTATGTTTATTTGAAGAAGTTTGAGGGATTTTTATTATTTATACAAAAAAAAATTTCAAAAGATATTAATTCAAAACTTCCTTCTATTTTATAATTATTGATATTTTTATTTTTATTTGTTCTATAACAATGGATATTTTTTTATTTTTAATAAATTTTATTAAATAAAAATATATTTAATAAATATAAATCAACTTAATTAATTAGATAACATATAAGATATATAATCCATTCAAAACCATTTATGTATATTTTTATCATAAAAAATAAATATTTTTATCTAAATTTAAAACTTCACATTTATAAAATTAGTTTTTGTTAACTATAAATAAATAAATAAAATTTTACTTATATCATAAAAATAATTATTTTATATAAAATAATATGCATATTACATGCATTTTTTAGTGTGATATATATATTTTTAAAATATTTAAATACATATTTTAAATATATTTGTATATTAAATTCAATGGCTAAAAAAAAAAGCATTTACTACTCTTTTCTATCTTACATCTATAGTCTTATTTTAAAAATATCAATATTATTAATTATATAAAAAAATAATATTATAATTTATACTTATTAATTAATTAATTATTATTAAGTTTAATATTATATCAACTATAAAAAAATTCAATCGTTACGTGACATGACAGAAAAAATATATAAAATAAAAGATTTTAAAAAAATATTGATTTTTTAAATTTTTTTATTTTTAAGTAAAAACTAAAATTGTTGATTTGAATAAATATATTACTAACAATTGTATAAATAAAGTGTATGGATTTGAGGAATCAGTCACTTGTCACCATACGTAATAAAAGCAGCTGAAATTTTACAATCAAATCCGTGCGCGTATGCATATTACACACTTCTGCATATAATTTTAAAACATAGGGTGTATTTCTTTTGTGAATTACTAGTTAAAATAAATAAATAAATAAAATAAAATAAAAAATCTTTATTTAAAATATAAAAAATTGTATGAAGAAGTTAAAATAAATAATATGTGTAATACTTCATCCTCACTTTCATTTTTAGTTTCTCCATTAAATTTATCATATTACTAATTTTGATAAAGTCAATAAATAAATAAATCAATATTTAATTATTATCTTCCATTCAATATTTATTTATAACATATACTACTAAATTTATTACATTTTTTCTCTTCATTTACTTTACTTTTGACTAAATTTTTAAAAATATCCTCAACTATTTATCATTTTTTTAATAAATATTTATTTTTCTTAATTTTCATGTCGAGCCCAAATGAGCTAATTTTAATGTAGGGATGGAGTATATTAATTTTTATTTAAAAAATATATATGATTTTTTTTAAAAAAAAGCATACATATAAAATAAAATAGTTTGAAGTAAACATAAATCATTAAAATTTATATAGCACTACATCTGTTTGACCTGAGTTTTTTTATTTACTTCATATACGAAAATTTAGAATATTTTCAGTAAATAATTAAAAAAAAGTATATTAATAAAAATAAATTATAATATTTAAAAAATTAAAGCATAAGATTTAAAATGCAATTTAAATGTATAATTATATTTTAAAAATAAAAACAAATTATGTGAGATGAAAAAAAATTATTCTTTCCGTCCGGCTAAAAGAACAACATCTAAATTTTGTATAATTGTATTTAAAATTATAAATAACTTATATTTATATTATAAAGCACTAATAATAAAAATATTGTTGTCATTTTTTCTTAATTTGTATTCTGTTTTGATATAATAATTAAAATTTATAGATTAACTAGCAAAAAAAAAATTATTATTATTTTAGTCGAAGGAATGAACTAAAAAAATATGAATAATTTATATAGACGAAGAAAGTTTAAAATATGAAAATAAAATAATTAATAAATAACAAAAATAAAAATGAAAATGGAGAAAGAAGGTGTAACAAGAGGTAGCAGCTTTTTGTTTAGGTCCTATTTTGATGTAAACTGAAGGTTGATACTAACACTGGATTGCAGTCCACCGGTTAAAATAGTAACTCCACTTCTACTTCTAGAATATCTCTGGTTAATATTTTACATATATATATATATATATTTAATATTAATATAAAAAAAATATAAAATCAAATTTATCTAAGAAAATAAATAAATTAACGACAAATATTTTAATAATAATATATAATTAAATTGTAATAATTTTATTAAAAATAAATATATGCAAAGAGTATAATTACTATAAATAAATAAATAGAGATTTAATAAATTACTTCTTCCGTCCCATTTAATTTGTCAATTTTAGTTTTAATTAGTTAATAATTAAAAAGTATATTAATAAAAATAATAATATTTTTCATAAAAATAATTTTAAATTAAGATTAAAATAACTAAATAGTTTAAATAAAATTTAAAATAATATAAATTATAAATTTTAAAATATAATTAAAATTTATAATTATATTTGCAAAAAAAAAGACAAATTTTGTAAAATGAACTAAAATAAAGAGATGACAAATTAATAAGTAGGATAGAAAAAATATATGCAAAATGAGAGAGTAAATGTGTGTTTCTTTTGGTGAATTTGAAAAAAATTAATTTGAATTTCATATTAAAATAATATTTGATAAATATTTTTTAAAAGAAATTAATTGGATTTTTTTTCGAAAAAATCCTTCAAATAGTAAAATTTGAAAAAATTTGGCAAAAAAAAAAAACAACCTATGTATTTGTAAATTAAACTATGTGTGTTCTTTTTGTTAAAAAAATTAATGTAGTTTTTCAAAAAAAAATATTATACTATATATATTTATTATTTTTATATTACATACATAATCTTCTATACTTTATGTAAAATATATATATATATATATTTTTTCAAATAATTTAACAAAATAAACACACTATATATTTATATACATTTTTCCAGAATTCTTTATATTGCCTCTGTGCGAGAGAAAATCATTAATTTTCTTTTACATGAAATCAATAAATAAATAAATAAAACAATAATATTTTATATGTAAAAGCATTTATACGAGTGGAAATACAAAATACCTCTTGATCTATTTTTAGAAAATGTATTTAATGACATTGTTTATATTGAATCATAAGAATATAATTATAAGAGGTGAATAAAAAAAAATAGATATATTTGTGATGAACAATCAAAAATAAAATAAATGAATTTACCTCTTTTTCTACATAGAATTTAATATTTATTAAATAGTAGTAATACTTATCGTTTTTAAAAAAAAAATCATAAATAAATAGGGTAAATTGTTTTTTTAGTTCAGTAACTGGACCCCTTATCATTTTAGTCTCGTAAATAGAGCCTGTCGCAAACTAATCCCATAAGTGAAAAATTTTCGCTTTTTAGTCCTCCGGCGCCGAAGACGCCTGCATGGCTCGCCGGAGGTGACGTGTCCGCCAGGTGTCCCGCCAGGTCAGCGACACCTGGCGGACACGTGGATTTATTATTTTTTTTTCAATTTTTTTTTTAAAATTAAATTAAATTAAAAAATTAAAAATATATAAATAAAATTAAAAATAAATTAAAAATAAGTTTTAAAAAAAATTAAAAAATTAAAAAATTAAAAAATTAAAAAAAAAATCCACGTGTCCGCCAAGTCAGCGCCAGGTGTCGCTAACCTGACGGACACGTCACCTCCGGCGAGCCACGCGGGCGTCTCCGGCGCCGGAGGACTAAAACAGCGAAAAACTTTCACTTATGGAATTAGTTTGCGACAGACTCCACTTACAGAACTAAAATGATAAGGGGGTCTAATTAAGGGACTAAAAAAACAGTTTACCCAAATAAATATTGTAATTTATTTTTATTACAATATTATATTACTTTTCATATGTCAAAATTATGTTTGTATTTTTTGGCGGTCAGCTAAATTTATGGATAAATAATTTTATTATTTATACTTTAACAAATAATAACTAATTTGTCATTTTTTTTTTATCTATCTATCCAAAAAAAAATTTATTTTTTTTATCAATAATTTATATTAAATATTTATTTAAAACACAATTAATATAATTTTACTTTATTGTTTTATTATTTTGAAAATAACTAAAAACTTTCAAAATATACTTGCACTTATTACTCATTCCATTAAGAGGTAATGTACTATTATTTTTACGATCATCATATAGAATTATAAATACTAAAATGCTTCCAATTTTTACAAAAATGTCACTTTTTTT